GGAGTAGTTTACCTCCGGTTTGTTTATTTATATATATATATGTGTGTGTGTGTTGGAAAGTTCCCAGACTAGGTCAAAAAAGAAATGCTGGCTTAATTTACTCAATTTTGGCTGCTATCTCCTTCAAAATGGTCTCCTTGTGAATGCATATAGTGATTCCATTGTTTTTCACACATTTCAAAAGCACCGCAAAAGTCATTTTCCTTAATGCTGTCGAGTACTGCTTGAGGCTCCCTTTGAATGTCAGACACTGTTTTAAAACATTGTCCCTTCAGTTTCATTTTCAATTTGAGAAACAAAGTGAAATCACGGGAGGCTAAGCCAGCTGAATAGAGAGGATGGGGAATAATAACTGTGTTGCTGCTAGTCACAAACTCTGTGGTTTTCAGGGATGTGTGGGCAGGCACATTGTCATTGCGGAGCCAGTTGTGGTTGTGCCAAATTTCTGGTCTTTTTTTTTTGTTCCACATTTTTGCTCAAGCATCTCAAAATGTCACAGTAAAAGTCAGAGTTGACCATAGTGTTAGGAGGAACAAATTCATGGCGAACAATCCCCTTCATGGGGGGGGGACTGCCGCTTCTTTTTCTGCACTTGGTGATTGTGGGCTCTTCCAGCGCAATGATTGTTGCTTTGTTTCTGGATCATAAAAGTAAATCCAACTTTTGTCACACATTATGATTCTAGATATGAAAGTCTGGTCCTCATTAGCCTTCCCTCATATCTTGAGACACACATTTATGCGCTGCTGCTTTTGATCATCTGTCAAAAGTCAGGGACCAAACTTCGCAGCAATGCAGCATATGTTCAAGTTTTCTGTTAAGATCTCCTGGCAAACACCATAACTGAACCCAGTGGTGTTTGTGAGCTTATGGATTGTATGGTGGTGGTCTTCATGACGAGCTCTCAAATTTTTTCAACATTTTTTGTTAGGTTGCTGGTGCTTGGTTGCCATGAACGTTCGTCTTCAACTGACACTCGAGTGGCCTTGATACGCGAATGCCATTCAAAAACTGCTGTCCAGCCTAAAGATTGTTCTCCAAAAGCCTCACAAAGCATTTCAAGGGTTTCGGTAGTGGATTTACCGAGTTTCACACAAAACTTGATGCAGACACATTGCTCGATTTTGCCAGCCATTGCAGACAAAATAAATCACAAAGTCAAAAAAGCACTCATGTAAAAACAATGCGTTTTCACAGCGCGGTGTCAAGTGGCAGACTGATGAAATAGGCTTTTGGAAGTGTGACCTTGGCCTCCTCTCTCATCTTTCATTGAGGCTGTTACAACGATAACAGTCTGGAAACTTCCCGATATACGTACAAACCTGATTTAAAGTAGGCTAAACTCAATAAGGTTTTTTTCTTAACTACATTTGCATTCTGGAGACCATGGCTGATTGTTGATTATTAAAGCCTGAAAAGGTACTCATAGCATCATTTCTGTTCGAGCATCTCAAAAACTGTAAGACCTAAAGAAAGTGTATTTTGATATAACATATGCTTAATTTTCCCCTCCACTTTTTTACACATTTTTCTCTCTGATAAATATTAGTGAGATATGTGCAGGAAAGTATGCATGTCTTCATGCAAAGTGGTCATTAAAACTATCAGATGTAAATGGAATTTGAAATGGCTTCACAGCTTTTCATAAATTCTCCAATAGAATATTTAAATTAATTTCGTCTAGCAGTTCTCCAGCTATTTTATAGCTACAGAGAGACAGACAGACAGACAAAGAGAAAGACAGCAGACAGAAATATGACGTGAGTGAACTTACTAGGTGTTCCAGAGGCTTTTGAACATTCCTAACAAGAACATATATATAACCAATGCACTGCTCTGTATTACTTTTAAAGTAATCCTCAAATTTACCTTATCAGATGATGCACCAGCATCCCTCCTGGCAACAGGTTGGATTGGTTCTTCAGGCAGCGTTCGGTTTAGACCCTGAGGCCAGACTTTGTGTGTGGCCATGTGCTTCTTCACGTTAGATTTCTGTGAGAAGGCCCGCCCACATACAACACACTGAAAGGGTTTCTCGCCCGTGTGGCTTCGCAAGTGCTGCTGCAAGTCAAAATTCTTGGCAAACTGTTTGCTGCAGTACCTGCACCTCAACTGTGAACAAACCAGTTGACATGAAATTTGAAGGGAGACGCCTGTGGTTCTGTCTTGCTACAACTTACAGTGATGAAGGAGAAAACCTGGATTTCTTTTATTTATTTATGGTTTAGTTAGCAATCTGTTAATAGCTTAGAATATACATCACTGAATGGTGGGATGATTAGTGAATATGCACTGAAAATGACATGGAAGGAAGAGGTCCTAACCTGTGATATTATGACGATATTTGTATGGAGGTACTGAGGTAAACATGGAAAACCGGGGTAAGATTCCCACCAGGTCTCCAGGCTGAGATTTTCACTGGCGATGTTCCAAATATGAATAAAACTATATCAGTAGATACCTTGAGAGTTTTAGTTGTCTGTTGAATGTCAGTACTATCCTCCGCTTTTATTTGCTGTGGTTCCTGTGGCTCCACTATACTGTTGAGCAAAACTTCTCCATCACCAGTTGTAGGCTGGGACTGCTGTGCCACGATATCCTGCGTTGTGAATTCCACAGTACCTGTGGTGGTGTTTAGGAACTCCAGATTAGTTTCTGTATTGCTGGTATACTCCACGATCTTGCTGTTGCCATCACTCAGTTCTGCATCTGACTGCTGTTGCTGCTGGATGCCACCTGGAGCTATAAACGTCCCCTCGGTAAGAATGATTGGCTGGCCTTCAAGAGTTGTCACATTGAAGTTACCACTTGTCCCAACTCCAGACAGAGACTTAAGTGAACTGCTTGATTCTCCAGAGGTTAGAAATGTTCCAGTCTGTATTACATGTGACAGGGAAGGAAGAACCTGTTAAAACACATTTTTAATTGAAAATATAAGTGTCCGAAGGTGCATTACATTGCAGGAGGAAGAGCATGCTGAATATTTTAACAATATTTTTAAATTGGGAAAATGACAGGGAACAAGAACTTAAGGAAACATAATGATCGAGAAGTCAGAAACTTTCTAGTTTTTTACTATATGGAACAGAGGAGGAACATATTTTTAAATTGGGAAGTTAGGAATGCTCCAGCCTGTATTACTTAGGACATAAAAAAGAGTCAGTAAACATATGTTTAAATTCTGAAGTTCAAAATTTATTAGTCAAAAAAAACTAGCTGGTTTAATTTAAAAACTGGATACTTAATGAGATCTGGCAATGGGGAAAGCAATCCCACTTTGCAGACCTCATAATGACCTTACAGTTAGGTCAATTAATTCAACTTCTGACACTGCCAGCAATCATCTTAAAGTATGCAAGTCTGATAACCCTAAAACATCCTGCAAACATTCCTTCAATCTGTAGTATGTTTACAGTTATATAACACCAAGTGAGCAGATCATGTTCTCATCCCATCCTTACCTGAGGTCTGAGCCAGCATGATACTATACTTCCGTGATACAATGATCTGCTGTAGACTGTGCTATTACAGGGTAATTTCCTATTGCTATGAGCAACTGTACATAATATACTCATTATCATCATCTTTTATAGTCTTACCAAATAATTTCACAAACTACATTTTGAGCTATGCCATAAGCAACCCATGACTTTCCCCTCTCCATCTATCCAGAAGTTTTCACTTCTACTGCCTTCACCACACTGAGCAGCTTCTGTTCACTCATGTCTTAGTTCTCAAATCAGCAATAATGCAGATGTGCTGAAATGTCTGGTGAAGGTCAGCTTTCATCCCTCTAATAGGTGAGTGGTGTTTTCTAAAATTGGCTGGTGAGTTTTAAATTTCGTTTTAGGCCTAATCTGCTGCATCCATCTCCAGGCTATTCTTCAGATTGTTTCTGCTGACTGACCAAACAAATCCTCCACCATGGTGCTATCTAATATTTTGCTACATGTTTCATTATTACTCTTGTCAAATGGTATTCTCTTATTGGACCTAGCCTTGTGCTGTCTGCTGGCTATGTAAGCAAAGAAAAACTTCTTCAAAATTGATATACAAAACTGTAACTGTAAGAGCTTCCTGTGTATGCTAAGCGGCCTCCGTAGTCTAGGGGTAACGTTCCCACCTCATGACTCAAGGTACGCGGGTTCAAACCCAGTGGAGGTTGTGGAATTTTTGAGGGCGGAAAAATTCAGGGAACAAGTCCTCCAGGAGGGACTTTAAGCCGTGGGTCCCGTTTCGTTGGTTTTCGGCATGTAAAAGATCCTCATGTCTCTAGGAGACCTCTGAGCAAAATTAGGCAAAGTTTCCCACCCAAGTAGTTTCCAATGCCTCCAGTAGATGGGGGAAGTATCAGGTACCGAGGGCCGACATCGTTGGCTGAACGGGGCTGATAGCAAGCACCAGTACCGGTAGGGTATGGCGACTGGTAGAATATCAAAGGGGGACGTACAATAGACTATTAGTCACGGTGCATGGGGAATCCCACCCCCTCCAATAATAATAATAATAATAATAATAATAATAATAATAATAATAATAATAAATACTGTGTATGCTATGGGCCTTGTTCACTGTATGTACTTCATTTCTTTTAATACACTCCCACTTGGTATCAAGGCAGTTGGGTACACTGATTCATTGGCAATGTTTCTTTCACTGTGATAGTCTTGAATAGCAATTACATGTGCAAGAAAGGTGAGCAGTTAGAGGAGGTGGTGGCCTTCCCCTTTACTTACCACTCCTCCTTTTCTTTCATCTTCCCAATCTTCCCATTTCCCTTACACAAGATGAAACTTTCACCTACAGCTAGGTTCTGAATGTACCATACTTAATCTATTCACAGGTCTTCATTGCATACACATATGAATAATAAAATTCGTAGCAGGCAAGAATTCTATCTGAAAATACCAAAAGTTCTGTACAACAATCCCTTGTTAATGATGAGTTATGTTCATGAAAAAAATTGCAAATGGAAAAACTGCAGTCAGAAACACAAGTTCCTTATGGGAACTTAAAAGAGTTAGGTAATTGAGGCTGCTGTTAACACTCATATTCACTAACAATTTAGGGGTTTTTCACTAAAATTGGTCAAGTTCTCTCTGTGCAACTACATCTAATAAAACAATTCACATTCACTGGAAACCAAGGATCCACAATGCTACATTTGGTACCACTGTATGTTCTACATTTCTGTGCTTTTTCCTACCTCCTTTATTTCCTTCTTAGCAACAGAACATGTAATTGGTGCACACCTTAGCAACCAGTTCTGGGAGTAGACATTATAAGAATACATAACAGAAGACACTAAAAGCTGTACAATAATGCTAATTTGGAAAACTCCTCTTGGATTACAACCCTGCCACCAGCCAATCTAAACCTCTTGGTGTGAAAGCCACTAATTTTTTCAGTATGCACACAATTAAAAACTACAGATACATAAATCAGCTATGGTTAGCAGAACTGGACACAGCTGGAGAGCTGTGGTTACTTGCAATCCGCAGTTGACAAGGGAACGCTGCACTTGACATTATAACATAAATTGTACCTTTACTAAATGATGCGAGAAAATGCATGTATTGGGACATACTTCTACATCTTCCCAAGAATTTAGAGAATTATCTATCAAAAGAATAGTACGAGAATGGACAGACATGGGAATGTCAAACCACTTTTAACAAATATGTCATGCCATCCTGAAGATGTCAAATTGGCAAAAAGTCCTAAAGAAACATACAGGAAAGTAAATGTACTTAAAAGTTTTTTAAAATGTTCTTATCCACAGCCTTTCATCTCTCTGGTTCAGTACTTCTCCTTTCACAATGAAATATTTTGAGAAATGTGAACTTGCATGGGTTCCAGTGCTGATATTGAGGGCACCATGGTCAATGCTGAAACTCAGAATGTCTGAGTCACTCAAAATGACGGGCTGCCCCACTTCAGCCCCATCACGCTCCTGCAGGGTGTGCGCATAGGTGTTCCCACCTCGCTCATCTCCTTCTTGCTGACCTCCATCCAGAGAAAGTCTTAAATTACTTGGCACCAATGGCTTCAGCCGCGAACCTGTAAAATAAGCTCATATAATTATATGACAAGAAAAACATCAACATAAATGTCCTACATATTAAAAATTCATACCCAAATTGTAGTACCAAATATTCTAAGGATGAATACTGTCTTGAGTTACTGGAGATGTCCAGTCATAGTTCCATGAAATCCCAGAATGAACCAGCCATTCCTTCCAGCATAGCATGAGCCTGAATATGTCACTGTGTTAGAAGTCTGCATCAGTATTTCACAACCATGTATGCATGATTTACAAGACTGCCTCATCATTTTCATAATGCATGTACCTTATGTAGCCTAAAGGAGCCATCTGAACTATATAGAGAATGGAGAAGCACTGCTCAGCCAAACTTTTCTGCTCTCTCCAGTGTCAGGTATTCAGTTTGAGGATGTGCACTGATGTGTTGAAGAATGATATATCTTTTATTTGGGCACTTATCATGAAGTGCTTAAATGAAGAAAAACTGCACTCATACTTTCCCATCTGAACAGGAAATCAACCAGTATTCATCCCAGAGAACTTTTCCCATAATTTTTCCAGCTGAGGGTAGGGGTTTGGACTGCCTCTGTGGTCTAGTGGTCAGAGTTCCTGGTTACAGATCCAGAGGTCCCAGGTTCAATTCCCGGCACTACCAGATTTTCTGAGAAGTAGTGGGTCTGGAACGGGGTCCACTCAGCCTCATGAAAGGAAAAGTAATGGCTCTGGTCTAGAACACTGAGATTAATGACCATGGGGATCCACTGCGCTGACCACGTGACACCCTCTATCCACAAAAGTTGACACTAACTTCACTGACAAACTGTGGTTGCTTGGTCGGTAGTTAGCTTGCAGTCTAAAAGGCCATGGAGTGGGTAGGGGTTTCATCATCATTGTTGTTGTTGTTGTTGTTGTTGTCATCGTCATTATCGTCTTCCTCCTCCTCCTTTGAAAAAGCTGCGTGATGGCATCCCTTGCTCCACCATTTTGTTTTGAGGTCAAAACAGTGGAACCAGCTTCAATCACCAGGCATTATGTCAAGCAGGAAGTCATCACCACTGGTAGCATGTCACTGAATCAAATGTGACGACACATCTACGTGTGCCCTTTTGGGCTTGTCCATCAGCAGTCAAGGAAACCAATAACAAACTTTCCGATATCCCATTTCTTTATTATCTCCTTGTGTGCTTGAGGCTAAACTGTGCTATGACTTCCCTAACCAGCACTCTTCAGTCTTCTGTGATGAGCACATCAAACCTTCTGCTTCTTGCATTCCATGGTGATGGTTATTGGTTGATGGGTGTGAAGCAGATCAGTAATGTCTCTGTTGCCATCTCTGAAGTGTTTTACCCAACATCAACACACTGCCGACATTCATTAAGGAATCTCCACAGACATGACAAGGTCAATCAATGATGTTTGCAGCAGAACTGTTCTCCTTCATGACGAATTCAATCACAGCACACCGACGGAGCAATACACTATTTACAGCCATTCTGTTACAGTGGATTACAGATAAGTTACTGGTGTACATGCACTGGACCTGCATTTTATATTGCAGAAAACAGACACATCTATCAGCTGTATAAGCCCTAAGCTTGTTATGTTGAAGAAAGAACATACATAACTGATGCTGCTCATTACTTATCCATAGTACAAAAGAGAATTGTGTGTAAAAAAATGGGAAGAAAGGTTCCTTCAATTTCAGTCAGTGGTAAAAAAATGTACTTGCATATCTTGCTATAATATACCATATTTTCAGTGGGTGATGGCATCCCCCCCCCCATCACCACCACACCACCAATCTTCATTATCTCCTCCTCCTTTAGGTGTCTCCACTTCATGTGCATTGTCTAGCAACTAAGCTTCTCTTTTAATGAAGTAACCCCATCCCCCCCCCATTTCTTTACATGTCTCCACTTAAAGGTGGTCATCTAGCAATTAAGCCCTTCTTCAAACACAGTGCAAACATGATTTAAATATTCCATCCTAACCCATTTTCAAGGCATTTAACTACAGACTACCTGACTATATAATGACCACAATCTAAATCTTCAATGCTGTGAAAATCTCAAATACTGGGAAATACTGTATATGCACACCCCACCAAAAAATCCTGTGACTTACACAAAACGTCTTGGAAATATTCATAAAAGCATGTAGTACCTTTGGAGATTGTGGTACCTTTCAGAACAGCGCCCTTTGTGAAAACAAGAACTGGAGTATTGGACCCATAATCTAGTTCATTTTGTGTGATATCAATATTATATGTAAGCATCCTGTTGCACTCTATACGATAAATGACATAAACTCCGTCCCAAGTGCAAACAATATATTATATGTCCCTGATCTTGCTCTCCTTTACGCTACATGTTTCGGCCTCAAACGGCCATCATCAGGTGTATACACTCACGTTGCTGTTACACTGCACTTAGTTTAAAATTTAACATTTAAAAACACATTGTTCCTTTCCTTGATATCATTTCATTTCAGGGGTTTGGAAAGAAGTTTACTTTGATGATGTCTATAAGTAATACTGGTCTGATTCTTTGCATACTGTTTCAAACAGTTCATCATTATACATTATACCCATAACCTCCTCTCCCTTTTTTGTATGATTTCTTAAAAAGTATCCCTGTAACAGGCCATGGAGGCCCATAGGGCTGTGACATGTTGATACGCCCACATTTTGTCTTGACAATCGGCTCACAGATGGTGGTGGGGTTGTCAGCCTTACGCGCTGGCTGCCCTTTAGCTCCCAGGAATATTCCTGGTACTTATTTCTGTTAAGAGACTGAGTCAACCCCAGGGTCATACTGCAGCTGGAAGGATTAGGTCAACTGAAAAATATCCACCTCACTGGGATTCAATCCTATGACCTTCCAGCTTGTGGTATAGTGCCTCAACCAACTATGCTACCGCGTATTTCTTACCACAGTAAAAACAGGATTGCCTCAAAATAACTCCGAACTTGAAGAAATGCCAATATTTTACCAACTAATCTTGTTGCCATTACACTTGCTAGTGACTGTTGGTACACTAGGAAGACCGAATTTCTGGTACTTTTGAAAAGGACTCTGTTTTTCACAGTCTCTTACCAAACAGCCATTTTGTACATATATACATGCCTCACTTCATATCTACTGCAGTCAATCATACCTGAAAGTTGCTCTCCAGAGACAGCATGTTCTTTTTTATGGCTCATAAACAGACAGAAAGAAGTGAATTGCTTCTTGCACTTGCCACACTGAAATACATCTTCTTCATCCAAAGTTATTGCATCTAAAATATAAACATTGTACTATGAGGTTTTGTTAAAGTATCTATGTACTTGTGATTTATTAAATAACACTGTCAGGAGCTCAGAATATGTAGAGTCAAGTGATTCGTAAATAATAAATTGGGAAGGATGCGAAAGGAAACAGTTGTAACTTAATTTGAGTTACCATTTGATGTGGAAATACCAAATGATTTGGAAAGGATTTTGAAGGAAGCTGTCATGGCCTAATTATGGTACCATCCTAGAATTTGGTTGGAGGGAATGAGGAAAATTACAACAAATTCAGTCAGGATAGCCAGTATCCTGGCTGATATTCAGACTGTACACATCCAGATTACAAGTCATAAGAGTTACTGTCTTAGTCTGCTTACTAAGGCTTAAAGTACCAATTACACAGTGTAACTGATGATGTCAGATGAGTTTAATTTAATTCTTGTCTGTAAGTTTCTATGGCCAGTGCCTAAAACATGTTCAGCTTTTGGGTTTCAGCCATGTTTAGTTAAAATAACTGTTTCTCATCACATTTGTGATTTGTGCATCATGATGATGATGTGGGAACTGCTCACATTCAAGCAAACGTTACAATGACAATGCAAGTATCATTGCTTAGCAATGGCGAGTAAACAGCCATTGCCAAGCAAAGTGAGTAAACAGCTATTCCTAAGCAAAGCCTACAACAATACAGGCAGTGATGTGTTTTCCATGCTGTCCGGTGCAAGATATGGCAATATAGAGTGGTGTGGGTGTTGCAAGCAGTAATCTTGTTGGTACTATCCTATTAGTCTTCAATTCTTCAAGTTCGTTATTGTATACTGTGCAACTATAATAAATGTTATAGAACAGTTCAACAAGTGGTTGTCTCTTCACATAACGACATCCCACAATGTGTTTAGCACTATAATAAGTTATTTTTTTGTAGTTATTCAGCTACTATCTTTAAAGTTATAGAATGGTCACAAACCACAACACAAGCCTGTAACCATCGCCTATCATAAACCAGATAAAACAAACTGACATTATCACAACCAATTTCTGAAAGATACCTGACTATCAAGTTTCCTCTTCAGACCTAATGCTGTGTTTTTACTGGTTTACTGAACGATACCTTATAAAGTGCACAGGATATTTAGCTTTGTGCTTTGGATATACAATCTGAATTATCACAGCATCATGAAGCACATAAGAACCAACATATCTATTAATTTTATACTTCACTCTGTAACTATACATTACACATAATTTTCTGTTAAGTGGTCACATAAGAACATATAATGCTATGTTCTAACTATCAGCAATATTTCACTATGATGAGTTATTTGTGCGTCTTCTAAAACAACTGTACAGAAGTATCACTACAAACTGAGCAAAAATTATTATTATTATGAAAACAATGAATTCACACCTTGATAGTTAAGATGTTTTAATTATGCGTGTCAAACACACATCCCTCGAAACTCTCAATAAACTGAAGTGAAGGTACAACAAAACATCAAATTTTACTGTGTAACCAACAATGTTTGGCAAGGGTTCCAATCTCAGAGTGTGCATACCCTACTGAACTATTATGTCCATGAAAATGCCTACTTCTGGATATTACATGTCATTTATTTATAACAGCACGTACTATAACGGTAGCTTATAGGATTAACTAACCTATAAGAACTTTAGAAATGTCAACTATTCTCCAATGCCATTCTGCGAAACTACGATGTCTACATTCTGCAATCATGTCACATTACACATTCCTTCTCATCAGTAACACATGAATTACTGTTATACGCTCGTAAGTGCTTACTGCATTTTAATACTTACTTGGTGGGCGAGAGACAAGAACTGTCGCTCCTGGTAAATGTTCGCTAGACAAAGTCGGAGGATCTAGTACAGACTGAACTGTCAGAGCCGCTTGGCTGTCTACGGGCGCGCCTGGAACCCAAAGAGACGGGAATAAACTTACAATATACTTCATATATATCGTTCTCATATGCTCCTTCATGTCTGAATATGGTTTCTCACCACCCAATGTCTCAAACAACAGATGAGCCATTCCAGACCTCCATCGGATGCCATTAACTGACCAGAATTCACAGTCTATCGATTCCAGCTTCCGGTCGGACATACGCAACACACTCGAATCACTGAACTCTATCACGGTCTCACGGTCTACTCTCGCTACCTCGCTACCCTCGCTACTCTCGGTGCTCTCGGTCCTCACGATCGCTCACGATCCTCACGGCCCATGGGTCAAGTGCGTCAAGAGGGTCAAGAGCGTCAAGAGCGCCAAGAGACCCACTGTAGAAGTGTTGAATGCTGTTCGGGCAAATAAAAATGGATTTCCGTCACACAAACGTTTTTTATTTATAGGTTCATAATACTGTCACGTGATGGAGTGACTATAGACGAGGTTTGGATTAGTAATCGGGTTTATTGAACACATACAAAACGTAAATACACATAACTGATACAATGTCACCGAGTTACACAGTACACATAGTCTTCTCAGCCTTCCCTAGCCGTTGCTTGGTAGCGGCGGACGCTCCCCTTCCTTTTGGGTTCCCGAACAGTCCCCGGCCTCAGCTACCAGCTTCTAGCAGCAACAGTTCACAACTGAACTGCAACAGTCCTGTAATTTACTTTCAGTCCAGTCCAATAAATAGGAGCCGGGATAGCCTAGTCAGTATAGCGACTGACTATAGGCTGGACGACCGAGGGCCCGGAGTTCAAGTCTGGGTAGGGTCAAGAATTTTCTCCACGTCGTCAGACCGGCTCTGGGGTCCACCCCACCTCTTATCCAATGGGTACCAGGGGGCTCCTTTCCCCGGGGGTAAAAAGGCAGGGGCGTGAAGTTTACCACTCACCTCCAGCTGATGCCGAGGTCAAGAAAATGTGAATCTATACATTCACTCCCCCATACGCCTTCTTGGTGTAGTGTTTAATTAGTTAAGCACAGGGACAACTTTACTTTACCAGCCCAGTAAATTGTTTCTGGCCCTCACCAGCACAGTTGTTCTTGGTTTCGGCCCTCTTCAGGGCACATGGTCTTATTTTTGTTGTTTCCAAACTTTTACGTGTTTTAAAATGGGGATTCCTTTTTGAAGAGAGGAGTCTGGCTACTGTTGGCCATTCCTCCTCTACTGATGAGTGACTCTGCTGGTGTTCACTCTCACTCTCTCGCTCTCTCACTCCTTTTCTACTTTCACTAACTGTCCTGCTTATAATATCTCAGCAAGGATCACACAGAAGGCATTAGTCGCCATGAAGCACAGAGCCATGAACCAGTCAACAAAGTTAAAAATTCTTTGTAGAAGGGGAAAAACCACATCTTCTTAACAGGCAAATTGAAAATTAACTAACTTGGAAAACTGCATACAACCTGTGCCAAAAGGAAGTGCTTCTTGCCGCCTCCTTGCTTGGCTTACTATTTAATCCTGAAGATGGAGGCAGTACATTATTCTGAAACACCTAATTTCTACAAGCTGCATGATGTTATATCCCAGAAGATAGTACTATTTTTATGTGCAGCTTGTGAGTACTGTCTCTACTCAGTGAGCCTTTGTTGGCTGTGATAACATCTGTGGTTAGCAACATAGAAGTATTTCATAGAAACTCTTGAGGTCCATGCATGATCATTGCAGGCCAGTTGTGTTCTAGTCTCCCAGAGGGAGTTGGCTAGGTTTGAATAAGCCTGTACAGCTACCTTCCATTACAGATTAAAGGTTAATCTATTTTAATCTAATTTTGTGTGTTCTTTGTTCAAAATGCATAAAATGAACTCCATTGGATATTCCACATATGTCTGCTCAACCCCATTTTCATTTTTGAAACTCTTTAATGTGTTCTGAATAAATGTGGCATTCTGGTTATATGTTAAAAGTTGTGTGAAATAAATTTAATTTATATATAATGCCACAAAAATGTGACATTATAGATTTTCTGAAACAGGTCATTGTATGGACATTGTTGCATGACATAGGACAGATCTCATTAAGGTACACCGTTTTCACATGAAACAGTTTTCCAGTATTGTGAATAACAATGCACAAGAAAAAATTGTAGGCTGGTTTATTTACATTAGTATTTTTTAATAGTTGGAAGGGTTGTTCTACTTTATTTCCTAAAATATGTCAATATGACCCTTTTTTGTTTTTGGGTCTGGTTTAATTTGTTTCTTTATGTCCAACTAGTGTCATTCCCATCTCACAAGTTTTAACTCCACTGTATTACTGAATGTAGAAAATTAAAAGGTCTGGCAATAGGGTGGGCCTCAGTCACACAACGTTTATAACACATTTCATGAAAACAGTCAGCTGTTTCAAAAGTTGGAGGGAGTTGGGACCTACAGACAGAATAGCAATCTCAAGAGCCTACTTTTCTTACAGAAGAGATACAAGCCAAAAATTGTCTCATTTGAGAAGCAACATAAAACATAGCTGGATTTTAGGTCTGTGGTTATGAAGAGCACTGTCTTCCAGTATGCTCTCTTGTGTTACTGGGTAGACGTTTGTTGACATTTCAGAGGTACATACTGCCTTAATCTTCAGGGTTGAAGAGAAGTGGTACACTTCTACCAGACTACACTGTGTCACATCCCTAAAGATAGTATCCTGTATGAGACACATCCTGCCCTCTACAAATTAAACTACAGATTTCTGAAGAAATATATCATAACTTAAAGTAATTACTCTTTACTTGTAAATACCTGAAAATCCTTTTTTACCCTTTATTATATATTCCCAAAGAAAATGGTATGAACTTCATGAAAAGCATGTGAATCCTTCAAAGTAAGTTGAAATTTACCTGGGACTGTCTGCTATCTCTTGGCAACAGACAGAATGTAACAGGTTACATTTTATATGGGCACAGGAACACAGGGGTAGGAAGCCATGAACTTACCAATTTTTGGGCAAAGCAGCACTCTGAAATGCCATTCCTAGGACCAGACCCTGCCTGTGGCATCTCATGTGGAACTGTCAGGCAGAGTAAGGGAAGAGTCTGGAAGAGTAGAAGACACTGGAATATTGGAAGTCTGTAACTGTACATATCCATATGAAGCTTCTTATTTCTGGATCCACCATACATGAAACTTGGGAGCCATTGCAAAAAGGAATCAGCTGAAATCTGTAATAGGACTATTTGACAGGTCATCTATGGATTGGCATTGATAATCCCACTTAACAGCAGGTGTCAGGCATAACTGAACAGTACAGTGGACCCTCATTTAATTTCCCCACTTTGATGTTCAAATACTCTGCTCACCAAAAGAAACCTTCATTGTCCCTTGAGAGTATTTTATATGCTTCAAACTCTCATTTTGAGCATGTTTTCAGTCGCAGGCACTATTATAAGTTACCAGCCAGGTAAAGTTATCCTTGTAACACGCCGTGAAGGCCCATAGGGTTGTGAGATGTCGAGGCTCCCACATTTTCTCTAGACAGTCGGCTCACAGATGGTGGTAAGGTTGTCAACCCTATGCGCCGGCTGCCCTTTACCCCCCCCCAGGAAGAATCCTGGTACTCATTTTTGTTAGAGGCTGAGTTGACCCCTGGGCCATAGTGCAGATGGATTAGGTAAATTGAAAAAAATCCACCTCATTGGGACTCAAACCCGTGACCTTCTGGCTTGTATCATAGTGCCTCAACCAACTACACTACTGCATGCCCCTTCAGTTGGTAATAGTGATGAATAACAGATGAATGGTCACATTTCTGAGGGGACTCCTATAGTAACTGTAATAAGGTTAATGATTTTATTTTACACATAAGAATCTTACATTTTTCAGTTGACGTAATCTTTCCAGCTGCACTGTGGCCCTGGGGTCGACACAAACTTTAATGAAAATGAGTACCAGTAATCCTTCTAGGAGTAAAGGGCAACTCGTGCTTAAGGCTCATGTCACTGCCGTTTGTGGGCTGATTGTCTAGAAGTGTTTCTCAACCACTGGGCCGTGGCCCGGTACCAGGCCCTCGTCTTATAAAAAAAATTACCAGGCCGCAGTCTCACAATGGTTGAGAACCACTGGTCTAGAAATGTGGGAGCCTTGATGTCCAGCCCTGTGGGCCTCCATGGTCTGTTAAGACAATTTTTTATAAGAATCTTACAATTTTGTTGTTCATCTTGTGCAGATATAAAAATGTGTTGTGGGTATTGCATGGTTCTGGATGAGAGATGCATCTCTAGCTCATCATTACTTGTACAGAATAACATCAATACAATTATGATTCTTTATTAATATTCAATGAAATACATTTCTCATATGCAAAAATATGGAGAAGATGAAAATAGCAGATTTCTGTACTATCACAAAGAATGTACTGATTTAATATATTACCTTACATATGCAAAAATGAGAATCTGGCACACATTATATTAAATATTTTCATGTAGCCTATTAAAGCAGTTGCTTAGGAGTTGGCATGAAAGGTCTAGGCATCAGCAGATTACAATTACAAAGCCACAAAACATATCTCCAACTCTTCCACACTTAGTATCAACAAAGATCATTGTAGCTCTGCAAAGGACTAGTTCAGTGGTTCTCAAGCAAAACCTGCCACACTACAGTCAGGAACAAATTACAATGAGTGTACACATAAAGTAACAAAATTGTTTTATGAGTTCACACTTTATGTCAATGCTCCAAAAAATATGTTTCAATAACTCAGCATGTCATGAATATTTTAACAGCTGATGGAAACATTTCAAAACTGCTGTGGCTACACTAGTTTATTGTGAGTAAAGCAATACAGGCAAGCATTAAATGCATTTCTGTCTTACAGGATATTAAAAGTAGTCCCCATCTTCTCAAATTTCTATGAAATAAGGCAATAAAATGATTATAAATTGGAATTTTGCATGTTAAATATCCAGTAACTCATATTATTTAAACAAACAGAAGGGTTCATTATACATACACCAGTTAAGTTACCCAAGTAACTCCTAAACCATAATAAATGCTGACTGATTAGACTTTGATTAAGTATTTGCTTGGTAAACTTGGTAAACACAACATAACCCCCAGTCATCAACTCTAATTCTCTGTTGAGGACACAACTTCAAATTTTAAGCCATGCTTATCCAACTCCTCAAGGAGGGATGTCTTTGCAAATGCTGCCCCTGGAGGGTACACACCACCCCTGCAAAATAAACAATATATTACTTGTAAGATTTTAGGTTTTTACAGCAGTGACTATGACGAAAGCAGTCTTCTGGGATCAGTGGCACATCTGTCTTGAACATCCAGACAAGTCAGTTGTGGCTGAACACAGCACTGATTTGGGACACCGCATTCAACTTCAGAATACTTCCATCCTCACCACCAAGACCCGATATATGGATTGATGGACTGCATCATTAGGGAGGCCACTGAGATTGAACTCCATCCCGACAATATGAACAGAGAGGTGGGGTTTTGTCTCAGCAAGTCATGGAAGCCTCTCATCTGTTCCCTCAAGAAACCTCCAGGACATGACACCAGATCCACAAGGCCACGCAGGTCCATGCCTAACTCACTTCGCAACCCCAAAGCTTCAGGATTAATGCCTTCCAATTAGCCTTGCCTTCTCTCCCCCCAACACTATACTCTATACCTGCTCTGGCCTGCTACCTGCTGGCCCACCTCCCCAGACCCTTCCCCTCTCCTCTCTACTGATTTCCCATGTAGCCCCTCTCCCTTCTCTTCCTGCTCTTATACAGCTGGGTTCACTCGACTGGACTCACGCTGGTTCGCTCATGGATTTCTTCTTTTCGTCTACCCTGAAGATGGAGGTGATACGTTCCTCCGAACGTCTGTTAACACATTATCTACAAGGCGCCACATCCCAGAAGACTGCTTTCTTCAATATATTACTTTATCACATGATAATATATATTACATTAGAATGCATCATAAACATGCATGATTAACTTCATATTTTGCCTTCAATCTGTATATAAATTGATTTGCTCACATAGTCATACATTTTATGGTACCCTTTCAAATAAAATTACTATCTAAACTTTATANTATCACATGATAATATATATTACATTAGAATGCATCATAAACATGCTAGTCATACACAGGACATGCATGATTAACTTCATATTTTGCCTTCAATCTGTATATAATTTGATTTGCTCACATAGTCATACATTTTGTGGTACCATTTCAAATAAAATTACTATCTAAATTTTATGAACACAATTAACTGCACAAAATAATAATATCCAAATTCAACAGAATCAAGAAAGATCAAAATATTATGTTTCATACTTATGTCATTGCATCAAGTTTACTGCATTACAACCTTACATCTTTTTTTCTACAACCCATGGACCTACCATTATCCAATTAAATCAGGAAATCTGAAGCTCTGTAACTGATAACATTCCACACAGCATTATGTGAAAACAAAATGTCTATTAAGTTGTGTGCTGAAACTGATCAAATTTTGTGGAACACACTGCAGTAGCCAGACTATAAAGATGGTAAGTGTGATGTGCACCAAGTGCACTGACTGAACTGTGAAAACTGAAGTGATACACCATCATATTTCATAACAGTCTATTGATGTCTTCCTTTTTTCTTTTCTTATGCAACTCTTCCACCTTCTGAACTGCTCTGACTTTTTAAAGGCACTTCACAGAATATTCAACCTTTACTGTCTACATACCACATAATTGTGTCAGCAGTGGCAATCCACTTAACTTCTTAATGACAAACAGCAGCATATGTCATAGCTTAGGAGTTCTATCTTCTAAATATCCCCCAATACAAAAATTTAAGCCAATTGATGCCTAGGCTTATTACAGTATGCCACCCCTTTGCAATTCAACATAGATGGAAAGCGAGGCATCTTTGAGGCCAATGGAAATGTTGAAAAGAACACAAAAACATTTAGTGAGTAGCTCTCCCAACTGAAAACATGATACAGAACGATGTACCTCAAATGTAATTAAAAAATAAAGGATTATTGCGAAAACCCAAGTCAAGAGTTTTTTTTAGAAAGAGTGACATGATGTCCACCAAATGACCCTGAGAGTAACTGAAGCTAGTTGCTACATTATCAGGAGAAACCCTGGGGGCGTCCGCGTCTAGGGGTTGTCCGAAGGGAGGCATACTCTCGCCTCTGCTGTGGGGCCCGGTCCTCAACGATCTCCTGTGGGGACTTAATGATGATGGGCATTATACAGTAGGATATGCTCATGACATAGCAATCCTCATAAATGGAAAATTCCTTTCGACCGTATCAGGGCGTCTTCAAACAGCTCTGTACATGGTCCAACGATGGTGTGAAAGAACAAGTCTTTCCATCAATCCCAATAAGACGGTAATTATATCGTTTACTAGAAAGAGAAATATAAACGGCCCTAAGGAACCGACTCTCTTCAATAAGAAAATCCAGCTCTCCAGCGATGTCAAGTACCTTGGTCTAGAATTAGACAAGGGACAGACATGGAAAAAGTAGCTGGACAAGGTCATTAACAAAGCCTATAAGGCTTTTTGGACATGCAGAAGCATTTATATGTAATAATACAAATGCCATCATAAATGCAACAATTTATTTGGTTGTAGCTCTTTGTCTTTTCTTCCTCTACACTACACGTTTCAGGTGTAACTGGCCATCATCAGGTGTATTTTTTGCTACGTAGCTGTCACACGGCACACAATCCAAAATCTAAAACACCAGCCTGTCAGTTTTGTTTAAAATCTCTCACCATATGCCATTAAATTTTAAATTGGAATTCTAAAATCAAATTGATGAGCATATGGTGAGAGAAGCATGTTCGGTAAAACTTGGGGACTGCAGCCGCATCTTGTGCACTGGATATATACTGCGGTTGTAAGACCCATAATTACATATGGCGCCACAGAATGGTAGCCCAGAGTTAAACTCAAGACAAGCAAGGCAGAACTCAGCAAATTGCAAAGGTTGGCTTGCTTGGATATCACAGGAGCAATTCAAACATCTCCAACAGCTGCATAGGAGATACTCCTTGGACTCCCCCCACTGCATCTACAGTTGGAGGCAGAGGCCAGGGCAGGAATCTACCGTCTCCAGTGCAGTGAACAATTGAAACCTAGATCCGATGGTTTCGGCCATGCATACATAACTCAGGACATGAAAAAAGAACCCATATTACAAACTGGGTCTGACAAAATGATACTGAGACATGTATATGAAAAACCCTTCACAGTCAGATTTNTTAGATAGGAACTACAGAAATAGGAACATCTACATTCTATCTGACAGCCAAGCTGCACTTAAAGCGCTTGACAAACACCAGATCAATTCAAAATTTGTCTGGGATTGCCACCAAACCCTCATGGAACTGGTCAAACATAATGGTACAACTGATATGGGTGCTGGGGCATGAGGGTATTGCTGGCAATGAAACAGCACACCAATTAGCTAAGATTGGAGCTGAACATCCATTCACAGGACCTGAACCAGCCTGTGGTATCTCTATAGGAGTTGCCAGACAGGCAATCAGGGACTGAACAAACATGAAACACAAGAAACACTAGGGATTCTTAACTGGACTTAGGCAAGCAAAGGGACTCATACGAGGACCTTCTACTAAAAGAGCAAGAACTGTTGAAGTTAAACAGGAACCAGCTACGATGGGTGGTAGGACTACTTACAGGACACTGTCACCTCTAAGGACACCTGCTCAAACTGGGACTAAGTGATAGTCCCACTTGTGAGAGGTGTCAAGAAGAAAACGAAACAGCCACACATATCCTGTGTGAATGTGAGGCCTTAGCTTATTTAAGATGTCACTTGGGTCAATACTTTATGGAACCAAGTGACTATTTCGATGCCCCCATGTAGAGGGGATAATCAAAAGGGGAAGCACAATAGACCATTGTAGGTTGTGGTGCAAGGTCCAAGAAGGCCTACCCCTCATACATACATTCATTCATTCATTCATTCATTCAACTGAAGCTAGTGAGTGCAGAGCAAGATGGCATCTTCTGTAGCCAACACCAGTCAGGACAGTTACAATAGTGTCACAGCAGGGCAGCATAAATTATGACACAAACAAGATGAACTCTTAAAACCGATAAGAACACATATTTATTTAGTACTAAAATTCATGATATGTAGTTCTGAAATTATTAAAAGAGGTGGGAAAACTCATCTTCCATTTATGAAAATATTGTGACGTATTGCGCTATGGAGGACATCCCCTCCCCCACCAGCAGTGACATAACATCAGGCGCAGTCGCTACTGCAGTAACAGGCCAGTCAACACTCCGCCCGCCCCCCCTCCCCCATGGTGGCGTAGCAGGGTATGCCGCAGTTGCTATGCAGCAGTAAACAACCCCCGACAGTGTTGCCCAGCAACACCTGTAAACACAGTGACTAGGTAACAAGGAAGCGGGCGTCTTCCCGTTGTCTAGCTGAGGGTTTATAAGAGAATCACACTGCCTAAGGAGTTAGTAAAAGTGTAGCAGTCGCCGAAGACAGTTGGAATACAGCAGCAGTCTTGGGAAGAAGCCCCGAACGCGTGGTTGGATGATTTGATGTGATAATTTGTGATAGTGCTGATGGCAGTAATTGTAAGACTGTATAACTGTGAAGTGTATAAGTGTGATTGTAAGAGCGAATGTGCAATAAATTCACTTTATCAAATATGGCATGAAGTCACTTGTCACGTGACATATACCCAACACGTGACAATATGATGCCAATCCCTTCTGACATCAAATCCTGTTGTACAAAGTAAATACAGTTATCACTCACAAAATTCTTGAGGCTCAAAACTGGAAAATGAATGCTCAAATTGAGATCAAGAATCTTTTTTCTCAACTTGATCTTGAAAATTTGAGCCAAAGCTAAAGCATGAAAAATTGGCACACATGAAGGAATTAAAATGTAGAAAACTGAAGCAGTTAGCAAACTTCAGATTTTCATATAAAACATTCTAAAATTGGTAAAATCTTGTTCTGCAGCATTTGTTATATGCTTCTTAGGCAAGACTTTTTTAAACAAAAAAGTTATTAAACAGTGTCATGAGAGCCGAGCGTGGAGTTGGGGTCAATTCACCTGGCCTGTGCACTTCTCATCTGAGTGAAATATCAAGACACCTCTTCATGCCTTCTAGTACATTCTGGAAAACTACTCAGTGGATTTCGAAGTCCAGTTGCAGCACAGTGCAAACATATGTGCAGTAGCAGTCAAGAAGCACCAAGTACTTTGAATCATCAGCGAGTCAGTGCGGTCTGGTAATGAGTCATCAGGTCCAGGGGGGTGTTAAGTCAGTTGGCAGTTCAGTTGAGTACATGAGGTGAGAAGCCAGTCTACCACAGTGTGGAACCATCTGTGGCAGAGGAAGCACAGCACAGGTAATTAAATTCAGTGCACTGCAGAAGAAAGATGAAAGAAGAAGACGGTACAGTGACTGGGCAGTGACATTATGAGTGCACAAGGGCTGACTTCAACAGACAGTAGGACAATATCTGCTGCAAATATCAATAAACATTACAATATATATCCATAATTTGGGGACCAAATTATCTGACTGTTTATGGCAGGAAAACATTTTAAGAGGTTTTCTTCGCCATAATTTGGACGGGGAAAGTTTTTCTGTCTTAGCCCTTTAAATTTTCAGAATTTATTAACAACATGTAAAAATATATGACCGCTGATGTGCAGAATGTTGAGAACATTACTATGTCAGAAGTCCTATCCTAACATTTACACATCTGAAGAAAACCAAACGTTTCCTGTATGAAAGCCTGGGTATCATAAATGCAAATTAAACTTGCTATATGCTGCACTGACATGTTCTTTAATATTATCTACAAATGACTAAATATGAAGGAAATGTTATGTGATCTTATCTGCCAGGCATCTTATCATTCTTGTGATCCTACCTGCCAGGCATCTTATCATTCTCCTTCAAGATGGTGACTGCTGTAAGGAGCAGAATCACACCAGTCAATCCATAACCTGGATCCTTACCAGATACCTGAAAACAAAGCACTTTACGTGGGTGACTTTTATTTTTAGGTCTACACCAATAAAGCAATGTACTTGTATCTGCACTAAGAAAAAGACCCTTCTAAGTTGGTTGAAACATAAATTTAATTTTTCTCTACAACTACTATTCAAAAACTGTTCTCTAACAAATATTTAACACGATATGAGCAGGAAGACATAGGTAGTTATGTAAAGTGTCAACTGTTTTGTCTGATTTTAATAAAAATAGAAAGTGCTGACAAATTTGATTAAAACTCCCTAATATAATATTTCATAGAAATCTGTTCAGGGTTCTCCAATTGCTTCATGCTTACAGAGAAACTGATCGATCAATGGAAAAACTGATTTTAACAGGTGCTCTGCTAGGCTGCATATGTACCTAAAAATTCAAGACCATATCATGTCTACAAAAGGCACTGAAAGTTACAGACTCCTCACTGCATAAAATAGGAACTATATCTCTGCACACTTTGGGTAGTATTATTCTGCAATCTATGGCAAAAATGGACTAATAAACAAAGTCACCACTGTGTTGTAAAAGGGTCAGTTCCACTAGAACATTATATACAAGATTTATGCATTTACATTAGTTCTGAACACTGAAATGTCAACTGAAGCATCTACCTTGACAACAACATGTTTGTTGGGAGGCAAATTATGTTCATCTGTCGGTTCTGATAATCTCTCTTTCCAGCCTTCGCCAAACAGTGTTAGGCTGAAATATGAATTCTTCATGTTCTCTTCAGATGGTCCCTCATGAGATACTGCTCCAGCACTGAACAGCCTTGGATACTAGAAACACATTAACCACAAGGACTGTCTTACTGATTGGTTAATTCATTTTGTAACCCCACTCAACTCTCAATAAATCAAAGCAAGCACAAACTCTGGTTACAAAATCTAGAACTAGGCAGACCTACATTCTGATAATGGCATTTCATCTATACCATGCGCAGTGATTTTCATGAGTTCTGTCATTGTTCCTAAACCTTCTTCCTCTGGGGCTTGTGACTGGAGAAACCATCACAATTATTTGAAAATGAATGAATTACATTCCTCATATATATTTTGCCAATGCCAGGAAAAGAGGACAAGCATAAATATATCTGCCTTGTAAGTATAAGCCTGAGGATTTTTAAAATCTACTCCAGATTCAATCAGTGTTTTTCAAAGTTCAATCAATTAACCATGGAAAAATACAGGTATTAATAAATCTGATATTACTCTATCACTGTGATATAGCACAGCTCAATGTTTTTCCCTTTTTAGCCAGTATGGGTTGATATGCATACCAGCAAACAACTGATGTGCACTGATAACCTTGTCAAAAGTTGCACACCTGCCAGTGCATTGTATATTTTAACCTCAATGCTAAAAGTGATCATGTGACCACCAGCAAACAAGTTTTAGGGGAAAAAAGTGCTCCTTAAGATCACAGCATTACTGGTTTCAAATAATAAAAAAGACAACTGTGTATCTCTGCAGTGGTAATACATGTGACTTTCAAATACAAAGGTTTAAATTCATGCCAAGGACCACCCAAGCTATCTCAGTAAGAATTTTTATGGTTTCCCTCATTGGTGCAAGCAAACAGCATAGACTAGGATCAAATCTGCAGTCCTCTACTTTAAAGCAATCATGTTTAGTACTGAATCACTATGAACAAAATGCAAGTAGCTTTACCTCCAGCAAAAGCCTTCTTCCAAACTGGAATTTGGAAAGGAGTACAAAGATAAGTCCAAGAACACCAACAGCAAACAAAGTAAGAACTGACTGGATGATCATGTATGTTTGGACCTGGGCAGGTCGCAGTTTTTCTTGTTCAAAGAAGTACCTTTGTGAACGCAACATCACGGATCTGTCAGAGCCAGGGAATGGCACACACCATCCATCAATACGCTCATTCTTAAACAGCGTTCTGAAATGTCATCATAAACTGCAAATCAGGTTACTTTTATCTTTAAATCAAGGTTAAAGCTACTTGACACTGATGTGACAACATTTAAGGCTATTTGTTTCAACTTTGTCCATAGTCCTAATTCTTTTTATAAAAACCAATATGTTTTGGAAATGGGTTCTATTTCTGTCATCAAGTCAGTCAGAATATGGTGGAACTGCTACTCTGTTTGGACCCCTATGCAGAGACCAGAGTATGACAGTAACTATACTTCAGGGCCAAAAACAGATGGAACTTCTTCATACCTTTCCCATTCCAGATGGTAATAGAATCTGTTTTCTGAAATACTGTGGCTTTTATACACACAACTAGGATGATAAACAAAGTTAAAATAAATACTTGTTTAAAAATTGTACTGCATTTCTTTTCTAACCCAGTTCAGCAAGCAGGAAAATATTATTTGCATGAAACATGACTGAATTAATATTTACAAAGAAATTATACTTTTGTAAACTTACAGCCAAGGCATAAGGAAATTAATTTGTATTTCAGTCCCTTAAATCCTGCTGATTTGGCATGTGGAATGTTAGAAGCATGTATAGAACAGGTTCACTCAGGGCAGTGGCGGAAGAAATCTTAAAATACATAAGTTAGATTTAGCAGGAGTACAGGTGGTCAGATGGGACGAAGATGGCATCACACCAGCAGGTGAATATACATTTTTCTATGGAAAGGGGAATGAAAATCACGAATTAGGTCCAGGCTTTTCCGTACATAAGAGAATCATATCAACAGTTAAGAGGGCAGAGTTCATTAGTGATAGGATATCATGTATATAATACCAAAAGGTCGCTGGTGTGAAATCATCATTACGAATGTCCACCCCAACAGAAGATAAAATTGATGACATAAAGGACAGGTTCTATGAAGAACCAGACCATGTATTTGATAAATTCCCAAAGTACCCTACGAAAATTTTGTTAGATTTCAATGCCAAGGTAGGGAGGGAAGACATTTTCAAACCAATGACTGGGAATCAGAGTTTGCATGAAATTAGTAATGATAGTGGAGTTATAATACTAAACTTTGCCACATCAAAAAATCTTACTGTCAGAAGTACAATGTTCCTGCATCGTAACATCCATAAATTTACTTGGACATTTCCTGATGGGAAGATACACAATCACATCAACCATATTTTGATAGATAGGAGACAGCATTCAAGTATACTTGATGTCTAATCATGCAGGGCAGCAGACTGTGCTACTGACCACTACCTGGTGTTGGCAAGGGTTATGGAAAGACTGGAAGTGAGCAAACAAACAATGCAAAGAGTTCACGGCCTTGGAAAACTTGGACACTGAGGTGGATATTAATAAAACTTGGGAAACTAATAGAGAGAATATCAAAATTTCTGCCAAGGAGAGTCTAGGTTATTATGAACTGAAGAAGCATAAGCCATGGTTCAATGAAGGATGCTCAAAATTACTAGACCAAAGAAAACAAGCCAAATTGCAATGGTTACAGGATCCAAGCAAAATACATATGGATAATGTGAACAATATAAGATGTGAAACCAGCAGGCATTTCAGGAATAAAAAGAGGGAATATCTGAAAGACGAAACTGATGAGGTTGCAATGAACAGTAAGAACAAGAACATTAGAGAGCTGTATAGAGGAATAAATGACTTTAAGAGGGGTTACCAACTGATAAGTGACTTAGTGAAGGATGAGAATGGTGATCTGCTTGCAGAGGGATCTAGTCTCTAGGAAAATGATAACATTACCATACTAACATGGTGGGCCAATGCAGCAAACAGTAGAAGAAATTTGACGAAGCCTATGCGTGGTCCACTGAAGTAACACAAAACTACTTGCAGCTTATAACATTTTGAAAGATCATTCTTAAATATCAAATTGTGGACTTAGAATCACCTAATTATTAAATTAGGTTTAACCTATTGTTATGTATGACTTTATCACATATGATTTTTATTCTTATTTTATTGTATTTTATTGTTAATCTTAACCAAAGCCTAGTCTAAGTTGTGTCTAGTTTCTGAATTGAATAGAAACTAACTTGTGTGAACCATTTATAAGAATGGGAAAGTTAGCGTTGCAGTTCGGTAACAGTATGTGAGAAACTTGCAGCACCTGAAGATGCTGAAGGCCGAAACATGTAGCGCATGCTATATAAATAAATAATAAAGTATTGTTGTGTTGATGGTAAGAATTATACATATTCATAACTTGACAACCTGAGCTACAAGTATTTAAACAGCCTAGTATAATGCAAGATCAGAATACAGTGTATGAGTTGAGTTTGTTCATTTCACTTGTAGGTGGCTGAATATAATGCATTGTTGTGAACATGGTAAAATTAAATTTCAACAAGTACAGCCTAGGAGAAGACCAGTACAAATGATAACACTGCTGTGCCAAACTCTGACTTCAGTTATGGTATACTATGAATTTGGCATTCTTGATATTTACAGAAACTGAAAATTAACCAAATTAATCAATTAACTAGTCATAGACAAAACTACTTTGAATAGGTTTGTAGCACATTTAATTACTACGTAAAATTTATTTTATTTTTATATTGACATTATCACAGAATGTTTACTTAATAACCCTTATTCCCTGTATATCTTCAACATACTTTAAAACCACCACAGCTCCTTACTCTCTGCACTGGACATATGTTAATGGGACTTTCTTTCACTCAAAATAACTTGATGAATGTACCCACACAGTTACACAGAATCCTCCTTAATCACCCTTTGTGGTTGTTTCTTATAACTGGAGTGAGACTGAATCACTTGACACTGTACCTGCCCCAAAAGACATATGAGAGAATGGGGCATTTGAGGGAGAATGAATGAATGCATTAGGGGCAGGCCATAATAATCCAGCCCTTGCACTGCAACCTTCGATAATCTATTGTGCTTCCTACTTTTTGGTTAAGCCTTTATCAATCCCACATGTTTATCTGTCATTCCAAGTTTGAAAAGATGTCCTAGGTGATAGTAAATTGTTCTATCACCCACCTTAATTGGTCTCTATTTAAATGGAAAACCAAAGTACTTTGAGAAAACCTACCCTGGTGCCATTTTGTCCACCACAAATCCCACACAAAGACAAGACAACATCAGTAATATCACACATCTTCATTTCATATTTAACAATACCCAAATCAAAAGAACAATAAACATAAAAAAAAATTGAAAGTGTCTTCACCTTCGTTTTAACTTTGGGGTAAACTCTGGCAAACGTTCAGGGAACAATTTCTGACGAAGAGGTGACAGTTCACTGTAATGAGCCAAACCATAGACAGCTGACTCCCAGGTACCATAGTGTATGGATGCACCCTAAAAGAATTGTGATCACAGAAATATACATATCTTATAACATGGTACATACAAACATTAAATCTTTACTCAGAGGCCATTCATATTCAACATTTAAAGTTTATGTAGCATATACAACCTCTTTATTTGACCGTCAAAACACAGCAAATATAGAACTTCAAGGACAATGCTCAGTATAGTTCTGCTACATGTTTATGTAGCAATTCACCTGCACTGGTCCAGTAGCTCCAAATGTAAGGTAAGTCTCCACAGAGTTCAGATCTCCTGCAAAACAAAACACTAATTACTGATTTTAGGCACACATGATGGTTCACTGTTCATATTGGTTGTGTTTGGATTTTTGCACTGTGTGGATCTGGGCAGTGCTGCTGACATTTTGGAGGTACATGCTGCCTCCATCTTCAGGGCTGGAGTATGGTGAATGTCACCAACAATGTCCACATCCGTATGGTGCAAAGATTCAAGAGTAACTTACCAGTCCCAATGTATATGAATGTGACTGACTGACTAATATCATGTAGCAGAGCTGTTCTTATGAAGAAAAGTAAAACACAGAAGAGATATGAAATGCGTTCAAAATTTTGTAGTATAGAAAACCTGAAGGGACAAGAACACTTGGGAGACCTAAGTTTAGATGAAAGGAAATATTAAAATGGATCTTCAAGAAACAAAGTGTGATGATGTAAACTGGATTCACCTGACTCAGAATAAGGATTAGTGGCCAGTATTTGTGAATGCAGCAATGAACCTTCAGGTTCCATAAAAAAATCTTCATCAATTGAGAGACTATTAGTTCTAATGAGAGATTCTCTGAAAAATGAAGACCGTGAGTAAAAATGAATATCTAAGGAACAAAAGACAAACTGCTATATGGAGAGACTCAAAATGGTTTTACCACATGAAACAAAGAGAAAGAAACAGAGAATCTTGAATGGCAGTGGAGAAAATGAACACAACAAAGTCAGCATATGTGTTGAACACATGAAGTACAAAATTTGAACTTGTGAGTGGATACACAAGGTTAAAACCCTATTTCAAATTTAACACTCAAAGAGGACATGAGCTAAGAAACAAAGCAAGATGAAGTGAGCAGTTTCAATATACTTAATCTTTTCCTATTCTATTTTATCAAAGTGACTGAAATATGTTGTATCACATGGCCTTACTAAATTCATATATAAATAACATATAATAAAGATATTTTTAACCTTTACATCTGAGCACTGTACTACTGTGATGGTGAATATGAGGTCCTATTGTCGTATTGTTTTCAACATAAATACCACTACCTAAACTTAAAAACTGGCTACTGGTGCCCTAGTAGCAGGGGCTTTAATAATCCACTTCCAAACTATAAAGGTTAAAGACAAACCTTTAAATTTGTTCATCAAATATACTGTCCCAAGATCAGCTGGAATACTGTCAAACCCACAGGAGCTTATGGCATACACTCCTTTCTCTTCAGCGGCCTTGTGATATTCCAGCTGCATCTTCTCCATGTACTGTAACAAGTGCATCAAAATCATGGTATTACGATTACTGTGTCAATGTCCAGCTTTGGCTAGGCATAGAATAGAGATCTTCAGCACTGCATAGTCAGAGCTGACAGATAAATGGATGCCTCAATCAGCATGGTTCTGGCACTGGTAGTAGTCAGGGCCCTTCAAAGGGCCATAACAAGATCACACATTTGACACAACAGAGAAGTGAGTGCTTAGTACAACTGAAAGTTGTCCCCCGAAAGTCAATACTAATACCAATGGAATTAACAATAGTAACATGAGGATGTGCTATAGGATGACTTTTGCAGAAAGATTCATATGGTTTGCATCCAATGCCCAACATTATTCTTTCTTCTTCTTCCTCCTCCTCCTCCTCAGTCTTTTTCTTTCCTACTTAGTTTACTTGACCTGTCTGCCAGACTGTGGAGGGATTTACACCAAAGTCATGATTGAATTAAGCTGACTATACTTCTGTGACTGTAATAAAACTGTATTTAAGTTTTGTAGGCAAGTCCCATAATATCTGCAGGATATTACATTTGTAATTTAGCTTAATGTAATACTCTTGAGAGCACTCAGAACACAGACCCACATAAATACATCAAACACAACATAAATTTAATCTACTGCTTGGTTTCAATCAACTTCACCCCTCTCCCTTGCAATTTTAATTTATTTGTTTTGCATAAAACTTTGCATTTGCTATTATTAAGCATTCTTGGGTTTAACAGTTGATATTCATCTCCTAAAATTCATTACTGAAAAATAATTACACTTTCCAAAAATGTCTGAGATTTAAGATTTTCACGGTAGTGACTATGATGACAGCAATATTCTGGGATGTGACACCACACAGTCTGGCATAAGTTTACCTATAACAGATATTTCAAAAGAATGTAGATTTCAGGCATACATTTGGTCTTTAAGACTGGGGTTTCATCACAGACCTAGCAATTGTTTGGTTACAGACTAGGGAAGTTGGTTTAAGGTATAATCAAATCAGAAAACTTATTCAAAGAGTTTCTAAATCACAGTTACATGCAGTCCATGAGTCACACACAGTTCCCAAAGAGTTAAGGGATAAATAGGCACAAATCTAGGAAGAGATCTTTAAGATCAATAAAAGTTCGTATGCAGACTAATCATGATTTTACTGTACAAATATTAATAATCACTCACTTGAGGCTCACCGCTCACATCCACATGGTGAGTTCCACTTGCTATACAAGCACTCACAACGGCTTCTCCATATAATCTGTATGGTCCAACACAGTTAACAACAACATGGGCTTGAGAAGCCATATTCTGAAGAGATGATGCATCATTCACATCTGCCAGTACAATTCTGACTCCAGCAAGGTCTTCACCTATAAATCCACCCGGTTCCATGTTAATGGGTTTATATTATGTAAAGTTAAATTTATGCCACACTTGTTTAAAACTATTGTTTTGAACATGAATAGGAGAAGAAAGAAAGAAAACCCATTCTCTTAGGTCCCTATGTAGATCTATCAAACCATGGACCATGGAGGATTCTGATCTGGGAGCAGCTCTGCCTACAGACCCAAGAAAGCAGGTTTTCTTGCTTCTTATCCTGTTCATTTGGCAGGGGAAATACTATTTCTAAATATACCAGGGGCTTAAAAGAACCGAAACTATGGGCAAATTCTAAAAGAATTATCTCCAAAACACTGCATTCCAATACTGTCAAATCTTTAAACATAACTTAAGATTTTACCTGTTTTTTCTCCAACCTCCTTTAGTACATCCTCCAACTTATTCCTAGTTCTTCCGGAAATACCCCACTTGACACCCTTCTCCTTGGCTAACTTAACCATTTCATACACGACAACTTTTCCAGTGAACCCTGTTGCACCAAATATTATGATATCCAGCTTATCACCTTGACTCCCCATTGCTGATAATTCTGAAAACATGATTGTTCACAGCTCTTAACTAATGTATACTCTGTTATGTAAGCCTACTGAAATGAAGAGAATAAATGTATAATCAAAACTTATTTAATTTTTATTCACAAACTACAGAAGTACTTTATGGATTGCATCCTATGTTATGGCCATCAACATAAAACAAGCAGGAAACAATACGAAAACCCCCATACCCCTCCAGCACATTGACACACCACTGTGGAGGGTTTTGCACAACATCTAAGCACACCAACTAGCCAACATTCAAATTTATTGTGGAATCTTGACTTGATCCTGCTGTCTCATGTGTAGGAGCAAAGGGCTTTCATAAAGCTTCTCCAAAGACTTCTGTCCATTGCCAACCTCTTCATTTCCCTCCATGTCCTTCCTTCTCTCCATGCCTCTTCCACAACCGACCTCCTCCAGGTCTTCTTTGGTCTTCCACTCTTCCTTGTGCCCTGGGGGTTCCAATCCAACACAACTCTCTCAACTGCATTTTCGTCCTCCCTAATAGTGTGCCCTGTCCACTTCCATTTTTGTTTTTTAATCTGGAGTTCTATTGGTTTTTCTCCTGTTTTCTTCCATAGCATTATATACTAATTACATCTGGCCATCACACATTTAATATTCTTCGGAGACAATAAGTGAATGCAGCTTTTGCATGACTGAATTTGTTACCTTCCACGTTTCACAGCCATACAATAAAACTGATTTCACACCACTGTTAAAAATTTTTAACTTGGTTTTCATTCTTATATTCTTGTTTTTCCAAATCCTATACAGCTATACAAACATCACATTTACCTCCTTAATAGGACTGGTTATATCTTCATCTGCTCCACCACCTCCCATTACAATACTTCCCAGATAACTATATTCATTTACAACTTCTAATTCCTTTCCATTTACTTTTTGCTGGTTTTGATCATTACTTTTGTTTTAGTTTCATTTATTTTTAATCCTATTTTCTTTCCTATCTTTTCTACATCCTTCATCTTCTCTTGCATGACTAAAAGTCTATGTGACAAAAGACATACATCGTTTGTAAATACCAGCTCCTCAAATTGTTCATTCATTCTCCATATTATACCCCTTTTCTTTCCCTGTATACTTTTCCTCAACACTTCTTCTTTAAGCAGCAAAAAGACATTTGGGGAAAGCACACATACTTTTCACACTCCAGATTTAATTTCTATAGGCTCTGTCAATTTCCCTTCGTGTATAATTTGACAAGTATAATTCCTGTATGTTTCCTACTCAAATTTCAATATTTTTTGTGGTAGACCAAATCTTTCCATTATTTTCCATATCTTATCTCTACTCATTGACTCAAATGCCTTTCTGAAATCAATAAACACCAGATATAATGTTTCATTCCACTCATTGCTCTGTTCTATTATTATTCTTCCTAAATCCTGCTTGCTCTTTCATTTCATTTCATTTCATTTTTATTATCATTCAACAATCCATACATACAGGTATTACAACCATTTGGATAGGGAAATTGTCAGATTCTTGTGCGTATCTTTACAGAATACACTGTACCACCCTAATATAGGGGGTTTGTCATCTGAATAATATTATCTAGATCTAATTACCATTAATTTCATTGTCTTTACACAAAATACAACAAATTAATCAGCTACATATTACATTTACACACTTGATGAATCAAAAGACATAAATTCATCTACAGAATAAAAGGAATGTTTCAGCAAAAAAGACTTTAATTCCTTTTTAAATGAGTTAAAATTTTCCCTTTGTTTTATTTGATTGGGGGCCTTATTATACAAACTAATTCACATATTTATCACACTCCTCTTAAAAAGAGCTATATTACAGTGCTGTACATGAAATTTTTTTTTCTTCATGTGTTATAATTATGAATGTCTGAATTTATTGCCATAAAAGCCTTGTACTTTTTGATAAAGCATGTTACCTTTCTTTAATCTTTGATCAATTTCCTCTCTTATTCTATTCAATATAACTGTAGTCATAATTTTACAGGGTACTGACAAAAGCGTGATCATTGTGGAATCTCTACTTCTATATTTTTACATTTTTGTATTTTCATGTTCTTTAAATTTAAATTTTATTAGAATATTAGTATATAGATGCATGCTCACCTTATAAATATATATTCACTTGCAACAACATGCATCTCTTGCATAAATATGGAACCATATAATGGCTATTAATTTCAGTCACTTGAGTTATAGATAAAAATGAGGTGTCTGCTTATAACCTAAATTATAGGTTGAAACATGTAACATGATTTATGCTTACATTAAATGAGTAAGATATATACCAACATCTGTTGTCTTCACTGAAGATATTCCCATTTCATTTGTTGTGTTAACAGCTATAACATAGGATAAAATAAAGGAGTACTATCTACTTGTTATTGGGATAACATGTTCAGGGATTATTAAACACAATGTACTGTCATAAGGGAGGAAGGATCAGTGTCTCTTTCCTTCTAACTTGCCAGCAGCCCCTAACACAGCATACATTTGAAGATTTTCATAAAACAGACAACTGGGAACATAATGAGGAGAGAAAGGTAGAATGAAGCTTGGACCACATCTACCCACCACTCAGGGAGTCAATCATAAAGCTGGTCATACTTTGCACACATACTGAAAATTACACAACTCTAAGCTGCAGAATAATATGCAATTTCATCTCATATGGTATACCTTATGAATATCATCAGTTTTCACTCAGTATATGTCAGTCATGGTTCACACTACAAACACCATTTTCAAGTTTTTTATTTTCTATTTCCTTTCAAATAGAGCCAGACAGCTGTGTCAGTATAGTGATTATTTATTTTGTCTCTATAGATCATTGTTACATGATATAGGATAAGTCAGTTACTGTACATTGGCTGATTACAATAAGAGAATAAAGTTACAATACTTACAATTGTTTACAATAGATTACAATAGTTAAGATTTCCTATAGTGTGACGTGGAATCCATATTAGGTCCCCTCGGCACGTCGGCTTCCATATGTCCTATTGTACCTGTGCTGGTGACAATGCTTATGGAGAATTTGAATGAATTATGTCAAGGGCTGAACAAAAGAACCTATTCTATTCTCTACAACATTCAGATTGGCTCTGTGGACCATGCTGACTTCTATCCAGTGGTACTGGAAGCTTTCTCGCCAGGGGTAAAGCAACTGGGGCATGAAGCTGACCATTCACCTCCATCCAGTGCCAAGGTTATGAATGCACAGAGCTCCTCATATGTCTTCAGGGTGTGGTGCCTAATTAAGCATAGGCACTTTACCTTTATCTTTCTTTGCCTTTAGGGGAAAATAAACATACTTTTCAAAGCTACAAATCTCAACCTTCTGTTCCAACAGAAACCTTGAAAAGCTTGTATGTGACACCTATGGCACTTCTCCAGAGATATTCTCAAAAGTACCTCCAACTGGAGGATGTTTCACAGATATTCATAGGACAAAACAACAGAGGCTGTCAAACAAATCTAGTTTCTGGTTCCATTAAACACACCACAAATAAGTTATAAAGAAAAATGTGAGAGATTTATGAATGTCCAGACAAATATCTGATGTATTTTTAAGCTAGTTTATGGGATGGCAAACCATTCCTGTATGCAAACCCCTAATAACGTTTTAATAAGCTAACTAATTTTTATTAAACTCTGTACAGTGCTCATGGCAACAGATATTTGTATCAAAGTCAATTACTTTTAACTCCTTCACATGCATATTTGAAGTATATTAAATGCCAACAAAAACAATTTCAAAAGGACTCCTTACATAAGTACATAAACATAGCATGTTGCACAATAATGAATACCGCTCAGACAATCACTACCACTGCATTCTGATTTGGGAACAACACAACTTTTTCGACCTTAATGTGCCAAGATGTGAGAATCCTTAGTATCTGCCTTAGAAATGTACATAAGGAATTAATTGGAAGGCTTCAATATTATAAAAAATAATTAAATCTACGGAGCAAGTGGCATAATAGTTCATGCAAGTAACTTGATTTTCTTTGTACATGTACTTATTATTATTATTATTTATTATTTTAATTATATTCCATTAATCCATACAAGGTCAAAGACCTATAGGATATAGAAACTGTCATTATAAATATAAAACAATAAGTATAATAGTAAATCTAATATACATGTCATAAATCTTACAGTAGACATCTGAAACAATTTTACATAGAATTAATACAAATATGGTAATAAAAGTAAATTACAACTACAACATATGAGCATTCTTTTTATATTGTTGATGAGTTTCTTAAGTATAAAACTAGTTAACCACCTAGACAGCATAAATAACGTTATTATATTTTATGGTCATTTATTATCTTTTTCTTGTTCTATGACTGTTAATTATAAACTGGTAGTATTTTATGCTCACATAGTTTAGTGGTTGCTCCTCTATTAATTAGCACACTTTTATAAAATGATTGAACTTTCCATGACTTGAGTGCGGTAACAGATATGCTAATATGGTATTCATTTCATTTTATATAGTGGATAACTTTTTACGTACAAAGTTAGATAATTTGAATTGTTTTATCTGTTTATTAATTCAAAATATTATCTATATTTATAATTTTTTAAATTGTTACCTTGTAATATTTATATTTGCTTATTAATCCTATATTTAATTTTGACAATATCTTTTTATGATTGCATGTTCTTTGACTTCCTCTATATCCAACGGTTGTACCAGCCTGGATTAACAGAAATGAAATAAACGAACGAATGAACTAACCAAATAATGTACAGGTATTCATTGGGAAGTTGTTTTGTAAAATTAATCAGTGCTATAAAATGCATGTTCAGTGAGATAGCTTCTCAATAAAGATTTTAATTGCTTAATGTCTTTAGATAACAATTTAATATTCAAAGGTGATTATAAATCTTGCTTCCAGAGAACAGGACTCCTTTTTGTACTTTTGATAAATTTGTAGAGGGTAAGTATAAATTATAATTATAGCAGGTATTAATATCATGAATATCACTGTTAGATGTAAAGTGCCTTTTATTCTTAATAACGAAAGGAAGCAAGGAAAAAATATATCGGGGCTGGAGTGGCAATATTTGTAATTTTTTTAACAAATCCCGACATGAATCAAATTTGCTCGAACCGGACAAAACTCTTATGATTCATTTTAGAATTTTAAAGATACTCATACTAAGGGGGGCATTACCCCAAAAGATAATGCCATACTTCGGTATCGAATGTACATAACAGAATTCAATTCAATTCAATTTTATTTCATCCATGAATCATTAAACATGATATGGGACAAGTCAAAGATTAATATTAATACTAATACTAAATAGTAATAAGAATATAATAATACAGAAATAGTATGCCAAATTATAATAAATGATAATAATAATAATAATAATATAGTAATACAGAGATAATAATATGACAGTATAATTAGTCTTGAAAACAGTTTCTGTGGTTTCTGTAGTAATCATCTTTACTGAATCTTATGGCGAAGTGTTTAATGTAAACAATTCTAGCCTTGACTGTATGGGCATATTTCATACAAGTCACTTATTTTCTTCATACATGTATTTATAAAGTAGTGGATAATGTCCAATGCAAACAATTTCGGACTCGACTCTAATCACAAACGATTTTTTATTTCCCCTTATAATTGCAATTACACAGAATTTTACATACACTTGCTTGAGACGTTTATACGTGCCAACTGTAAACGCATTCTTACGAAAGCTTACGTTCTATCGGCAAAGTTTATGAAAACATGGATTTACATTTACAATCATCTTCCCTCGAGCTAGAATTTCTTAAGAACAGAGATTCCTCTACCGACAGCTTATAAATACATTGTGAACCTCACCTCAACCAAAAGTTCCACCGTTTATGCTGTCAAGTCCGTCAAGTCCACGAACTAACACATACGCACAAACATCTTAGTCATTCGCAGAGTTCGCACCGTTCGCACGGATCTGACATATCCGGCCCAACCCAATGTTGACGACGTTGGTCAAGACCGTGAAGATCGTCAAGATGAAAAGCTGATCGTGATGAACGATTATTCGACTACTCGTTTATTTTGACGACTTGGCTAATATCCGCTGAAACAAGGATGTTACAAAACTTGATTGTTAGATAATCATACACACACGTATCAGTACAGGTTTACTTCCAGGTTATCTGCTTCTTCAATGCGTATCATAATTTACAACTGTCGGAAATGCCATTCTTGACGTTCTTGACCACCTTACCCCCTGAACGTTAACTAGCGGTGCTGTAAGCATTTTGAGTACACGTATTTCCCATTTTATACGATAGTTGCTTTCCAAGGAAAACGTTGCAGTGGTGAAATTGCATAAATCGAACATCATTTTCCCGTTTCCCCTCCATTCCTCCTACCATCATCCACGACTGGTCAGTAGCAGATGACATCGACCGATGTGTCTAAATTAGCTAATTATTAAAATAATTCTGCAGTTTTCTAACTCGCATATAACGAGCAAGTGTATCCATTCCCATAATCGGATTAGCACTAGTCATTTCTATCTACAAGTAACACACCTATCCAAGGACTTAGGATCACCCACTTTCTTTGTTCGTGGTCATTTGTAGGCATAGATAATACTGTATGTTTTCCAGCAGTACATTTCGGTGTTATAAGCAAACCTTTTCATTTTTAAGCCCCTCCGTCCATGTGCAGAGAACTGCAGGCCGGATTTTCTTGAAATTTGATTGACTGATTGAATTTTAATAAGAAATCTTGACATCTTCCAATTTTCTTAAAATGGAGCACAAATAATGGACACCTTACTTAAGATGTATATGGATGCCTGTGAATATCTCGTAAAATATTTAATTGAACAAAAGTTGCCAGGCAAGTGAATCATTTTTATGTTCAAAACACATTTCCTTCCAGTTCCACCAGGTCTTGAATTAATAATAAATGTGATGCTATGCATAGATTTTCTAACTTGTATGTTCACCACTCGATAGTGGTCTTGAGAACATGGGAAAATTAATGAAGTATCAAAAATTATTTTCTGCACACACCTGAAAATTATAGATGACATAAAAGAATGTTCTTGTCTTTTTCTGCCTTGTACCCAGCCATGTGCTGGTTCAGAGAAGCCCCAATTTACAGGTAAAAATATGATAATATGCTGCTTGGTAGGGGCTAACGTACATGTGATGATATACCGTCTCCTTGGTACTTGAGTGTACTATGTCCATCAACACCAATTTTCAGGAAAGGGTTTGAAGACATTGCAGAGCACAAATTTTCATAATATTTCATCAGAATATTTGTGGAATTAGAAATAAAACAGATGAGATGATATTTTCTTTGCTTCCTAGGCTGCCTCAGGTATTGTGTATATCAGAACATCACCTTAAACAACTAGAACTAGAACAGATTAATCTTGAAGGTTATAAACTTGGTGCTGCATACTGCAGGAAATCTTTACTCAAGGGAGGGGTGTGTATTTTTGTACATAAAGACTACAATTACCTAACGTTGGATGTAAACAAACATTGTAATGAACAAGAGATCGAGGCTTGTGCACTAAAACTAAAACTATCCACAGTTAACATATATATAATCACAGTTTACAGAGCACCATGTGGCAACTTTATTTCATTTCTTAAAGGACTAGATAACATTATTAAGTCAATCTATAAAGCTGAAATGAATTTGGTTATATGTGGGGATATAAACACTGACTATCTCATAGTCAGTGATAGGAGAAGGCAATTAGATGCTCTATTATTATCATATAACCTAAGGGCAACAGTGAATTTCNTGTGCAGAAATGTGATAAATCTATTATATGTGTAGGCTATTCTTATTTTATTGTACCTATTTTATTGTTGACAAAGCTCTGTATAGGAACTGTTTTTTCTTTTATAATTAACTTTGACATGTTCTACATCCTGTGGCATGTTTGTCAATAACGATCTATGGAACAAATAAAAAAAGTGAAAGTGAAAGTGAAATCAAAAAGCATGGGGGCATTTTCATTGTCTTATTACTTCTGCCAGTATGTGGCATACCACTGAACAATGAAAGTAACATTTTAGTTTATCTTTCAAAGTGTCAGCTGGGCTAACATGGTTAAATGAATGCTCTGCCAAGAGTTTTAAGCTTGTCTGAACTGCAGTTTAAATGTGTCACATGCGCAGGTACATAAACTTATGGAAGCGGAGATGGTGAAACAGTAATGATCAGAAAAGTGCATTATCTTATTTTTACCAAAAGTGAGGATAGAACACTCCAATGCTCAGGCAACAAAATGAGTATGAAGAAATGCTAGCTTCTCTTTGCAAAGGCCTGGGTTTTATTCTGGTGACTTAATTTGGGATTTGTGGTGGACAAAGTAGCTATGGAGTAGGCTTTTCTGTGGGTTTCACCTACTAATCACTATATTAGCAGGTGAAAACCACAGAAAAGCCTACTCCATAGCTAATCATTATATTATATTAGCAGGTGGAAACCACAGAAAAGCCTACTCCATAGCTACTTTGTCCACCACAAATCCCAAATGAAGTCACCAGAATAAAACCCAGGCCTTTGCAAAGAGACGCCAGCATTTAACTACAAATGCTAAGACACAGCCATACCTAAATGTCTTATTCTCTGTAATAAATAAATAAAGCTACCTCCCACCTGTGTTTATGGTACATGGTAGCATAGTTTGTTGAGGCACTATGCTACAAGCCAGAATGTTGTGGTTTTGATTTGCAGTGTCATTGGATTTTTTAACTGACCTAATCCTTCCAGCCGCACTATGACCTGCGGTTGACTCAGCCTCTAACAGAGATGAGTACCATGAATCTTCATGAGGGTAATGGGTTCCATTATAACAACAAGCCAAATAGTTTGACTCTGTTTACAAAGGTTCCTCCTGTACTGCTTGTGGAGTACACAAATGTCAAAACAAATGCTAAGACACAGCCATACCTAAATGTCTTATTCTCTGTAATAAATAAATAAAGCTACCTCCCACCTGTGTTTATGGCACATGGTAGCATAGTTTGTTGAGGCACTATGCTACAAGCCAGAATGTTGTGGTTTTGATTTGCAGTGTCATTGGATTTTTTAACTGACCTAATCCTTCCAGCCGCACTATGACCTGCGGTTGACTCAGCCTCTAACAGAGATGAGTACCATGAATCTTCATGAGGGTAATGGGTTCCATTATAACAACAAGCCAAATAGTTTGACTCTGTTTACAAAGGTTCCTCCTGTACTGCTTGTGGAGTACACAAATGTCAAAACAAATGCTAAGACACAGCCATACCTAAATGTCTTATTCTCTGTAATAAATAAATAAAGCTACCTCCCACCTGTGTTTATGGCACATGGTAGCATAGTTTGTTGAGGCACTATGCTACAAGCCAGAATGTTGTGGTTTTGATTTGCAGTGTCATTGGATTTTTTAACTGACCTAATCCTTCCAGCCGCACTATGACCTGCGGTTGACTCAGCCTCTAACAGAGATGAGTACCATGAATCTTCATGAGGGTAATGGGTTCCATTATAACAACAAGCCAAATAGTTTGACTCTGTTTACAAAGGTTCCTCCTGTACTGCTTGTGGAGTACACAAATGTCAAAACCAAGCACGATAATTTGTGTGACTAGACATCCTGGACATATGTAAAATGTCCTTAAATAAGTTCTTGATATGACCACCTATGCAATATAGTAAATTATAACACTATCACAGTATGGTAACTTTATCCACAATACATGACCCACAACTTTTTTTTTTCATATCATAAAATACCCTGGGCCAGACCACTCCAGTCCATACCACCCCATCCGACCTCTCCAAGTTCCATTCTAGTATTAATCGTCATCCTATATCTTGGTCTTCCTAGTGGTCTCTTTCCTTCTGGTTTTCCCAATACCATATATGCATTCCTCTTATCCCCATTAATGCTACATGCCCTGCCCATCTCATCCTCCTTGACTTGTTCATTCTAATTGTAATTGGCAAAGTTCATTATGCAGTTTTCTCCACCCTCCTGTCACATCATCTCTCTTCAGTCCAAATATTCTACTCAGCACCCTGGTCTCAAACACCCTCAGTCTATGTTCCTCCCTTAATGTCGGAGACAAAGTTTCTATCTTGAACGCACAAACACACACACAGAGGAAACATTATAGTTTTGTATATTCTAATTTTTACCTTTTTAGACAGCAGATGAGAAGACAAAAGGTCTTGGACTGAATGGTAGCAAGCAGTAGCTGAATTTAGTCTCCCCTTAATTTCCTTCTGAATCAGATTTTGATTTGTTATAGTCATTCCCAAATATATGAATTATGCCACATTTTCAGAGAATGTGTTAGCTACCTTCATATCATGATTTTGCCCTGCATTCTGGTGATGAGACAGCAGCATATACTTAAGTTTTCTGTGTGTTTACTTCTAGTCAAACCTCTTTACTAGCATCAATTAAGATGTTTGTGTTTTTCTTTATGGTATCTATGTTATCTCCCAGTAGATTAACATCATCAGCATAGACCAGCAGCTGATGGGTCTCATTTAATTTCAGTCCCACCTGGTTTTCCTGGATCTTCCTAATGGCATATTATGTAACAAAGTTGAAACGCAATGGTGATAAGTATCTCCTTGAGACCACTGAGAACAGGAAAATTATCACACAAATATTTACGTATACAGACTCTATTACAGGTTTCATTTATACACATCAGCCCAACTAGTTGTATAGGTAATCCAAACTAATAAAATATTTGTACAATATTTCCCTCCTAACTGAATCATAGGTTTTCTTGAAGTCTATGAATAGCTGAAGTACTCCCATTTTTCTCCAGTACCTGGAAAATGCAGAGAATCCGATCAGTAGTTGATCTGTTGATCCCTAATAATTTCATCTATATATGGACTTAACCTTGAGAGAAGGATTAAATTTTTTTATGAAGTTGATAACAGTAATATCCCATGATAATTACTATAGAGTTTTATTGCCCTTCTTGTAAATTGGTACAACAGCAAACTCCTTCCACTGATCAGGCAATTCTTCCTTATTCCAAATAGAAGTAATGAGTGTATGGATCTCAGACCATGATGTTTCATCTCCTGCTTGAATTTGATCACTGCCTGGAGACTAATGCCTTTCCAGCATATTTCTATCTGTCTAACATCACTGACCCTATGCACATTTAATAACTGAGTGTAATTCTTTACCTATTCAAAATGTTGCAAGAATCTGCAAGCAGATCACCAATTCTCATCTTTCTTACTTCCAGGTTGGTAACATCTCTTAAATTAATTTATTCCTGTATACAGGTTTCTAGTGTTCTTGTTCTGACTGTTCTTTGCAAACTCATTTTGTCTTTCAGATATTCTCTTTTTATTCCTGAAGTGCCTGCTGGCTTCATCTCTTATAATGTTCAGATTGGACTCATTTCGCTTGGATCCTGTAATCCCTGTAACCACTGCAATTTGGTTTGCTTCCTTTGATTAATAATATTGAGCATCCTTAATTGAACCATAGTTTATGCTTCTTCAATTCATAGTAACCCAGACCCTCTTTGGCTAAAATTTTGATATTCTCTCTAATAGTTTCCCAAGCTATATTAATATCCACCTCAGTGTGTAGGTTTTCCAGAGCTGTAAACCTATTTGAGATTTCAGCAACATACTGCTCATTATACTGTACCTTGTTTAATTCCTTGAGAATGAACATCTCCATATGAAATCAGTGTGTTGTTAGTTTACTCACTACCAGTCTTTTCCTAAGTTCTGCCTCCACAAGAGAGTGGTCAGTATCACAATCTGCTACCCTGAGCAATCAAACAAGTACACTTGAATACCATCTCCCATCTATCAAAATATGGTAAATTTGATTGTGAGTCTTTCCAACAGGAGTTGCTCAAGTAAATTTATGAATGATACTATGGGAAAATTGTACGTTTTACAATAAGATTTTTGGACATGACAAAGTTACCTACTCTAACTCCACTGTCATTACTTACTTTGTGTAAACTCTCATTCCCAACTGTTGGTTTGAAAATGTCTTCCCCACCTACTTTGACAGTGAAATCTCCTACCAAAATTTTCAAGATATTTAGGTAATTTATTGAATACATGTTCCAGTTCCTTGTAGAAACTGGCCCTTATAGCAAATTCATCTTGTCAGGGTATGAACATTTGGAACAATATCACACCAGCGAGCTCTTAATATTATGTACAACATCCTATCACAAACTCTATCCTGTCAACGGCCAATGTGATTATCTTATGTACAAAAAGAAACCTGTACCTAATTCAAGATTCTCATTCCTCTTTCCATAGAAAAATGTATATTCTCCTGCTGGTTTGGTGTCATCTTGGCCCATATTACTTATAAATAAAATGCATTGATATTTAATACTTTAACATCTGACAAAATATTGTACATTATCCCACATTGGGCTAGTTTCCTAGATATCTAGGATCTACCTCCAAAACCTGGGAAACAGAATAAAAAACAAAATACTTTATGTCAAGCTCAGGAAGAGATGCCTCGTGGTACAATAAAACACAAGAAGAACTGAACTAATCTAAAATTATTTTTACCATCCATACGAGCTAGAGAAGGCTATCCTGTCCCTCCATCTGCATACAGGATAGTGTAATCATGTATGTGAAACACCATTTCTGTTGTGATAGATGTAATAGTTATGCCACATAATTCATGCAATAGACTACTGTTTATGAAAAAAACAACACTTAAAAGAAATATACTGCACTAGGATAGGCTTTCTAAAACAAACAATAAAGCAACTGGAGAACACCTTTAAATCTTTGGTTTTAAGGGGAAGCAAAGCAGTCCATTTGGATGGCTACCTACTCTAACAAGAGTATCAGAACTGGATAAAAACAGTTTACTTACAGTTTCGACAGATGTTATATTTCTGTACAGAAGTTCTATAATATTTAGATATTAATTTCAAGATATTTTAATAAAATTTGTATAGGTAGAGAGTACACAAACTTAAACAGTATGCTGATGGAGTTAAAGTACACTTACATTTAAAAATCTTATCTTTGTAACTATGTTAACAAGTCTTGCCAAAGGGAGCCACACAATTCACCATGTAGCATAACTTCTGATATACACTGCTGCATTCAGCCCTCAAGTTAATCACATCAGCAAGTGTGCAACTGATATACAAATCAGTACTTCTCACATGACAGCAAGCAAAATATTCACTCTAACACTTTCAATGCTCTATGACCTAATCATGAGGTCAATTACAAATGTTCTGTGGTATACGCTGAAGAATCTCTACAGTATTAGTGGCAGTTACCCTCAGCCCTTCTAGGCTAAAGCCAGACAGTTGCTTGAAATGGGTCATGACAGCCCTCTTTAAAATTTTTATTATTTGTAATCATTTTCAGATCTCTCTCAACATTATATAAGCTCTGCACCTGAAACAGTGTTTTTAAATAGTCTACGAATCATTCTCACCAAAACATATACAAAATTCATCATTTGTTCTTATCCCAAACTGTTCAGTATGGATCAAAATTAAACTCATCAACGAACTCAAATGCTGAATACCACATAAATATGTATTAAGGAAAAATGTGGTTTGCAAGTACAGATGTAAACAGCTACAATAATCAAATTTCCTCAAACTTTGAAATGTAGAGCACAAACGAACAGTTGAACTGTCTGAAATATAGACTATAAACACATCCATAGTTATAATCATTGTTAATAAATTGCAAATGACAAACATTTTCAATATCGCATTTAAGCATCCTGTTGCATTTCTATAACATTCACAGAAAGTATTTATATTAGAGTTCTGTCAACAATGCAACCACTTTATTCCTTAGAATTTTCACTTTTTACAACATGTTTCGGCCCCAACCAGCCATCATCAGGTACTTCAATTCGCCAAAACTGTTATCTGCATTGAATATCGGTCATACATTTCCGTGTAACTGCGTTGATCAGCAACATTAATATGGAACAACGCAGTTACACGTGAAATGTATGACCAATATTCAATGCAGGTAACAGTTTTGGAAAATTGAAGTACCTGATGATGGCCAGTTGGGGCCGAAACATGTTGTAAAAAGTGAAAATTCTAAGGAATAAAGTGGTTGCATTGTTGATGGAACTGTAACAAAAATATTCTATTTATTACAAATATTTTATTTGTTCCCTTTGTTTACTGTAAATTTCCTTCTTCTTGCTTCTGAAGTATACACTTGCAAGTTGGGAAGGTAAGTTTTATGTTATTACAATAAAGGTTTCCATGTGTATATTTAAAAAATAGTTACAGATCAGTCCTTGTTATCAGAAACCTTATCTGCTGCATAATTCAGTGTTATATTTAGGTCGTTCAAAAATGATTTGACACTCCCTCCATAATTCTGGAAAAGTAGCAGTGTCAAATGCAAGCCGGTGCATGTGGGAAGGCATACATACTATACTGCCGCCTATGGCCATGAGATGACGTTGCTACTGTGCACAGGTTAAACAGTGCTGCGTCATTCGTGGCAGTGTGCAGGTGCAGTCATGGACAATGCTCAGATAACATGGAAGCAGACAAACACGGGCAACGGTGGACTGTGTGGTTTCTCTGGAGGGAAGGACTGGCTGCTTCACACATTCACGTGAGGTTAGCAGCCACATGTGGGGAAGCAGCACCAAGTCATGCAGGGTAAGACGTTCACCTTCAATGACGAGCTTCAGGCAGTTTTCCAGCAGTGGTGCCGGGATACCCCCAAAGAATGGTTTGCTGTGCAAATACAGAAACTGCCAGAACGATGGCAAAGGTGCATAGACATTGGCGGGGAATACCTCTAATATAATCTGTATGTATTTTGTTCCAATAAATGGTTACTCTGAAGAAAAAACATTTAGTGTCAATCATTTTTGAACGTCCCTAGTATTTCAGAGATGTGTTTCCATTCTTTATTGACACGTTATTTTACAGTAATCCATACTCATTACATGTCAACTGTGCTACACACACATGAAAATATTCTAATTTTGTCTTATAAAATACAATAATATAAATCTCTCTGGGTTATACATAAGCATTATCAATGTATAGCTTATGATGACAAAGTTTGCTTATCCAGTTCTGTACAAGATTTGTAAAATGACTTGTATATGTTAACCTTCACTGTACAGTAAAAGAAAATTTTAAATCTCCCGTTACTGCAGGATGGTGGCTGGATTTTAACTCAGGAGTTAACAGTATTATGTAGTATAAAAAAAAATGCAATCCTCAACCAGCTGGACTCATGTGCTGTTACAACAGTGCAAGCACAGCCAATAATGGTTAAAAGAACTACTTAATCCAATGTGAGGGTATTACTGCACGTAACTCTGACTTAAGCTGCGGATTCTACGAGTCAATTACACACGATAACCAGCTTCATACAAAATTATGTCCATGACCAAATACAAGATTACAGAATTTCTGTTTAACAGTGCCAAATAGCATCTTCACCTTCTTATTTTACAACACTTATTGTAACAAGGTCACACTGGGTTTCAGCATACCAAAGATCAGATCAGAATCAAGTTGTGAGTACCATCAAATGAGGGTAACAAAGCATACATAACAAAATCCTGTTCTCTGGATGCAATTTATGTGAACTGTTTTTATGATACTTTAATGTGTAACTTATGTGGATACTGTCAGTCTCTTATCAATTTTGGAACATTTCTAAAACAGTAGTAATACACAGATGGAGAACTCCTGTGGCAAGACTAAAAAAAGGTGGGGGGACACATTGCACTTAGGCTTTGATAATGATATAAAAATATAGTAACTTCCTTTCGTGGCCACCTTTTGAAGAATTATCCAGTACTTAAAAAAATTACATAGTAAACACAGACATCCACTAAATGTGAAATGTAAGAAATGGTAGCAACAAAGACAATGTTATTTTTTTATGCTTTAGTCCTTAAAGGGGAAATGGAAGAGGTTCACACAGATTCTTTGATTGTGTCACATGAAAACTGAATACAATATTTTAAGCAGTTACAAAACTGAAGAATGATGTGCCAAACAGTGCTTCTGAAATATGTAACTAGGAAATAACTCAGTCACTTAACTAAAATGCTACTAGATATATTCATGTGGAGCTGATGGCCAGCCACCTCCAATGTGACTCATCTTTTACAAATATCCACACTTTTATTCTTGAATTTTTGCTACGTGCACAATTAAACTATTTCATACTTTTCAGTGAAGAAGTCAGTGTCCACAGAGAATTTCACTGGTGAATCATCATCCACCTGTAGCACTTCCGTTACCTGCGGTATATAACAAAAATACGCATGAAACATGTTTCACCCTATTCATCTAAGTAATGCCATGGGGCAATGGCCTTCCTGACAAGCTAATATTTGTTCAGCTGGTCCAGAAATTCTGTACGTTTTACAAATCGTAAGGCTAATCTAAAGATATACACAAAAGGAAAATGCTTACTATAAACGGAATATTTTTACTGTGTGGACTGGGTCCATGGCTCTGCACTTCACAGTGACCGGTGTGCTCTTTGCTGTGAAGCGCATATGAATTTTGCCGATGAATCAGCATGCCTGATGGCCGATAACATTTGGAATGAAGGAAAGTAATTAACTTGTGGACCTCCTGATGGCATTATGTTACACAGCTAGCAGTGCAGTTCATGTGTGGAAGTTTGTTTATGATTTGTCAGCAGTAGGCAGCAATTATCAGCTTCATTAGCCATTTGTTCTCAGTTTCAGCTAGTGAGCAGTGTGTTATGTCATGGTGTGGTATACTTGTATTTCTGTATGTCACCCATGTGAAATATGGATCTGCTAGAAAGTGCTTGTGAAAACTTCATGATGAAAGAGTTCCCAGTAGACAAACAATTCATAATTTTGTGAATAAACTTTGAACAATTGGGTTCTTAATAGATAAGAAAGAAAAACTTAAGTATCAAGTGCTTACTGAGGAGAAGTTAGTTGTCAAAGGGGCCAGACTTGAACATACACATAGAAAATCACTGAAATGGCTGCAAACTGTTTTATATATTGTCACACGTACGAGTGACTACAGAGAGAATTTGAATTAGATTTATTGACTACTTTTAACACACAACTCATGACTACACTTAAGTATAGCACCATTGCTGATCTCCACACTTTACACATACTTAAAGCACACGTTAAGTCTTTGCAGTCTGCTGTGTTTTTGACTGACTCTGTGGTCTAGTGGTAAGAGTTCCTGCCTACAAATCCAGAGGTCCCAGGTTCAATTCCCGGCACTACCAGATTTTCTGAGAAGTACTGGGTCTGGAATGGGGTCCACTCAGTCTTGCGAGGATAACTGAGGAGCTATTTCAAGGAAATAGCAGCTATGTTCTAGAAAACCAAGATTAACGGCTGTGGCGATCCGTTGCAAAGGTTGGCACTAACTTCACCGACAAGTGGTGGTCTCTCAGTCGGTATAGTTCACTTGTGGACTACAGGCCATGGAGTTTTTTTTTTTTTGTCTTTAGCAATTGTTCTCTGGTAATGGCTTCTAACAAAGGAGATTCTTCAGCTTCTGTTCTCACTTCATTGTTAACTGCACTGGCTAAGTCTTCTTTCTACAGATTCCCATACAACCCTGAACTCTTGCGCCAATTGCCCTCCTTGTATCATCTCGGCACAGACCACATAGAAAACACCATTCATTGTTGTACTCCAGTTGTTTCTGTGGGAACATGTCTGCCAAACCACTACTGGGCAACAGTTGCATATCTTTGCTTATTAAGAATCTGTTGCCTATCAGCGGATGTTGTTTCACTGGTTGTTTTGTAGTTGTTACCCAGTATCAGGTCTACACACTACATTGCTCCCAGCCTACAGGCATACCATCATATCTTCTTTTCTGTGCTTATAATGTCTGTGATCAATCTCATCTTGCTCCCCTGTGGCTCCGTTCTCACAGTGATTACTCTCCAACTGCTCCCTACTTAAGACTTCTTGTCCCAAGTGGCTTCCTGATAAGGTGTCAGTCGGTCCACGTGTATCACCACCATCTTCCTCCAGCTGGTGTGGGTAAAAGCTCCAAGAGTGATCAATGCTCCTATATCTATGGCTCTTCAGCTGTTAGTAGTAGTTCTTTTGTTTTGGAGGGGGATGACCCTTCCATAATGTCCTGATGCCCATTTTCTGCAGTCTAATGGAAAACTCGACTGCTTGCTTCACAATCTCCAGTCCAATTATTTGTCCAAGGGCCTTGCTGAATGCCCTCTGGCTTCCTAGACATAGCTGCCGTCTTGTGCCCCAGTCCTTTATTCCCTCGTTGCATTTTGGATGTGGCTGTCATCTCTCAAGCATCCATCCATTAGGGGCTCCTCTTGCAACACCATCCCTGCCTGGTCCCTGATGATTGTGTCCCTTGCGTGGTGCAGGAGCGGTATGGTGGGTCATCCATCCGCAGGCAGCAGCCAACTTCTTCCAGGGTCCACCATCATCCTGATGCTGGTCCCCCTACTGCTCCTTCAGCAATCCAAAACATTTCACTGCAACCTCTTCATGGGGGACTTCCTGATGCTCTGACTCAGACCCTATTTCTTCTGGATTCACCTCCAAATCCATGGCCTCTTGTCTTTTCTTGACAGGCCTCCACTTCCTCTAGCTGAGAGTCCATCCTGGCCATCACCCTTTCATGATGGGCATCTAACCTGGCCATCATTTTGTGATTGTTCTGGATCATGGCTTCCAGCCTTGCTATTATTTCTTCTTTAATTTCCTTTAGATCCTGTGTATAACAACAGTGTGCCACAAACACCTACAGGATGACACTAAAGAATCCTCTTCTCAAGAACTACAAGGCGGTACATGTTTGGCCCCCTTCATGAGAAGAAATAACAAGGACACAAACCAACTTGGTCTGCAATTTCCAACAAAAATAATTTAACATATTAAGACAGCCACTCTAGTTCTTAAAACATTTAATTTTATATCCATTTTATGTTATCAACATTATATGTATATAGTTTAGCATATTTTAACATTCAAAAACATTAATAGTGGCTTCCAATTGTATGGATGTCCCTCTGTGGATGGTCTGTAAAGGCCAAAACATGTAAGGGATGAAGGATTGAAATAAGAAAAATCTTTACTAGTCACATTGGACAGAACTGTTCAACCTCTTATGATCTGAGGGATTGTTCACATTGATTGGGTGCCTGAAGGTCAGACCATTAACCAGGTCTGCTATAAGGAGGTTTTGACAGTCCTTTGTGAATGGATGAGAAGAGAAAGACCTGAAATGTGGAAGGGCTCATGGATTTTTCACCATGACAACACACTGGCACACAACGCACTGTATGTCAAGATGTTTCTGGTGAAGCACAAGATCCCTGTGTTGGAACATCTGCCCTACTCACCTGATCTAGCCGTGTGACTTCTTTTTTATTTCCAAAGATTAAGTCTGCATTAAAAGAAACCCGCTTCGAGTCCACAGAAGGAAAAGGCGATGGAGGTAATGAAGAAAATGTTCTTCTCAGATTTAATAAAGATATTTAAATTAGATTTCCTTTACTTTTTCAACTACCCTCACACAAAAAGAAGGGGAAGTAACAAGCTCTCTTCAGAAGGTACTGTGAAAAGAAACTATCATCTTACCGTCAGATCGGCATATGATTTCTTTGAAACAAAACTGATCTGAAGAGGAAAGAAGTCACCAGGCAATGCTGTAGCACTGAACTCCAAGGAGCCAGATCTGTTGCTGATGTCAATAATAGGCAGTGTCCAAAGAAGAACGTTCTTTCGAGGATCATGTATGTATTCACCATCACATTCATTCACAACTGGGGAGATGCCAATACTGCAATCACAATAAAACAGTCTGAGAAGAAATATCATGAAAACAATTCGATTATTATATCATTAACCACCATCCTGAAATAGAGGTACAAAGTACTGGCTGGCTATCATATTTTAATTCAGGGGTAACAATTTATAGTCCAGGAATGAGAAATTTTAAATTTCCCATGTTTACAGTTGTGGTGGATGTATTTTAACTAAGGATCACAATATCAGAAATGAAAAAAATGCAATGTTTAGCCAGGTGAACCATGCAATGCAACACAGAGCTAATAAAGGTTATATTTATTAGAAATTATTCCTTTTGACTGCTTGTAAAACAAAATTTTTCAAAACAAGTATTCAGCTGAAAAATAAATAAATACTGCATATCCCTTTCTACTCTGATAATCTGAGATGTTCTCTTAGCAGAATCTTCATACTTCTTTTAGTGTGAAACATGGTATAATCAAAATACCTTTTATCCATTCTGTAAAAATACTTTCATAAAACTGGACTTCAAGCAGAATTATTGTTTTGAACAAAACATTCTACAGTTCATTCCATCCCAATAATTTCAAGTGAATGTCCTTCATACAGTATCTTACTTACGGTAGGGGAATGGTAATGCACACATCATTGAGTTCCAGCTTTTCATGTTCTAGTTCATACTCTATGTTAACATCACAGCCACCTTGACCATTTTCTGAGGGCCAGCAATTTACTAGAAACAGAATTAAAAAAGTAAACATTCAACATAAAAGAAGTAACTTCAAGCAGGAAATATTCTTGATAATATAAGTGTAATAAAGTGAAATCCAATGGGCACACAAGTTTATTAAAACATCACTTTCGTAGTAACGGAACAAATATCAGAAAATGTACTTACATTTAAGTACAGACTGCAGACTTCTGGGACATGGTGTCAGTCTGGTAGATGGTTACCCACATTTCCATGAAACAGCCTCCATGTTCAGGGTAATGTTAACCATTTATCAGATTACACAGTTTCACATGCCACAAGAGTGCAGTATTAATATTCACCACTGTGAGAACTTCAAATTTCAGGTACATGTATAATTTGCTAAAATCCGACATTGTTACCATTCTTGGTATCTCTAAAATTCAACTGCCTCATAAATGAAACTTATACATGGTGTGTTCCATATACAATGCCTCTTATTTTTTTGTGTTAATATGCAACGTCTGAGCTGGATGTTGGTGGTGTTGTAGTAAAGGTTGAACCTTCCCACCAATGTACTGTTAATTTGGTTGTCGTGCGACAGATAATGACAGCAGAGCAGTCTACCAAAATGGCGTCTGACATAGAAGTGCGTACGAAACAGAGATGTGTTATTGAATTTCTCACTGCCGAACAAATTGCAGCCACTAACATCCATCGACACTTGCTAAAGGTATACGGAGACGATACAGTTGATGTCAGCACAGTGAGGCAGTGGGTAGTGCGTTTCAACAGTGGTAAAAGTGAAGTGCACGACAACCCACGCCCTGGGCATCCCTGCTCAGCCGCTACTCCTCACAATGAACAGCGCCTCGATCAGCTCATCCGTTCAGATCAGCGGATAACGACCAGGGAACTGTGTGCACAGCTTAATATCAGCTGTAATGCATTGGAAACAATGTTGGGGAAGCTGGATTATCGCAAAGTTCGTTCCAGGTGGGTCCCGCAGATGCTTACACAGGACCACAAAACTCATCGAATGGAAGTCTGTCAGGACCTGTTGCACCAGTTTGAAGCTGAAGGTGACAAGTTTCTGGACAGCATTGTCACTGGAGATGAGACATGGTGTCACCACTACGAGCCGGAATTCAAAAGACAGTCCATGGAGTGGCAACATCCGGATTCCCCAAGAAAAAAGAAATTCAAGACACAACCATCAATAGGGAAAGTGATGTGATTGGTCTCTTGGGATAGGCGGGGTGTGATTTTTTTTTGGATTTCCTGGAGCCTGGTGAGTGTCAATTTTGAACGCTACAAAACGACGCTGACTAAGCTGAAAGCCCGTATTTCCCGAGTCAGGCCAGAGAAGCAGACAACCTTTCGCTTGCAACACAATAACGCTAGACCCCATACCAGTTTGGCGACCACCACGCACACTGCAAAGTTTGGCTGGACTGTCCAACCACATCCACCTTATAGCCCCGATTTAGCAACTTCAGACTTCCATATCTTTGGGCCTATGAAAGATGAACTACGTGGATAACATTTTCCAGACAACGATGCTGTCATTGCAGCTGTAAGAAAGTGGCTAGCCTCTGCTGGCACAGACTTTTACAGGCGCGGCATACAGGCTCTTGTTCATCGATGGCAAAAGTGCATAACAAATGGTGGTGATTATGTGGAAAAATAACTTAAGTAGCTGAAATCTTGCTCTATTTAACTGCGTTATTATGATTTCTGTATCTGTTGTAGTTTTCTTTAAAAAAGATAGGAGGCATTATATACGGAATGCCCTTAGTACTTCACATGCTCTGAAACTATGCACAATACAATGGTCATTAAACAGTACTGTCTACTGAATGTAGCCTCCTTCTCCATCATTCCCATGCATTTGCAATACTTACTTGACAGAGGAATACAACTCTCATCCTGGGTTTGAAATCTCCATTTTAGCACACCAACATCAGAGCGAAGGGGAAACGGTTTTGCAGAATTCTTCAACCCTACTTGTGATTTGGACTTAAATAATTCCTTGTCCACATTTGGATGTGTCTATTTCAAAAGGCAAACAGAAAAACAGCTGCTACAGCCAATACAGTAACACACTTATTATGTGTCACACCAGACAAATTACAGTCTGATCTATGGTGTGAAATCAAGAATCTTACAAGAAAGCAGTCTTCTGGGATTTGGCACCGTGTATATGTGGTGTTAACCAACGTCTGCTTTACCGTTTCTCACGGTGTTGTCGCTTGCAGAATTCTTATACTTTTTCTTCTACCCTGAAGATGGGGGCGATACGTTCCTCCGAAACGTCGGTTAACACCACATATACACGGTGCCAAATCCCAGAAGACTGCTTTCTTCATAGTCACCGCCGTGAAAGCCTCAAATCTTACAAGAATCTTACACAATTCCAAAACAAATTATGAGAAGTGTGAGATATTTACTCAGGATTACAGAGTTTTTTTTATTTTGTCCATTGTTTGCATTCTTAGGGAAACAATGCTTTGGAAACTGGATCTGCTTCTATCCTCAGGTGGAAGAGTGGGAGGCACCTACTCTGTTAGGTCCATTAGAAAGAGCTAACCTCATTCACTGGACCAGAATACCAGACACTGGATAAAACCCAAAAACTCAGTAATCCCAAGTGTTATACATCATCAGAATCCTCTACAATGGACATAAAGTATCTAGTTTCTCATATTATATATTATTTACCATGCATGACATGAGCAAAGCATGAACACATACTTGACTTACACAGACACAACTGGACAAAAGATTTTACCATAATGTGTATATATTAACCATCTTTTAGTGCATACAATTTCATTTGTCACTTCACACTACATGTTTCGTTGTTTCGTCGTTGTTCAGTAATAAAATTTATATATTCAAACTTGTTAAGATCTATCATCTTACATGTCGTATATCAAACTCGTGTGTAATGCCATTCATCTGCTATGGGAGTCGTTCTTCTTATGTTTTAATTGTGTATATACTGTGTCTTATGATGTGTCTTTCTTACGTGGCTGCGTGCGTTGTATTGCTGGGCATGTAAGATTATAGATCTTAACAAGTTTTAATATATAAATTTTATTACTGAACAATGACAAACACACATTTTATATCATTTTATAAATGGACACTTGATGGCAGGCAGTGCAATGGTTTAATGTGATTAATACACCTGAGGATGGCAGAATGATGCCGAAACATGTAGTGTGAAGTGACAAGTGAAACTGTATGCACTAAAAGACGGTTAATATATACACATTATGGACACAAATCAGTATAACAGGACGCTAAAATACAACATTAAAGATTTTACACTTTCACAGCTGTACAGTGTTCATATGGATCCTGTTTATCAGTTGAGTAGTTCTGATTGTACTGCTGCTATTCTGAAGATCCTTACTTTGAGTATGGAAATAACAACAATGCCTAAAACAATGGCAATATAGCTTACATTTATTTGATACCATAACCAGGCACAGGATCCACATTAGCTCCAGCTTACAATATTCTTCCTTATGACAACAGCAACTGAGTAAGTCAATGTGTAGAACATATGAGACAATGCTGGACAGTATGAGTAAAGATGGTTACCCTGCATTATTTGTAGTGATCTAGCTGGAAAGGTTTTCACTATATTCTTAACCCTCATCTATGCCTCCTACTTGCATTCCTTGGACAACTGTGTCACCCTAGAGCCCGAATTAGGTGAGGATGGCACAGTCAAATATAGCAAATAACTCTGCTGCCTTACAATTGGTGTGGGAACATTAGAGGAGGAGCAACAGAACCCCGAGAACTAGGCTGGTTTAGAAGCTGGCAATCCTGTTAGTAAATTTACTCAACTGGTTTCCTACCATAACAACGTACAACAAATTTACACGATTTAAAAATAATGGAGTCAAAACAGGTCAGATGGTTTGGGGGGGGGTGCTTAATATGTGTAAATCAATGTGTAACACTGAAAACAAGTGTTTTCTTTGCAGGTAAGCTTTATGAAAAATTAGTTACTAAATTCACCAATACTAGAAATGAGAGGGAGAAAAGAAAGACCCCATGACTACTGGCTCATGAAATACTATGTGGTGTTAAAATCATCCAAAATAAAAATAAACTTATTTTCCCATGAAAGATAAAACTAATTCCAAAGTGTAACATGTACCTGATCATCTGATCAAGTTATTATTTTTGCAATTTGAAGGCACATGCAAGTTCTGAAGATCTGGGGCCAAGATAAATATGAAAAATATAATTTCATCCATAGCTGTAGAGAATTACAATTGGACATGTCAAATATCAACAACCTCACATCAAAAATAACATATCATTCACACAGTGATTCATCACTATAACACAGCAAAACATTTCAAAATACATTTTTAACTTAACCCTTTTGCGCGGTCATTTAAATTCCGCTGCCATCTCTCCGGCGGTAATATATTCAGCCGGCCATTTAAATTTTGCTCGAAAATGATTTATTCATCATTGTTCTTAAATTATGAGATAGGAACATGAAACTTTCACTAAAATGATCTTAAAAGGTGGTTTTATAACCTTACCTTATAATGTGAGCGCCCGGTATCTCGGCAATGGAAGCAGTTGGTTTAGAATTTGAGCAGGGTATCGTACGCATTGAAGCATGAAACTTTCACTAAAATGATCTTAAAAGATGGTTTTATAACCTTGCCTTATAATATGAGCGCCCGGTATCTCGGCAATGGAAGCAGGTGGTTCAGAATTTGAGCAGAGTGTGGCACGCATTGAAGCATTCTACTATACACAGCGCTGTCTCACATTCACCACACCAGTACTGCGTATCTCTCATTTGGCTCTTTTTTCCGTAAACCAAACATCTTCTGTGCGGCCTTGCCTTCTTCCCCGTGGGGGGAATACAAGAAGAAATGTCTCTCCGTGAGTCGTATCGCTAGCCAGATTAGCTGCAGTAAATTCAACCTTTATGTTATCATAACAAGTGTTGGTGCTTCTGCGTTTCATTTTCCATCCATTTTGGCGGCATAAGACGTCGTAGGGGTGACCACAGAATTCATGAAGTTATTCTAAGAACTGGCTGGTATGTAGTGAACGAAAGCAGAGCTTAGCTGGCTCAAAAAAATATTTATGGTCATCCCTCGAAACGACCACCAAGGTCAGTACGATAAAATGGAGTCAACTGGAGCGATAATACATGAAGGAATGAGTTCTTTTCCCTCCCCCACACACACCCGTATCGTCACAGGGGGTGACCACAGTGTTCTGCCTTAATTTGTGGCGTTTTTCTAAGAACTGGCTGCCATGTACTGTGCGAAATCAATCGATCTTGCAAGAATAAAATTTGGACATCCCTCTTCTAAGAATTCCAATTGAGTGTGTTAGTGTGGCCTGCTCAGGGCAATATGATATTATAAACACAGCACATATTATGTCTCTGCTGTTTATAACTTCATAGGAAAGAAAACACGCCATCCATAACAGTTTGAATGAGGAAATCTCTTCCAAGAGCAACACGATTTTGCTGCAAGACAGGCATATGTAACGATGACTTAACGCAGCTAAATTCGTGTCCCATTATATATAGAACTTCTGACAACAGGCCAGCGAAAAATCTAACAATCTACAGCAAAACCATCAATTATTATGGGCGTTATAACATAGGTGTGCAGCTGGACGAAACATAGACGTCGAACCCCCGCAGACGATTTAAATACCTGACGAAACATACACGTCAAACCACGCTGAACAGTTAATTTAAGAATAATAAATACTCCAAAAAGACATAAGAATAAATATTTTAAACATACAGACAGATTTATTAACAAGCAGTCCATGTCAACAATTATTAAAAAATTCTTGAAGAGAATAGAAGATATTACATAACAAACAATTAAGTTTCTTCTTAAAAACATTAAAATTTATTACATTCTTTAATTCAGCTGGAAGGCCATTAAATATTCTGGTTCCCATACTAATCACCCTTCTCTTGCTATGCTCAGTATTAAAAAACTGTACATACAAATTGTTTATGAATAGTGTTATAGCCACGAACATCACAATACTGGGTGGTATAAATCTTATTTTTTATTATGAAACATCATCATCATCATCAGTAATCTGTCATGACGACAGGTCCACAGTCTCTTCCAAAACAATTCCTCCACTTAATGCGATCTAGACCCCCTCGTTGGTGTCTCCACCTTATCGTGGTGAGGGGGTTTGAGTATGCCAAGGACCCTGAGAGCTATACCAGCGGTAGCATAGCTACTGGCAGGGCCTCCCTTGCTGGACAGGTCAAAGGGTAGGCATCAGATGAAGAGAGACACCAAAAACTGATGCCGGAAGCAGCGTCATCAGTAGCGACTTGAAGCACAGAGCAAATGATGCTCGAGATGGTTCAAGTTCGTATAGCAGCAGGCGTGACCAGAGTGGTTTGAACAGCTGCTGTACTGCGATGTGGAAAGCAAATGGAAAAACTACCATATTATCACTTTTCCTGGATAGTCTCTTTCCAAAAACAGAGATACCATATATGAAACATAGGATCTCAAAAATATATAAGGAAGTAACAGTTAAAATCTTTAATTCACGAAACAAATTTATACAGGAAACTCTATTTTTAACACCTTTTATCACCCTTAAATTTTTTCTGCAGTTAAGAGTCCTTTTTCACCCCACCCCAAAAAATAATACCGTATTTCAACACAGACTCAAATTCTGCAAGATACACACTTCTTAAAACAGTTTGGCTCACTGAGTCCTGTAGGGATTTTATCAAATAGGTAGTCTTGCTAAGTTTTGATACACGTACTGGGTGTGGGCTGCCCAATTTAATCTTCAGTGCTGCAAATACTGAAACTGATTCAAAATTACTTACCTGTATGAATGAATGAATGAATGAATGTATAAGGGGTGGGCCTTCTCAGCCCTTGCACCGCGACCTACGGTGGTACTTACCTGTAACTGAATGCCTCGTGTATCTTTATTTTCCAGTTGTACTCGGATACGACCTGACTTCTCATCAGCAATACGCAAAGTCACTAATCCATACAGTTCAAAGTTTTGAAGGCCTCCATCACGCCCCACTCTCAACACGAGACGTTCTTCTTGCCGCAGGTGAACACTGCAACCACCAAGCTCAAGATAAGCTTACAGCCAAAATGTCTAAATGGTTGTTCCAACAGAACCATCTTTCCTTTGACTGCCTTCATGATCTTTGAAGAGAAAACATGAAAATGTACTGTGCTTCTCTTCATATTCTCAGACTCATCGCTTGGTTGCTCCTTCCTTCTGCTGCCATTAGTGGGGGTTTTCAAAATTTTTCAGCGAGTCCCAACCAAAATATAGGTAGATTTTTGATGTGACAACACCTTAAACAGGCACTTGCCTAGTACTCTGTGACATGATCGTCCACCTAGGTCAACAGAAGCCCACTGGAAGGGTAAATCTGTGTGACAAGGAGGGGATGATATTGATGAGAAGTTCAGGCATCATGTGGTGCAAATTTCTCAGTGGTAAGCACTTGGTGGGGGGGGGGGTAAGCTGCTTCAGTTAGATTATGGAACGCAAGCTTTCTCCTAGATGAGTGTAGAACTAAAAGGGTGGATCACTGAAAATTTACAGACTGGTAGCCATAAACAGCTTCAGGAAAAAATTCTAAGAAGACTGACACAAGAAGTTATGGAAAAGCACTGGCAGTTATTTTTGAATCACTTGCTATGATGACTGTGCCAAAAAAAAATTATGCAATGGTTTTCCATACATGTAACATTAAGAGACTGACAGTTCTGATGGTTCATGTCACTACAACAAACTTCTCGTAAGTTATGACAGTTTCAATGTATTATGACTTACTCTTCTGTGTTCTCTATAGCAACAGGAACTCTCAGTGTTGAGGCTGCACAGGTCACAACTGGAGCCACTACATTCTCACCCTCTGACTTCAACTGATCAACAAATGATTCCACATCACGTGATTTGCTTCCCAGTTTCATGGCTTTTGTGGCAGCAGCAGGCTTCCTAAAACAGATCACAGAAAACAGAGAAGCATTAAGGAGTTTGCTTTTGCTATGCCAGGAATGTTTCCTACAGTGATAAAACTGGGAGAAATATGGAAGCTGAGCAACTTATGACGATTTGTAAAACCTTGAATTTGAAAGAAATTAAAGAAAACCAGGGCCATATTGCTAATTTTTTCATATTAGGCTACTCAGTCTGGAACACTTGCTATGTAACTACCCGTAACCTTTTACTTTCAAAAACTTCAGCAATATGATTAGGTTAGCAATTTGGCAAAGCAGACTGTTAATCTGAACTGAAAATAATAATAATAATAATAATAAAAGTATTGTTTGGCAGTCAATTTGTAGGAGGGGGAGTCAGTAAATAGGTCACAAAGGAAGCAGAATAGCTGCAATGGATGTAATATGTTTTCTATATGTATCACTAGGTAGCATCACAGTCCATTTTCATGACAGTCTAGGTTGCCGACATGTATGTGCATGTTCAAGGCTGGTTTTAGTAGTCAAAATGGCACCATCCTTGAAGAGTGTTCTGCCAAAAAGCAGTTATGCTGTGAATTTTCATGGGCAAGAGAACATAATGCAAATGATATTCATAAACAAATGTTTCCTGCTTATGGTGGGAAGTGTTTGTCGTGTAAAGCAGTTCACATATGGGCTGAGAAATTTCTCAAGGATGTTAAAAAGTTGCAGACCAGTTCACCCTGTTGAGACTGTGACAGAAGCAACTGCACTAGGGCGTTCCCATGGTTTAGCATAATGCATGATCATATGAGTTTCAGAAAGTGTGCACATGGTGGGTGACCAGAGAACTGAAGGATCGAGAAAAAATGAACCAAATTGGTCTGTCCAAGCAACATCTCTTATGGTATGCAGATGAAGAGAAGATAAGCTTAACAGGATTGTTATTGGGGACTACCAACCTGAATCAAAGTGTACTTCAATGCAATGAAAACATCCAAGTTCACCTTCTTATTCAACTGAAAAATTTAAGGTTATGCCATCAGCTGGGAAGGTTACACTTACAATGTTTTGGGATTCTCTGGGAATATGGTTAGCCCATTTTCAGAAGCATTGTGAAAATGTGAATTCTGCATTACGCTGTGAAGTTTTGAAGTTTCAGGATGCAATTTGCAGAAAGCGTCCAGGCCAACTGGCAAGAAGGGTACTGCTTCATCATGATGCTAGACCCCATACAGTATGAGCAAACCAGAATAGAATTCAAGAACTACAGTGGGAACTTCTTGAACAGCCCAGACTTGGCCCCTGGTGACTTCCATCCTTTTGGTCTACTAAAAAACCACCTCTGTGGCAAACGTTTTGCTGATGAATAAAAGGTTGAATGGAAGTGCAGTGGCTAAGACAAGTGTATCAATGTTGGTGGAGGATATGTCAAGAAATAAATATTTCTTCCAGGTTCAAATATCGCATGTTTTATGTTTTATATCAATCTGTGACCTATTTACTGACTCTCCTTTGCATAATTAAAATGATGTGTTACACTTTTAAGACATCTATGTCATTAAAGGGAAATAATAATTACATTCAATTCAGCATACCAAGAGCATACACAGGCATTGAGCAAAGATCACTAGAAACAGAACAGATCAGAGCAAACTGACGAAAAGTCAAAGAACATGATTTTGTACATGACAATGGTTGTGCTTATATCAGTACTTACTGCATGGCTGCGAAGCTTGGCTTGTTAATATCTGCTGGAATGGAAACTGAGTCTCCCACAACTGGTGCTGCAGAGTAGCCAGTATTGCTACCAAAGCCACCACCACCAAACCCAGGACTCTTGACACCTTTCTTGTTTGCTTCCATCCGTTGCCGATGTAATTCCTTTGCTTTCTCTCGCATCTTGTTTTTAGCTTCCCTCTCTTGAGTCTGAAAAAAGCTGACTGATGACTGATACTGCCTACATTGTGTAGTATCATATGGTAGGATGATTTCTGAATGATGTATTGGATGTGGAAACTGTCATGCACATTTTAAGACATCATCCATTAATTTTCCTGAAGGTCGGGGGAAACCCATGAACTGCCTCACTCAAGATGGCTGGCCTCTAGCATAAGACTGCAACTCTTGATATTGCAGCTTGAATAGGCCTATTGTATCAGCCTTTGATGACAGCTGAGTACAATGGTGGATTGAAAAAATTCAGGGTAAAATTATAAATACTCTGAGAAAAAACTGAGACAGCTCCACTTTTTTGTCATCATAATTCCTACATGCACCACCCTGAGACTTAACCAAGGTCTCCATGGTAAGTAGAAAGTAACCATTTTCCTGAGCTGAGTGGATGGCAAATGATTTTGCATTCAGTAGACAAGAATGGATGCCATCAAAGATGATGGTGCTTCCCTCACTGGACCATCTTGAACTCAACATTCTCGAATAATATTATAATCTATTAAAAATTCTGATACACCATAGTTCAGAAATACTTTGCATGCCAAGCAATAAAAAGTTGTAATAATGTACGTGTTTTGCCAGTGAGCTCTGATTATATATCAATGTCTGCAAAACATATCAACTAGTATTTAACTCCATGGGACACATTCCATCGTGAGAAATTAAGAATAACTCAAATGGTGCATAAATTAGATAACTTCCATGGAATATAATGGTTCATTACACTGATTATATCTCAGCAGATTGAACAGTGAATCAGAAGTACACAAATTACTGTAAAACATTTTATGTCAGTTATTTATTTTGTGTCTGTCCTCTGGCTACAAACATTTTCAAGAGCAGTTAAGTTGTACAATAATATTTTATATTCTGTTCTATATAATTCCACCAGTAAAACCATACAAGAGATATGACAGGAGCAAAGTAAAAATGTCACAGACCCTCCATTAGAACTGTATGGGTACAATACACAACGTTGTAACTGATCATTATCTACCGGCATCATTATTAATATTAACAGCAACATTATAATATTTTTTTCATTAACACGACTTAATACCATTTCTGTATTGAAGGTGACTTATACTCAGTGTTGCTGTAACTATTCTGAGAATTAGTAGCAAGGAATGTTTAGGTGAGGACTACTGCAACTTGAGACAATCCCATGATAGCCAGTGCGGTATGCGTATCAGTTACTCCTCCCACCAGCCAAACTAAACAAACTTCCAGAACATTGCGGAAATTTCTAGAAAGATCTCCATGTGGAAGGTTCTGGAAGTATTATATCATTGAGCGTATTTAACCTTTAATGTCGGAATGGCACATATATATGTCGCAAGCAGCAACCAGAGATGGCCGAATGACACCTATATGTGCCGCAGGACACACATGCTCTCTTTGGGAGTGCAGACAGTTTGACCTTGGGTTTGAAACCAAAACAGTGTCAGTGTGACTATCATATTGAAGTGACTGTGAACTGAAACTGTGAAGTGACGCAGTTCAAATTCGCGTACAGTAATATTATTGTATATAGTGTGATTATATATACAATATCACCAAGGATCAAAGCTGAATGTCACAAGGCAAATATCACGGTCAGTGACGTTTCTCGGGGGAGGCCAAGGTTACCTGGGGCCCAAATGAGTCGACTGGAGGTGAAACATTCACAACACTGGCCAACCAAAGGGAAACAAAGACGTCGTGTGTTTCGCTAAATAAGAAAAGCAGGAGCACGCTCTTCTATTGTAAAAAGTGCAATGTCGCTTTGCATGAGGTGGACCGCGCGTCAGAGTGTATCGTAAACTGTGAAGTGACGCAGTTCAAACTCGTGTACAGTCTGAACAAAATATTATTGTATATAGTGTGATTATATTTACAATATCACCATGATTCAAGGTTGAAGAAAAAACAACGGGTAAGTCCTTTGGAATTTCGTAACATATATAATAAAGATTATATGTTGCAATTCATGACAAAATAATCACAGTTAATTTTCGTTTGTAAAAATTGCTCTTTTGTGTATTTGCAGAAAATTTTATTGTCTTTCAGGTTGTAATGCCGTAGAATTTCGGCAAGGGTTTTGTAACTTTCAAGTATTAAGTTATCTTGGGTTCACAGTTAGAAAGGTTAGACAAAGGGTTAATGTTTGAAGTAGAATGCAGGAAGTAGCAACATAAGTGATAAATCGTCACATTGCTTAGTACTGCTGATTTACGCGGAACAGACCGCTGTACGGAAAAAGACAGAGAGCAGACTCAGTGAGACCGCCTAAGGAGATCCAACCCTCCCTACCGAGATGATCAACCAGGATGGACCTTTGGGGGCGAATTCGCTCTAATTAAGGGGCGGAGCTTACCCCAAAGACAGGAGTCAGCAGAGAAAAAGTTATAAAGAAGCTGACACAATTGGAGGAGGGATCAATCTATACACATCAATCGATCAATCTATATCAATCAATCTATTCATGTATCTGAGTGCACAAATGTTAAGTTAGCCAGCCAGAGGCCAGGAGGGCCAGACCAAGTGAGGGGACACCATCAGCTTCCTACACCAAGTAAGTCGAACTGTTCATATCAGTCATGGATATAAAGTGAGATATTATTAAAGTGCCATGTTACATGGTTAGGGCAGAGAGAGTAGGCCCTGAGTATGAACCACGACGAGAGCTAAGATGGTGAACCCGAGTGTGTGTTTATCTGAACTACAATGTGTACGTAACCGGCCACTGTTGGCCATGAAAATGAAATGTATATAAAGTGAATATATTAGTAGATGAAAGTAGACCAAGTAAGGGGGATACGTGTGTTAATGACTTACCCCACAGTCACACCCTCTATTTCCCCGATCTCCTGTACCTCCCAGGTTAGAGATATCATGAACTCACAGCCAAGAGGTAGCTAACGAGACAAGTCCCAAGCACTTAGCCTTGCAACTGGCCATTCCCAAAGGGCGCAACAGCATGGATGGCGGAAGAGGTGGATAGAATCTTCCACGCCCCCTTCACGCCATAACACAGGTTGTTTTTAGTTTGTATTTCTAGGTTGCATAGAACGGAAAATATGGATTTTTTTTTCTGAAAGTTTGCAGTGTTAATTAATTAGGGCGATTTAAATATCGGCCACAGAGGGCTGCCGGCAATGTAAAAGTCCGTACGTTAAAGGTTAAAGGCTGCTTTCAGATGGCACTGAGTAGTACTAGTATTGTTGTGTACCAGAGTAGTTGTGAAACAGTGTCCTACATCCAGAAGTGTATATCAGTGTTGTAACTAAATATCAGCCTAGAAGGGCTGATTCATGTAATATCATGTAGTGCTACTGATAATAAATTAAGTTCATTGTTTTCACTAGTGTAGTGTGACCCAGTGACTTCTTTGGTGAACCCTTTTTCGTTGGAGAAAGGCCTGCTAAGCCCTGAGTGGAATCCCCCAAGCTCGCACCCTAAACATTATTCCTGTTTCCGTCAACACATCCTTCCGATATTTCTACCGTGGTTTTAAGATCACATGGTGCTCAACTATGGACAAGGAGTGAGTGGGAGGATGAAGACAAAGAGAAGAACGGTTAGAAAGAGTCGCCCCATGGGTGGCTTCATTACGTGTGGCTACGCAAAATGAAAACGGCTAAAAAGTTGCATCCTCAATAAGGGGCAGTGTCAAGAGTGGCTACTAGAGAGAAAATAGAAAAACAGTTAAAACGTTCACCAGGCTACTATGGTAACGAAGTTCAAAGGATACAATTAAAAAAAGGAAAGGAGTTCTGAGCAGAACTCACAAAGCCTAATTTCCTGTCCTACAGATTACCATAACAGAAAACATCTGTGAAAGATCTAAGACCACACATTTCATTACCCTCAATTATGGGTATTAGTGTTTCTTCCTCATCTCAAAATCATGCATCTACAGTGTTGTTACTACAGACTGTAGGTAATTAAAAAGTATGATATAAATTTTCAGGTGTTTATGACAGATTGTGGTCTTCTGGGTTGACACCCTGCAGTTTTGTATACAAATACCAACATTAACAGAGGGTCATGCTGCCTCCGTCATTAAGGCTGAAGTGAGAAGAGAATGAATGAAGTCAGATAATATGGGCAGGTTGTAAGGGGGTGGTTACTCAGATATGTGGGAGGAGATGGAACCTGGCCCAAGCTAACAAGAACACTGATCAGGAAAATATGATACTAGGGTAGCTCCAACAGCATAAGATACATGCCAAGAAGAGTATTATCTTCTGGGATATGTAATTGATATGTAGTTGACAGCCAGCAGATGTTTCAGAAGAACATAGCACCTACAACTTCCTGGTCAAGGTTTGCCACCTGCTTTCATGCCCGTATATGGCTTGTCTTAATTAACCCTTAAGATATAGGCGATATGTTCTTCCAAAATGTTGGTTAACTTTCAATGGACCACACAGAAGATAGAAGAACACCTCAAATCCTACATCAGTATCAAGTTCCATGAAACTCAGGCAAATGGCTAAAAACTGAAATGGGGAACACAGATAGCAAGATGGTCTCATAAGTCTACTTTCTATCCATAAGACTAAAAAGGCATATTACGAACACAAAAGAAGAAACTACATTAAGCTCTCATTAATCCAAACTGAAATATGAAAAATGCTGTTCACAGCTGAGTAAAAGTAAAATAAACCTATCCCTGTAACAGGCCGTGAAGGCCCATAGGGTTGACATTGAGGGTCCCACATTATCTACGCAATCGGCTCATAGATGGCAGTAAGGTTGTCAGTCTTATATGCTGGCCACACTTTACTCCCCAGGAAAATTTAATTAATTTCTGGTACTCATTTCTGTTAGAGGCTGAGTCGACTCCAGGACCATAGTGTGGCCAGAAGGATTAGGTTAATTGAAAAAATCCAATGATTTCATAGGGACTTGAACCCGCGACCTTCCGGCTTGTAGCATTGTGCCTCAATCAACTTTGCTACCACGTGCCTCCTGTTCACAGATGAGTACATACTTTAAAGACACAAGGCACTGAGGAGGGCAGATGAGTCACTTGTCTGTTCAGATAAAACTTGACAGTTTCTTCAAACCTATATTATTGCATTTAAAAGAACTACAACTTTGGAGCCTTCTGTCAGTGAATAAATGTATTGTCTTTTTACAGTTTTTAAATAAAAGCTCTACATTGATATTTTTTCATTTCCATCGGCACCATTTATATCATCAAATTTTCCATTTGTTTCCGTTCTAAGTTTCTTTTTTGTCTTTTGCGGCTACCTTTTGCTCACTAATCCAGATTATTGTTTAATCTGGATGACCTCCCACAAATTAACCAGGATTAGCAAAGGGTCACTGTATTGCAAGAGCATCAAGAAACGTAATGATAAAAACACACATGCACCCTGATCAAATGCCAGAAGGTCCTCTGTCAGATTGCAATACTAAATGGATTAATAACATGCTAGATTTTATTTCCCTTAAGATTTATTACTATTGACAACAGTGGTAGCTTACCTGTCTAACTGCTTGATAAACTTTCTCTTCATGTGAATCCATTTCAACAAATGTCCTGATCTGTGCCAGATTAACACTTTCTCGGTATCCCAATGCTACAATCTCATCAAATGCAAAGATCAAGTTGAAAGCATTATCTGATATTTCAGACTCCTCCATGCTTCGACAATATTCTGGAATCTAAAAAAGGATTACCTTACTGTACAGTATGACAGAATTTTAAAGCAGATTATAATTATGTAATATACAAAAATTTAGCTGGTCTGTTTCTATATACAGAGTTTGTCCAGAAAGTAATGCAATTTGTTTTTCCTGCTGCTCCTCCTGGTCGCAGTGTGTTCGGACCGGTTGGGAAAGGGGGGGGGGGGGACTCTTAGCTTCACAACACTTCCAAGTTCAGTCTGCCCTGAGCTCTGGGAGCGTCAGGATTGCTGTTTCCGTGAACCTCCTGTTAGTGCCTGTGTCGCGACATGCAATGGAGAAAGCTATCGAACAACGTTACACGAACAAGTTCTGTGCTAAACTGAACAAAAGCCTCACCGACACCCACCAAATGATTCAGGAAGCCTACAGGGACTCTGTTCTCTCCTATTCTCAAGTCTCAAAGTGGTTGAAGTTGTTTAAAAATGGCTGGGAAGAGGTGGAGGATGACCCCCGCTCTGGACGGCCGTCAACCAGCAAAAGTTACAAAAATGTGTCTCGTGCTTGTGATCTTTTAAGTACCGATTGTCAAATCAGTGTTCGGATGATAGCAGAGACCCTCAGTATTCCGAATACCACTGTGCATGACATCGTTATCGACAATTTGCACATGCGGAAAGCGTGTGCCAAGTTGGTCCCCAAATTGTTGACTGACGACCACAAGAACCGAGTGACGATCACAAGTGAACTTTTGGAACACATGCAAAACAAACCCGATTTTTTTGGACAATGTCATTACCAGCGACAAAACATGGGCCTTCGAGTACGACCCAGAGACAAAGCGCCAAAGTTCTGAATGGCACACCTGGGAGTCCCCTCATCCCAAAAAGGCAAGAATGAGCAAATTGAAAGTGAAAACCATGCTCATTGTCTTCTTCAATGCCGAGGGTGTGGTCCACAAAGAATTCATACCCCAAGGGCAGACAGTCAACGCTACCTACTACATGGAAGTGCTTGACAGATTAAGAAACAGGATCGTCCACACTCGAAAGGAGATCGCTGCTACCTGGCAGCTGCACCACGACAACGCTCCCAGCCACACCGCTCTGCACGTCCGGGAGTTTCTGGCCAAGCACAGCTTGGCAACTTTTTTTTTTTTTTTTTGCGAACTTAATTGCATTACTTTCTGGACAAAACCTGGATTTACAGTTTATTTAACAATTCTGAGAGTATGACAGACTATGTGGTATGGAATGATAAGATGACCAATGAGTAATGAATTGAAAAGGATACAGAATAAAGTCTTCATGGCCTCTTTGAAAGTACTATCTTGGCATTTGTTTGGAAGGACTGAGGAAAGCCACAAGAAATCTCAGACTGGTCCTAGCTAAGAACTGAACTAAGTACCTCCTAAATACAAGTCAAAAGCATTATTGCCTTACCCAGCTTGCTGATTCCCGTTTCTTACCATGGCTCTAACAGAGAATACTCTTGCCAGTATGCACAGTAACCACATCAATTCAGTGATGTGCAAGTAACGCAACAGAGTTTCTGAATGTGATCTGAATACTCAGTTCCAATATATAATTTTTAATTACATGAGCAAACATCAATATCTTAATTTGGGTGTTACTTCTTTAAAGTTTTAGTTACTCTATGTTGTGATGATGAAGAGAAATGTAACAATATTCCCACCAAAGAAACAGGTACTTATGCCTGTATACTTATACACTATTAAAACCATTTCTCAACGAAATTGAAAATAATTTACTGTATTACTTAATTTAAAATTAAATCACATCATTTTATAATATGAAAGTCCAGTTTCAGAATTAATGGCAGATATACTTTGAAACTGTTAATGAATGGCGAAGGTGGGTATGATAAATAATCATTCACTCTTAAAATAAATAAATATTTACATAAACTGAAGGGATCTGAAAGAAGTTCTGAGATGATTGGACCTAAATGTGTTACAAAAAATTCAGGAACCTGAAGGCAACTAGCACAGCTGAAATACATACTCGTACTAATGGAAATAGCATGACCTAGACCGAAAATATTTTCCTGTTACCACACAATAACAGCTATTAACTAACCACTCGGGAGAAGAGTCTTAATGTCTCCAAGTCCTCTAAAATGTTACTGGCCTTCGTTGTTATGAGCAACATATACAGCTTCTCAAGGGGCTGATAAACATATCGCACCGACTCTGTTTCCACAAATGTATGCTGCTTTCCTGTTGACATCAGTTTTGGGAATGCAGACAACAGCCCCTCTATCCGAGCCTTTGTCATCTCCACAAACTGGCGAGAAACAATTGCTGGAAAGCAATTTGAAAGATTATTATATACAAGTAATCTTCAGTGGCACAACAATGGCAAAGTCCATTCTGATGAAAAAGGTTAGAATGTAGACATAATTTTATACCTTGTTATGTATGGGTATCAAACTTTGTCTTGATGTCTGAAGATATAATACAGATTGGGAATATATGAGGACAGGGTACTGAGGAGAATATTCAGATCTAACAAAAAGAGAAAGATGGATGCATAAGAACCTTTATAATTTGTATTCTACCTCTCATATTTTAGCGCCATTAAATAACAATACAATAAGTGGGGCTCATGGAGGAAACGTCTGGGCCACATATTGAACCATCCAGCCATCATCCTACAGTATCCTCAAAGGTCTTCCCTGGTTCCTTGATCGATGTGGTTTGTTATTTTTTGTTTTTTAGGTCTCTTTCTTTGCATTCTGAAAATATACTGAATCCAACAGTTTCTGCATTTTCCAAATTCTGCCCAACTAGTTATGTTTTAACATTTTTGTATGCCTATATTTCTTTTATGTTCCACTCAGGTGTACCTCACAATTTCATATCAGCAGCTATAAATCTGGCAATGTCTTTTGCTTTCGCTATCCAGCATTCACTCCCACACAGAAGTGTGAATAAATTACACATTAAGAAGTCTGCTGAAAGGAAATGAGAAGGAGATCTAATAACTAGAAATGAAATTATGACAGAAGAAGGAATTCAATAGTTACTAGAGCTGGAAGATAAATGTTTATAATGATCTGGCCATGTAAAAAGAATGGATCGAACAAGGACACCAAGAAGGGCATTACAGTTTTGAGAAAAAAATCTACCTGGTGACCCAGAACAAGCTGGTCTGGTAAGGTACTGGAAGGCACCAAGAAGAAATGAAACAGCTAGCAAGAAATCAAACTGGAAAGACTGTGAGAAGAAAGAAAAGATGGGACACTTTCCACTCATCAACCCATGTAAAATGGAAACAATAACAAAAGATGAGAGTAATCATAATTTCAACAAAACTGAGGTTAGCTTCTTTTAAGATTCTCTAATGTCAACCAATGACAAGCAAATCAATCCAACCCCTCCTGTGGTCAAGATACATGCATGCTTCTTATTAATGCTATGTTGTATTCTGTAAACTAATGTGAAGAATTCTGTCACAAGTTGTGAACAAATTAAAACTATTATCCTGGTACCACATACCTTCACACAAAAAGAAAATAATGAATCACAGATATAACATATTTATATTGAAAAAAATCTCTACCTAAATAATTATTCAAAACTGAAGTCCAAACATGTATGCACCAACTGACTGACTGACTGACTGACTGACTGACTGACTGACTGACTGACAAACTGACTGACTGACTGACTGACTGATGCTGAGCTGAGCCCTTCTTCAGAAGGTGCAAGTCACTCAGTAACTCAAGAATTTCCCAACATTTTATAGAGCCTGAAAGTTCATTACTGTGTTCACAAGAGCCCTCAACTGGTCCCTATTCTAAGCCAGATCAATTCAGTCCATACCACTCCAACCTGTCTCTCTAAGATCCATTTCCAATATTTATGCACACAAATTCCAAAACAATAAATGAACTGAGATAAGCCCTACATGGAAAATGAAACAACATTTTCATTATGTGCAGGATTTATTGCAACAGAAATAATAAATGCTTTCAGTCTCAAATTGCTTGAAGTACTCACTTTTCCCAGTTTTTGTACAAACTGCAGCTGCGATAAGAACCTAGAATAGAAACAGTATAAGACATTTATTTAATCAAGGATTTGTAAGGGAATTTAACAATATTTACAATCTCTTTATTTGACCATCACAACACAGCAAATGTAGAACTTCAAGGACAATGCTCAGTATAGTTCTGCTATATGTTTCGGCCACAAGTGGCCATCATCAGGCAAACACACTTCAACAAACATACACCACTGAACTGCAGTATGTAAAATCTGATACAATGTTATAAATCATTTAAGTTAATTTGCACAAGAATACAATAAGTAGGTTATTTAAAACAATAACAAGTCATATATAAAATTAAAATTTTATTGATGTTCAATAACATCGAAACGGTCGTTGGTTTTACTTTTCATACATTTCTGTCGATGAATAGTAAATTCGAGTTTCTTATAAAATTGTGTACAAGGTTCAATAATGTTGTGAATTAATTAATCTGAAAATAATATAAAAGAAATAGTATTAAGTTTGTTAAAAATGATATAGTTTGATACTTAAAATGTAGTATATAGTACGTACTATTACTTACGGAATAGTTGGGGCTTCATCATAAGGAGAATTGTACGTATTGTATGGAAAGTAATCAACGACTGATTTGGTGGTGTAGGGTATAGTCAAGGTAAGGGAGGGAGGGGGAGAAGGTAGGAATGCGGAAGTGATGTATGGTGGGTGGGGGGCAGGGAGAGGGTATAGCTGTATATTATATTTTGTGTATTTCAATTACTAAGTCGTAAATGGGGTTAAATATTTCTGTAAAATTATCATTAAGTTGTAAACATTGCTTGCTAATTTCATAAATGTAAACTCTTTCATATGTGTCTAAAGTTCGGCCTTTCTTGCCAATATATAAAACTTCTAATGTATTGTCAATCGTACTGTACTCATGCATGGTGTCTAATATGTGTTGGACAAATTAATTAATTAATGATAACAAAAAAGATTTATATAATCTTAGTGGGGTGTACAAACTACAATGTTCCGACTGTCCTCTAAAATATATAGGACAAACTGGACGAACCTTTAATGTCAGATTTAAGGAACACATACGTGACATAAAAAATAACGGACAAAGTTCCAAATTTGCCCAACACATATTAGACACCATGCATGAGTACAGTACGATTGACAATACATTAGAAGTTTTATATATTGGCAAGAAAGGCCGAAATTTAGACACATATGAAAGAGTTTACATTTATGAAATTAGCAAGCAATGTTTACAACTTAATGATAATTTTACAGAAATATTTAACCCCATTTACGACTTAGTAATTGAAATACACAAAATATAATATACAGCTATACCCTCTCCCTGCCCCCACCCACCATACATCACTTCCGCATTCCTACCTTCTCCCCCTCCCTCCCTTACCTTGACTATACCCTACACCACCAAATCAGTCGTTGATTACTTTCCATACAATACGTACAATTCTCCTTATGATGAAGCCCCAACTATTCCGTAAGTAATAGTACGTACTATATACTACATTTTAAGTATCAAACTATATCATTTTTAACAAACTTAATACTATTTCTTTTATATTATTTTCAGATTAATTAATTCACAACATTATTGAACCTTCTACACAATTTTATAAGAAACTCAAATTTACTATTCATCGACAGAAATGTATGAAAAGTAAAACCAACGACCGATTCGATGTTATTAAACATCAATACAATTTTAATTTTATATATGACTTGTTATTGTTTTAAATAACCTACTTACTGTATTCTTGTGCAAATTAACTTAAATGGTTTATAACATTGTATCAAATTTTACGTACTGCAGTTCAATGGTGTACGTTTGTTGAAGTGTGTTTGCCTGATGATGGCCACTTGTGGCCAAAATATGTAGCAGAACTATACTGAGCATTGTCCTTGAAGTTCTATATTTGCTGTGTTGTGACGGTCAAATAAAGAGGTTGTATATACTGTAACATGGCAGGATGCATGAAATTAAAATTATAAGGAATTTAACAACCATCACCATATACAAACCAAATGAGATATACTGCAAGCTCATTCACTTCTATAGAAAATTCATCCCATCAGGATGCACTATATTTGTAGTATGGTGAGGATTCCAAGTCCTAATTATTAATTTTAATTACATAGACTTTATAATGACATGAAAATAAATTCCTTATTTATAATGTTGTATTTTAGCGTCCTGTTGCACTGATTTTTGTCCATAATATGTATGCAGTGTCCATCTTTTAGTGCACTCAATTTCACTTGTTATTTCACAACATGTTTCGGCACTATAGTGCCATCATCAGGTGCTCCATTTACGTTAATCTATTTCATTGCTTGCCATTATGTCATTGTAAAATTTAAAAAGTATTTAAAAATGTTCGTCAATTATAATAAATATTTATATACTAAAAACGTGTTAAGATTATTTATCTTATCTGTCCCAATTCTAACACCGCGCATAGTTCCACCACTATGGGAGTCGTTCCTCTTACTCTCAGTGTATATCGTGTCTCGTGCTGTGTTTTCCCTGTTTGGTTGCGGGTGTTATTTATAATTACTGAAGCCTCACACAAAACTTATCCTATAAGCAAACTACCTACCTACAGTTTATGCTATAACATATAAATCCACAATATTGTATTGCAGCACCCTGTTGCACTGTGTATTCCAATTTTAGCACTCTCTCCCTGCAACCTAGGCTCTTCCTATTAATTTAACACTACATGTTTTAGCCTAACCAGCAATCATTGGTTGTATAAGACTGTAGATGAAAACTACTGCTCTGTTGTTATGCTGTAATTTTTTGCATTTTATGAGTAATGTAAAATGCTTAAGGGTAACAGACCAGGAGTTTTCATCTACAATCTTATACACCTCATGATGGCCAGTTAGGAAATAAAATGTAGTGTTAAATAAATAAGAAACAAAGAGCCTCCGAAATCTGAATTTTAATACATGGACAAGGCTGCAGAGAGATAGTGAACTGTGCGTGTTAAAATTTGAATAAAAATCCACAATACTTTGCAAGTACTATCATAGTAAGGACGTATGTGCATATTTAATATGAGAAAGCTTTGACGGAAATACACTACAACCTTGCCTTCATTACCATAAATAGTGACATAAATACTGATTTTAATTCTTGGGCTAGACTTAATCGAACTCATTTTAACAGTTACAGAACTCTGAGGAGAAATATTTTCGGTGATGTAATTACGTGTAATCCGGCATAAGTTAACCGACGTTTCGGAGAAATGTACTGTTTCCGTCTTCGGGCTCAAAGAGTAAGTCACGCTGTTAACCAGCAGGAAGGTGTTTCCTCGACCATGCATATGGAGAAACAATGTTCCCCTGAAATGTCAGTAAACCTCTGTCCAACTACACGTCGGTACAACCCAGCAGAGATCTGGGATGTGACTGAGACCATTAAAGAAAGACTGTTAGCAGCTTTTAGAAACTGTTCGCAATAATATTCAGAACTCGGTCATAATTGTAACAATACTCACCATAGTGGCTCATTTATTGTCACAAACTTACATATACTAACAATACGCCTACACCATTCACTCCTCACACTCTTTACACTTACACCACCTGCAAATTAGTGCTGGTGACGTGGGATCGTAGGATTAAACACAGGCTAAACGTAGAGATACGCACCTCGAAGTTAAAGTCTGACAACGTAACCGACGCGAAGCCACGGTTGCATTAGCCTGCCATCTAATTTGTAGTCATCAGGCTATTGCTGCCATGTGCCACAGCCACTGCCGAGAGCTCAGTCGGTAACAAAGATAGACAACTAGCCATTATGCAAGTCTATGTGTGCTAGGTCTCCCGAATCCTAAATACACAGAACGACAATGAATAATTTTGCAATAACGATGTGTTATATTGCAGCGGTTCTTACACCGTTTTTAGAAATATGTGTACCATCTTACTTACTTACTTACGTAATAGAGCTAAGCTCTTCTTGAGGCGGCGCCAATTCTGCAGCTACTCAAGAATTTCCTAGCATTTTATGGAACCCGAAAGTTCATTACTGCGTTCACAAGAGCCTTCCACTGGTCTATATCCTGAGTCAGATCAATCCAATCCATCCCATCTATCTCTCTAAGGTCCATTTTAATATTGTCCACCTACCTATGCCTCGGTCTTCCCAGTTGTCTCTTTCCTTCTGGCTTTCCCACCAATATCCTATATGCATTCCTCCTCTCCCCCATTCGTGCTACATGCCCTGCTCACCTCATCCTCCTTGACTTCATCATTCTAATTATACTTGGAGAAGAGTACAAGTTATGAAGCTCCTGATTATGCAGTTTTCCCTCACCTCCTGTCGCTTCATATCTCTTGGGTCCAAATATTCTCCTCAACACCCTGTTCTCAAACACCCTCAGTCTATGTTCCTCCCTTAGGCCGGCTCACACCAAGGAAACTGGCAACCGCAACGCAATCGCGATTTCCGAAAAGTGTTATCAGCCAGAGTTGAACACATGTTAGTAAATGGCGCAGCGCAAATTGAGGAAACGGCAACGCAACTCTAGGAGAGACTGAGAAACTCTTTGTCCAGGCAACGGAGCATGCCAGTCTTCACACGATCGAGTTCGATTGAGTTGCCGCGGGGATTCCTAGGAATCAGTTGTTCTGTAACGCGCTGCTGTGATTCGTTTGTCTGTCAAGATGGCACGAAAAGTTGACGAAGCTTCAAATTTTGTTCTTGTGCAGTTAATTGAGCAAGAGCCTGGCGTATATGACAAACGCCATCCAGACTATGCCAGGCGGGACAAAGTAGATTTGGTGTGGGAAATAAAATTTCTCATGAGATGAAGGACTTGTGACTTGGCTGGGGGTTTGTATTACTTTTTTTTCCTTGGCACTACAGCCACAGTGGGCCTAGCCCTACCTCCATGAACTCCGTTCACTTCGGTTTTTCTAGATCTTACACATACGGTAGGACTCCTTGGGCGAGTGATCAGCTCGTCGCAAGGCCTTTACCTGTAGACAAACACAGAAAAACGCACACAAACATCCATGGCCTTAGTAGGATTCGAATCCACGATCCCGGTTTCCAAGCGAGCGAAGACAGTGCATGCCTTAGACCGCTCGGCTACCGTGACCGGCTGGAGTTTTGTATTACTTTCCTTTAATAAAATATTGCGTAATAAAATCGGTTCATTCTTTTTTAATAATCCTGTATTTTATAACCAAAACTTATAATAGGATGAAAATACAGAATATGTCTGTGAAAACAATATAAACAAATACTACAACATGACCCATGCTTTGTGATAAAAATCAGCAGTTGGGTTAGTCCTCATCCTTTACATTTATCAGCTGAATTCAATTATGTAACTCCACCGAGACGGAATTGCTCCTGCTGGTTTAAGAAGTAATCAGCCAGTTGATTTCGCAGGCGCTGTGCCCTCGACAATCTTTGCCTTCCATCATCATAATTTAAAACATGTTGACTTGATTGATTGAATAATTTTCAGCTCCTTCGGAAAATAGCCCTTCCCGAATTCTGATGAAATTGTGGGGGATAACTGATGCTTTGATGACTGAATTCACAGTTTCTTCTTTGCAGCACATTGGCCCCTCAAATATATTGAACTTGGCTGTTAGAATACCAAATGCACATTCTTCAATTTTTCGTGCGCGAGAGAGTCTGTAATTAAATATACGTCTTTTATTAGTCAGCATTCTTCTAGGGTAAGGTCTCATTAAATTTATTTTCAATTGAAATGCTTCATCTGCTACGAAGTAGTAGGGAAAATTTCGCCGCTCTCTTCCAACGGTAGGGAAGTTGGAAATGGGATATGAAGTTCTTCCTTCTCCAGCATCTCTCCGAGAGTATAGGCCATAAATACAGACCCATCGCTGTTCTTGCCGAAATCTCCGATATGACAGTATTAAATAGGACATCGGAGTTTGGACATGCCAGTAGTATTACCGAAAAATAGCCCTTGTAGTTGTAGTATAGTGATCCCGTTTTAGGAAAGCATTTTATGCGGACATGTTTCCCATCTATTGAACCTATGCAATTTGACAAGTTCCAAAGATCAAGGTATCTTTGACAATGTTTTTCCATTTCAATTCGCTCGTTGGTGGCATAGACAGGGGTTGTAATATCGTCCATATTGCAGATGTAATGTCTGCTATTATGGCAGAAATTATTCTGTCCCCTCATAAACTGAAAACGTAATGCTGCGAAACTGTTGCCCGTAACCAAGTACCTGAAAACAAAAACAACTAATCAGGACCACAGTTGCATTAGTGAAATAGTTGGTGCTTTATTTGTAGTTTGCTTTAAACCGTCTGAATTGTTTCACACTGGATGTTTGTCAGATCCGTTTATTTCTTTTCAGTCGCAGCCTGTAAAGAGAGGTGGAAACATATAAGAAGAGTATTCGTCCGCCGTTTGCATGATAAGACACCTTCTGGGTCGCCTGCTACTAAAAAAGTCCATATTATCTTCATGATGCAATGCAGTTCATGATTCCTTACATAAAGAAAAATAGACGCCAGGAAGGCAATTTGGTAGCTCCGCACATCGAAGAAGATACATCATTCTATGGAGAAAAAGAAGAAGACACTCAGATGAACGAAGCATCGAATGAAAACGTGCCGGAAAATATCACACCATCGGAGAGCCCTACCGTGATACAAGCGTACTGTCAGAGAAACCAAAATGATTCTAGGCAGACGTTATTTGGTAAACGATGTCAGCTAACCGCCTTGGATCCGATTAATAAGAGTTTCATGAACTACATGAAGCAATAAATACAGTCGAAAACTCCAGACCCAGATGCAGAACATTTACACAGCCTACACCCAGACGTGAAATCGATTACTGCTAAGCAGAAACGCACGTTTAACATCAGAGCTCTGAATTTAATGGATTAGCTGTTAGAAGGCGCAGTGACCAGCAGTCTTTCACAGGATTGAGCGAGACATCCATTTCTTATCCTACGACACCTCTTCAAGAAGAACAGAAGCTCCAGTCAGTGTGTGGGATTATCGATGTTCTAAAAGACTACCACGTAAATCTGTAACAATTGTATATATTAAATTGTATAAACTGAATGTACAGAATAGATGCGAAGCTATGTGCAATGTCAAAAGTTGGCTGGCCCTGAAAAGGGCAGTTTGTTCCACCGTGAATGCGCTGGTAGAATTTTCTCCTTTGTAGTAGACAAGTCTTTACGGCCAATCAGCTAGTTTTTCCGGCCGGTAACTTGGTGCTGCGTGCGTCTGTAGGAACAGCGGCCTACGGCGCGTTTGCTGGAGAGTTGCGGCAACTACGTTAGCTGCCTGGTCGCAGAGCGAGGTTGCTGGAGAGTTGCAGCAGCTGTATTTGTCTCAGGAAAGAGCTGATAACTCTGATGGCTGAATGTGATCACTGAAGACCGCGAGCTTTGGGCTCCGATTTTATACCATGCTTGCTGGGCGGCGATTAAACTTGCAGTTGCGATTGTGAGCGCTGATCGGCTAGCGCATGTGATGATACACAGGTGGGCTAGACATCGAGTGCTGTATAAATACGAGTGTTGATAGCAACGTGCGGCAGGTCCGCGAATTGCACATGGCATTCAAAATTCCATACGTATATGATTACACAACAAACTTATGCAGACAACAAGCAGAAGTAATACAAAATCATGATAATGAGAATGTTCGCAACATCGGACAAGGCGAAGCCCGCAACAGAAAGTATCAGAGGCTTAAACTTGGCGGCGGTCAGGCATACGACCATTCAAGTGACTAGACTGCCGTGGTAGCAAATAATACTAGAAATGGGGCATAATCTGCTGTACAATGCCTGGATTGACAAAGGCCTTGTAATTATTGTACATAGAAATAGTAATTAAGACTAGAATTAAATTGTAAATATATGTCAATACTGACAATGGACTGACTAAGACTGACAAATGACAGACCCGACCTCTTGTCGGAGAGGGCGCCCCTAATGGACAGGACAGCAACTTTCACAAAGACTAAAACCTCTGGTCATGAGCTGCAGCTGGGGCTCGACACCAAGACAGACAGGCTGACTGACAGTCAGTTGCAACATTACTTTGACTTTGACTAACGTGCTGCAATGTGATATATGACTAGGAGTGAGTGCTGTCTGTTAGACCGGCGAAACCGCGTGTTAGTTAGTTGGATGTTCCCACAAGTGTTAACTTACTGGGAAAAGGAATAGCGGGAATGAGGAAACGTCGACCCTCATTTAAATGGCACAGATGACAAAACTTGACTGTAACAAATAATATAAAGGACAAATTTCTAGCAGTGGTATTGTATTTGTTTAGAGGTCTGTAGAATTTGTATATCGGTAAAAATTTTAACTTTCCTTACCTTAGAGTAATCAGTAGTCTTCCTCCTGCATACACAGCTGTACGAAAATTTGTATCTCGTCTTCGAATTTGAGATCTTACAAGATCCACTAATAAAGAATAACTTTCAGTGCTCGTTTTGTAAAATGATTTGAACAGGTTTGTACAATACTTCCATCCTAACCGAATCATAGGCTTTCTTAAAGTCTATGAATAACTGATGTACTCTTATTCTATTCCCATTTTCACCAGTTATCTGACGAATGCAAAAGAACTGATCAGTAGTTGATCTGTTATGTCAAAACCCACACTGATGATCCCCAATAGTTTCATCTATGTATGGACTTAACATTTAGACAAGAATTGTTATGCCGCAACTTCGAGACTGAAAATCAAAATCATTGCCTAAATATTACGGAGCGTTTCACAGTAATTAGAGCAGTGATGGCCACACATAGGCTGTGGAACGCGCTCAACAAACACCTTAGTCAGCGGAGACGCGTAATCGCTCCACTTTGTAAGTGGCATTTGTAAGCCACTGGAGTACCACGAAATTACAAAATGCAAAGAGGGAGGCGCCGCGATTACCCGCGAGGAGTCGAATTTAGCCAATGGGAATTCACCACTCTAGAGATTTAGGACATAGGGAGGAGTAACTTCCCTCCTTTGTCAGTTGCAGTGTCAGCAAGTCGATAGTATAAATCACTGAATCACTGAGACCCGAAAAATCAATCTAAAAACGTAATATTCAGCAATCAGCCGGAAGCTCTGTTCGACATGGGTACTTTAACCGTCCTCCCTTGAGGCTTCTTGCCCACAAGTTGGTTGCCACCCTTTCTTACCGTCCGTCTTGTTCGCCTTACGTTCGGCGTCACTTTGACTGCCCTACCTGGTGCTGCCTCTGTTGAAGTTGTTGGGGCGTGGCTGGTTCCAGCTTGACCAGGCTCCACCGCTTCTTCCGGCTCCACCGCTTCCTCCTTCCTTTGCTGATTACGGGGGTTGGAATTTCAGGATAGGACCTGATGTTATGGGCGCCAGCAAACAGCTAGGTGCGGTTTGCGATTCATTATAAAGGAGGGAAGGCGTGAGTGGGTGGAAGCTGGCGATGGGTTTGACTAGCTCCTGGCGATGAGTCTCTCCTCAGGTCGGCTACGGGTCAGGCTCGGACAAGTGAGGGTTGAAGCACTTCTAACCAACACGATGCACTGTACCACTAGAACACTTTATTGTTTTCTTACAGTCACTCGGCGGTATACATCCACACAATCAGACTTAGTTTCGGCTTCCAAGCAGCCGGTGTTGCACTTGCTCAAATTACCCAATCAGGTCGACTTACCACCGTCCGCTTATGGATTAAGCTAGATCTCTTTTATGTTATGGTCAAATTTTGCACTTCTAAGAATCATTTAACTTAACCAGCAAGTATAATCTTGGAGTTTGCCTCCGCCGAGTTCGAAAGTTTGTAGCAGACTCTAAATCTTAAACTGGACTCTCTGCCGAGCCAGAGGTCCTAACTACGTTGTATCCGCCTATTCTCCTCTCCTGCTAATTTCCCTGATAGTCTGTTTCAAATGAGGGGAGTTGGCTAAATTTTTGGTTCCGGCCAATGACCGATTGTTTTAGAGGGGGTTTTGGCCTAGAATGCCAAACGGCGAAATTGACAGCGATGCAACTTATGAGGTGTCGCTAATGATCTCCCGGCACTCCCACTTTTGACTTACGGCTGGTAGGAACTGTCACTTCTCTAATTCTCAAAGTGACTTGCCGCTGTAAGTCAAATTCTCAATTTCTAAAGAAACTCAGTGGGGTTCCTTGAAGTATCATTTCTGCCCTTCTGGAAAACAACACCAGATGCTTGGACGCAGGGACTAGCAGATGTCCTTGTCCGCGCAAGTTCGGTCTATCTGCTCATCGCCTACTGCTTGTTCTGACTGTGTGTCTTAAACCTATGTTTCTTCGTAATTCTTATTGTCTATGTAATGCCGCTAAGGTTACGTACATGTAGATATAGTTTTTGGGTAAAATTGGAATAATAGTAGCTAGACCGTAAGATTAAGAAACAGCCANTAAGTGAAACCAACTTCATATAGCCATGAACATTAAGTGTAACAGTGATAATTGTAAAGTGTAAAACCACAGGGAAAGATAGGCTAACTAGATTGACTAGGTTCATTCAAGATACCGAGGCGTAGAATACCCGCCAGTAGGGTGACAGGAGGTAGAACCAATGATGACTGCAGGTCCATTATCCAGTGTAGTACAACCGACGAACGTCGGTAAGAGTGCATATAGATGTATATAGTGACATAGAGAAATAGAATAGGATAGACATGCGTGTGAGTTTACTTTAACCTAGCAATTCCTTAAGTGTTACCCTCTTCCTTGACGACTCCAGGACCTCCCAACGCCCCGGCGAATTACGAGTTAAGCCAGGACAGTGACGCAAGCTATGATAAGTTTACTAGATTTCTTGAAAATAACAAGATGGTGGCAGCATACTAAACAGGGTGACAGAGCGGGATATTTCCACGCCCTCTGTCGCCACGGCATAAGAGAGGTGTAGCAGCGGCTTAAGAGAGGTACAGTGGCGGAAGCGGTGGAGGTACCTCCACCCCCCTTCACGCCATAACAGTCTACTTTATAAGCAACTGAAATAAAAAGAAGGGGGGGAGGGAAAGGATTTCAATGGTGCGGTTACAGTACTACAAGATGGTGGATGGCGACACTTATCTGCGTCTCTATTTCAAGTAAGTCTCTTTGCTCATATTAGCCATGTTACTTAAAATTCAGTGTTGTTGTGAACTTGAAGTCCAGTCTCCAGTGTGCCCTACGAGCGCCAGGGTAGAATAGGGTAGAAATTGTGTAGCGAGTGACAGGCAATGGAGGGAAGCAACAGTCTCACGTCATCACCCCCGAGAGGGAAATTAGAATAGGAGTAACGGAACGGTGTTATGTAAACTGGCCGAAGTCGGCCTCACTTTATTGTAAATAACAATGTAAATTGATCAGTGTAATTAGGGTAGGGTGTACACAGGGAGTTTTGATTCACCCCGCCACAACCACCCGTCCCAGACCGATCCAGAGCGATCCTGGCCCAAGCGAAGTCAGAACTGACCCAGGCAGTCAACGGCAGCCGGAAGCAGCGAACATCTTAACTGAAAGAGTGGCGACTGAGTAGATTAGTTTTATTTTATCAGCCCCCCCCCCTTGGCATAACAAGAATATTGGATACAATTTTGTAGATGTTGATAGCAGTGATATTTCCCGATAATTTCTACAGTCTGTTTTACCACCCTTCTTGAGAATTGGTACAATAATAGACACATTTTTTCTTATGCCGGATGGAATTAATTAGCTTGTGGATCTTAGAACATAATATTTAGCCTCCTGCTTGAATAAATTCTGCGGAATTTGATCACTACCTGGCGATTTATATCTTTTCAATTTTGCCATAGTAATTTCAACCTCAAAAGGGCTAGGACAAGGTACTAACGGCTCAGCTGTATGTATTTCTGTCCGCCTAACATCATTGATCTTATGTACATTCAATGTATCCATACGTACATGGATATGAAGTAAATAAATATATAACACAGTAGTTCTTCCACCTATTCAAAATGTTGTGGGAATCTGCAAGGAGATCATCATTCTCATCCTTCACTAAGTTACTTCTAGTTTGTTAAACTCTCTCAAAGTCATTTATTCCTCTATACAGGTCTCTTAATATTCTTGTTCTTACTGTTCATTGCAAGCTCAACAATTGTGTCTTTCAGATATTCCATATTTTTCTTCCTGAAATGCCTACTGGTTTCACGTCATATTTTTCAGAGTATCCCCATTTATTTTGCTTGGATCCTGTAACCACTGCAATTTCGCTTGTTTTGTTTGGTCTAATAATCTTGAGCATCCTTCATCGAATCATGGCTTACGCTTCTTCAGTTCATAATAACCTAGACTCTCCTTGGCAGAAAGTCTCGTTCCCAACGTTTTTTTTAATGTCTTCCCTTCCTACTTTGGCATCGAAATCTCCTAACAAAATTTTCACATGGTACTTCAGGTATTTATCAAATACATGTTCTAGTTCTCCATGGAACCTATGCTTCATATCAATTTTATGCTGCTGGTTTTCAGGGGCTTGTGAAGCGATGGGATAAGTGCCTCAGCGCACAGGGAAATTATATTGAGAAACAAAAGCATTTTTCAAACCATCCATTTGTAATTTACTTACTGATTTACCCTTATATATACACACAACAAGCCATCATAAAATAAACGTTCTCAGTTATGTACTCGTATACAATGTCTGTAATTAAAATAAATCTACAAGAACATAAAACCATATACTGAATTATATAATAAAACAATATACCAATTACAAATCTCAATCTATGGTTTAAAACAATCTATTTGTACTTGTTGCTACTAAAAACTCTCTTATTCTTACTTCAGTCAACAACTTCGCAACAAGTATATCGTTTTCATAAGTTTCACACTCCTTCTCGATCACAATTATCCAATCATATTCCTAATTATTTACTTTGTAAACATTTGCACATACGATGTAAACAACATTCCTCTTATGGAGCAGGAGCAACAAAAAGGGCAAAAATCTAAATCTATATTTCCAACAATAATATTCCTCTACGGTGAGGAGCTCTTGCCCAATTAACTCCACACAAAACCTTTGGCATGTTCATCAATTTTTCGTGCCATCTTAAAAAACAAACGAATCACTGCTGTGCGTTACAGAACAGTTGATTTCTAAGAGTTCACGCGGCATCTCAATCGAACTTAATCGTGTGAAGACTGGCATGCTCCGTTGCCTGGAAATTGAGTTTCGCAGTTTCGCCGCAAGTTGCATTTCCGTTTCCTCAATTTGCGCTGCCCCGTGTGTTCAACTCCGGCTGCTAACACTTCTCGGAAATCGCGGTTGTGTTTCAGTTGCCAGTTTCCTTGGTGTGCGCCCGGCCTAACAGCCCTGGAATACTCTCAACAGTCCTATTGTGCTGAGTGGCATTGTAACCATGGATCGTTGCAAGTTTTACCAAAATTCAACAATCAAATGAAATCTTTTTGACGTCATCGACTAAACGGTTTAGAAGCGCTGCTGTTTGGTAACTGCAGGAGCTCAATCGATATCAGCTACCTAAAATTCGTATTGAACGTAGCCTAGTCCGAGAGCAAAAGTACAGGGGTGTATGTTTAATATGACAATAGAATTGGTTACGTTTAATATTAGATTGTGGAAATATAGTGAAGCTCTAATTTGGTGACTTCAACAATACACAATTGTTTCGCAAACTAATGAGATTTCTGTGACAGTAGTAACGTGGGAGTGAATTTTATTCCGTTCTCCTATTTCATATTTTTATGTTGTCTTCGTATTATCGTCGGCAGCCGTAAGTCGAATATTTTTTAAAATAACGCGTATGCATTACATTTTGATATTTTGTAATATGCTTTTTATTTTATTAAATTTTATTTCTATTATTACTCCAAGTGCATCTTGTAGGTGACATCTAAATGAGTTTGACAGTCCAGCCTGTGTAGAAGTAGATAAGATACTGAGGTGCTTCAATTTAAATGCAGATATATAGTTTAATTGTGCAATGTCTATGTTGCCGTAGCAGTAGCAAACATCTGAAGCATAAAAGACTAACTTTCAGAAGGAATATGATGTTTAATGATATTCATGAGTAAGAAAAATTTGCTGTCAGTGCATCAAGGAAGAAGAGTACATTTCAGCTGTTGTAATTGTTTGTAGAGCTAGGCCTGCACGTAATGCCTCGCCGAACTACGGAACCTGCTACTGGAGCAGAAATAGAACAACCTAAGAAGAGGGTAGCTTCAAATGGCAATAGACTGCCAGATCCAATTCGTGAGGGAGAGATATTGGTTGATATTGCCAAGAACCAATGGAAACTTGGCAGCTCAGTTGGTGTTGGAGGCTTTGGTGAAATTTATCTCGGTAAGGTGACACAATTTTCGGATGAAGTTGCCATAATATTGTGGCCCTTTTTTTTTTCCTTCTCCAAATATACTTTTGTAAATGAAGGTATGAAGTGTTGTGTTTGAGGTGCGTAATGAACTAGATTTTTTTATAACTATGAAGCTTAGTTGGACAGTATGTTAAGCCCCTGGGAAGTGTATATGATGTAGGTAATATGTTGTAGTTGTGTAAGAAGAGAATCAAACACTGCATATGGAGGACCATTGTGGTTGAATTACTATAACAAATGGTTTGGATAGGAACTGATGCATGTAAATGGTTAATGTAGTTTCATGACAGTGTCACATATTTTGAGTTTCATTTTTTCTGTGTGCTGTATTTCCCACCTTATTTACATAGTGTATGCTTAGTCCCCTACTGCATGAAGTATAGAGATATTACTGTTATGTGGCTTTCAATTTGTCCTCATTATATGCTCTTCATTTTTCTCTGTTTCTTTTCAATATCCTCTGTCCACTTTTGTCTGGGTCTCTATGCTTTCTTGTCTTTCTTATGATATCATAAATATTCCATCCTGCATGCATATATCTGAGCCTTCTGGATTATGATTCTGGCTTTTGGTTTAGAAAGTTGACAGCATTCAACTTGACTCATCTCTGTTATCTGGTTAACTTCGTTCCATGCCAGACACAATAGAAATTATCATATGCCTAACAACTCTCAGTTTTGAAAAAAAAACACTGGCGAGCTTGTAGGCCTTACAGAACCAAATGTTGTATAGTGCAACTTATGAAAGAGTGGGCTGTGGTTGCAGTATGCTGAAGACACTGATGATGCAGCATCTTGTGACCTCTTCTCAGATCTAATTTTTTGGTCCTGATGTGTCATCTGGACGTAAATAGAAATAACTCTGAAAAATCAAGTAAAATAACTGCCTCAGTGCCTACCAGAATTGTTTTTTTCAACATCTTCAAATATGAAGCTAGTGATTTTACACTATAATGATGGCTTGTTGCCTGATCTGCTGTTCAGCGGATATTGTGGGTGAATTCTTCAGCAGTTCTTGTCATGGGTACAATTTTTGTATGATGATTATGGGCCTGTTGCTCATAAACTTTAAACTTTTCCATGTCATTAGTCAGAAATAATACTGCAATAACACTTTGGGGTTGACTATGTTGTGGGCAGTTTGAACATCTGTGAAGCAGACCACATTTTCAAAAAAAGATTTATAGTCTTTCTCTTCTGGCCATGCAGCAGCCAGTTACTTAAAATTCTGATGCATCTCCCCCCCCCAATGTATTTCCACTGTTACTGGCTATAGGAAACAAAATTTCAGAGTCCAGTTTTTAAAAGTAATTTGTGTGCTTTAAATTCCAAATATAAATATATGAGATCAACAAGCAGTGGTATTTTTCTGTGTATGAATTCATTTTGAGCCTGTAGTTTTGACTGATAAATATTCTTCCTTTCCTTTGTTTTGTTATGCCTTTGTGGATTACAAACGGTTTTATTTATATAGTAGATGATATTTTTACGTCAGTACTTTTTCATGGTGGAAGCAGATAGTTACGCTTTCGTGTTTCTCTTTTTAGTCCATGTCTTAAGAACAACAGTTTTTTTTTTTTTGTAAGCTGTCATAACTGTGAACATCATCTTTTCTTGTGTGTGTTTTCAAATGATGCTTTGTATTTAGTGTTAATCTAAGAGTGCAAATCTCATTGAGGTAGGCCTAGAGAATTCTTTAATTTTCCAAACAACAGCTGTAAAATACAAGAAGAAGAAGAAGAAGAAGAAGGCAGTGTTGCCAGATTTCTTCATATCTACCAGTGTTTCCAAGACTCCAAAAGAACAATGGTGTGATGCTGATTCAAAATTTCAAATATGATTTTTTTGTCATTGGAGCAAAAGTCCATGCTACTTTTTCTTTTCGCAGTAGATTGAACATTTGTTTATACCAGGCAAAAGTGTTAGCTTTTTAAATGCTATGACATGAAGATTTAAACAGTTTTTAAATGGCTTGTATGAAGATCATAATTCCCAAAATTTTCAACACTAGTTTTCTTGAGAAAAACCACTGCCAGACAAAAAATTGTATGTAAGTTTTGAGGTTTTCACGGCGATGACAATGAAGAAAGTCGTCTTCTGGGTTTAGGCCGAAACGAAGAATACACGGTGCCTAAACCCAGAAGACGACTTTCTTCAAAAATTGTATGTTTGTGACTTTTTAAAGAACAGATATTTACATATTTGTGAAAAATGCTTGTCTTACAATAGAAGTACCTGACTTCTTTAATTAATATGTACAGATTTAAATGCGATAAAAGGTCAAAACTTTGGGAAAATGAACTTCATGGATATCTACTTATAGAATAAAAGTCATAGAAATTGGTCATGACATGGTTGACAGCATTATTTGATTTAAAATGGAATGACTTTGGTGGGATGTGATGCTGTGTACTTTGGTAAGTAGGTTTCAATGTTTCAGGGAAACAGTCTGCCTCATATCTTAAAGGTAAATGGAAGGAGCAGGTTCCTCCTGAAACGTTGGTATCTGTCTGCCACATTACATGGTGTCAAAATTCCAAAAATCTTCAGTCATTCACCACCGCAAGAATCTCAGTTTCATGAAACATTTATTTAAGGTCCTTTTGTATATACAGGAAGAAGTACTCCATAGAAGCGTTAGATGAGCATGTTTTACATTTTTTAATTGTTGTCAAAATGTAATCTTTGTTACATTATGTTATATTGGTCTGTTAGAAGTGGTTTCTAATTTTTGTTGTAGCATCCAGCAATACTTACAAACCTGTGGGTTCAGATGCACAGCATGTAGTGAAAGTAGAACCACATAAAAATGGACCTCTGTTTGTGGAAATGAACTGTTACCTTAGAGTAGCGAAATCAGATATGAGTAAGTATTATTTATATTTCTTAATTTTCTTCACTTGTGCTTTTATTAGTCTGGACCTGAAACATTCCCCTCCTCAGGAAGTCTGTTGTTTCAGCATAACCACTTCATATTTAAAATTTTGAGAAGCTTGATTATATTTTAAAGAATATGTAGAGATTTACTACGTTCATTATCACACTAGGTCACTCTATTAGCACATTCACTGTTATCATGGTCACCAGTGCCCATTGCAATCCCTTTACCTTTTGCCATGGCAGTCACTGGCATCTGCTGACCCTGTACGTCACACCATGACAGTTATCAGTCAAGAGTCAGAGTTACTTTATGACTGGTGATTTGCCGCCAATCAGTTCATCTTTGTGCCAAGCCCCTTGAAATCCACAACCAGTATTTTTTTTTTCAACTGAATACTTGAGGCTATAGTGCTTATGTAACATCCTCTCTGATGAGAGGATGGGTCTGTCTTTTACAGTTGCTGCTGGTCCTCACCAGCACAATGATTCTCAGGTCTGAGTCCCATAGGACTTATGACCATATTTTACTGTCTCAGATTTGAGACTCCCCCAACCTGGAGAGCCAGATTCCTGTGTTTATATCCCCCAGGAACAGGGTGGCCCAGTTATACTTCCAGGCACTGGGTTCCCTTTTTGTGGCCTCCTACAACTCACAGGACTAAGGTGAAGGTATTTGACCCCACATCCACACAGAGTGGCAGTCATCAAGGTTCACTGAAGACTCTTTATGTTACATGATGGTGGTCACGACTCTCAGCTGCAGACCCTTTCCCATATGCCGTAGCTGTTATATATGTCCACTGCAGACCCTTCACCTTGTGCTGTGGCAGTTACCAGTGTCCACTGCAGACCCTTCACCTTGTGCTGTGGCAGTTACCAGTGTCCACTGCAGACCCTTCACCTTGTGCTGTGGCAGTTAGCAGTGTCTACTGTAGGTGTCTACTGTAGACCCTTCACCTTGTGCTGTGGCAGTTACCAGTGTCCACTGCAGACCCTTCACCTTTATCCTTTACATCATGACATGTGGTCACTGGTGTCTGCTGCAAACCCTTATTATCGCACCATGGCAAGCACCAGAGTGTGACCCACTTTTGCTCTCATGCCTTTTTAGTCACTATTCTGTAACATATGTTTTTATGTTAATTCAGTTCTTGTGTGGTGAGTGTTGCCAGTGTTTTGGAGGTACATGCTGCCACCGTGTTCAGGTTCAGTGTGTGTAGGATGAGTGCGTTTCTGTTTCTGTGTGTACATAGATTTATGTTTAAAAAATGAAAAATGAAGGTGGGGGTTAGTACCCCATCTGGGCCAGCAGGGACGTTGGGCTATGGAATGAAATGGCTCTTCTAAGACCCACAGAGTGCAGCAAAAAACCACTGACAACTGATGATCCAAGCAATCACCCATCCAAGTACTCGTCAGGCATAACATTGCTTACATAACTTGTGCTGTGGGTCAAGTGGTATGAAAAGTGTTTTGAGATTACTTGGATGGGTGAAACTTGGGAACACCAATTGCACATGCATGCCCCCCCCCTCCCTTCTTCTCCCCCCATTCCATGGCCTTTAAAAGAGGCTGTTTCTGTACATTCATAACTTTCCTGGCCTGTTCTGTTGGCATGAATGGGGTGTCAACTTGTACCCCCCTCCACCAAACGTAAAACTATATGTACAAAGAAAATCACCCACCATACATATTTCAACCCAGAATATGGCTGCAGCATGTACCTCAGAAACACCAGTAACACTGCCCACGTCCACATGGTGTAACTACCCAAGAACCCATTAGCATCAACAGTGAACCACTATGAAAACCCAAAGTCAGCCATGTTTTAGTTCAGCACCATGTGTCCACTGGTTGAAGGCAGCCTCTGTTAAGTCTACAGAACTACTGCAGTGAGTTTCTGTGTGAAACATTTCTAAAATGTAACATCTTAAAGTGTCATGCATTTTGGTAGAAATTCTGTGTCTATAGATGTACTCAGCATGACAGTTTATAGATGCGGAAAACAGAATGCAAGGTTAAAAAATGCAATGCCTTAACAGAGTAAAGCCTAGATGACATATCAAGGCTCATTGAAGGGTTTGCTGTCAAAATTTGTAAGAATCAACTACTTGCTGAACTTAACTGATTCTGTGGGGTCTGTGATAATTCTCTGGCTCTGACAGTTGCCCCTATAACGGTCTTATACTGAAGCCTGATTCCTCGTAAGCAGTCGTATATAGACACAGTAATGGGTGCTGTGCTTTGAAAACTCAAAATTTTATTTGTTCTATGACTGCGTGTGGCAAATGTGACCAGGCCTGTCTTTGTGCCAGAAACTTAAATTCCAACTAATTCTTGCTGACGCAAAGTGAATATGCCAGTTCCTGGTAAAATAACATGAGATCCTACAAGACAATTTTTATTAATGCTTTATGTTCCATTTTTGATGACAATTTGGATTCCTGGAAGTTGTCTATGCCCCTTTCATGTTTTTGAATGTCAAGGGTAGATTTGAAATAGTGCATATATAAAGGAAAGTGTTAAAAAACATAGTTAAAATATAATATTTTGATTCCCATAATATTTATTGCATGAAGTGTTATAAAGCATAATTGGTTAACCTAAATTTTGAGCGTGTGTTTCAAGTCATAAATTCTAGGAAAAAGATGTGGAATTTCTTGATTAGCTTATTGTCTTTTAGCATCTCAAGAAGGACTCTGTCCCATGGAGTTAGTTTTAGCTGTCATTTCATATGTAATTTTCATAGCACAAATCATCAATCAGTGACAGATATCAATGCAGTATGTGCCTATTTAATTAAATGGAATTGTGTATTAAATAGTCTGATTTTCCTGATACTGCATTGATAGGGCAGACTGATTTATAATTGAGGGCCTCATTACTTGTTTAACCAAGTATAAGCATCTAATTTATGCAAACTAATTATGCAAGTAAGAACATGGGATAATGAGACTTGTGACTCATTTTTATTTGTTGTCAAATATGAAAAAAAGCACTAATTGAAGAATCTCTGTGGGACTCCATTCATATTGGTCAGATGCATAGAGGCTCTGAGCAATGAAAGGAATGCATAACATGAGTGCACTGAGTTTTGGTATGTTTTTTTTTTTTTCAGTTGATGAATGGAAGAAGAGTAGGAGGTTGAAACATGTAGGTTTATCCCACTACATAGGATCTGGCTCGCATGTCTACAGAGGGGAAAAATATCGCTTTCTAGTATTAGAGAGATTTGGTCAGGATCTCGGCAAATTGTTCCTACAGAGTGGGAGAAGGTTCCCAGTTAAGACTGTATTTTACCTTGGCATACAAATTGTAAGTAAATGTACGTAATGTAAGTTATTTAGTCATGGTTTATAGCTATAATCTGTGAAGTTGTAATTGAGAGTACAAAATAGCAGTCAATCTTCACACTTATTTTATTATGTACATTGTACTTATTATCATTATGTATATTCATATTGTGGCCTTTGGGTTATGACATTGTGTAGTCTGATAGGTTGAGTCCAGTGTTTTTAGAGTAGCCTGTTGCCCCTACCTGTGGTGTTTAAATGAAGCAGTACCTTCCTCTGAAATATTGGTAACCGTGTACCAGACTACACAGTGTCATAACTCAAAAGACCACAATACAAATCTTCACCAGTTTGAAAACCTCAAATACAGCACAGTTGCATGTGTAGTCCTGTGTTCAAAGTACCCAACTTTATTCTTTTAGTTGGAAGCAAAAAAAAAAAAACTGTATATATAAATAAAACTCGGTACTTTCTTCAGAATTGAATGCTTCTGATGAAACAAAGAAATCATTGGTAACATTAATTTTGTATGCTATTTTTATTACTTTTTGCCCTGATTCTGTGAAGACATTGTATTGAGGTGGAAGTTTTCCTCCTCTTTAGTTTTGCATTGGAGGTATTCAGAGGTGGGAAAATGAGAAAATTTTGAGTCTGTGACTGCATTATTATCTGAATAAAATGAAGTTAATGAGCCTTGGTAACTGATTTGTGTATGACACCTAGATTAGGGTCTCATGGGATGTGACACCATGCAGTTTGGTAGACAAGTACCAGTGTTTCAGAGGAAGCTGCTTCCTTAGTATTCATCTGTCCTGAAGATGACATATTGGTACCTCTCTCCCAGACTACATTTCATATTGCAAAATGCACTAATCTTAATAATCACTATTGTGAGAACTGTGTATCTCATGTATGATTCATAATATGTCTGAGTTGGTCATATACTGTGAGAAGAATCCTGCATAATACAGAATTGTATATTTATGAATAGTATCCTGTTTTACATAAATTCATATGTTCTTTGTTCTTACTATTTAGAGTTATGCCTATTTGTGTTGCTTCCCATGCATGTGAACCCATAATAGCAACACTCAGATTAAAGAGGTGTGTGTGATTGACAGTTACTCCACTCAGCTACCCTTAGTTACAATTCAAGAATCCAGTTGGGCTTAATAGTTATTTCCCCAGAGGTGAAACTTGAAGATTGGCTGTTAGGAGTATTTGCCCCTCCTCTGATTGAGCGGAGTGGGCAGTAAATGTGCAAACATCCAAAGAGCAACCATGATGTATTCCATCTAACATTTACTATTAATGATTAAAGTTATGGGAATTGTACTCTCATATAAATATAGTTCTTGCACTGGGGGTCGTCAGAATGGTCAGAAGAATGCATGAACTGGACGAGAATATGGGGATATTCAAATCTGGCTTGAAATGCTTATATTAAATTGAATGTTTGAAGCAAGCTTTTACATTATTGCTCCCCCCCATGATGCCTTGGTCTTGTGCCATGTCATTGTATTAGAGTATTTTACTCAGAATTTCAAAGTAGGTGAAATGTTCCTCATAGCAAATTGGAAACAAGATTTTAAAGAATGTACAAGATAAAGTAGTACACAGTATTCCCATTTATATTTTCTACGGTTCACTAAACTTACTTGCAACTTCGTAAGATTTGAGGTTTTCACAGTGGTGACTATGAAGAATGCCATCTTCAGGGTAGAAAAATCCTCGAGTGAGGAACCAGCATGTGCATGTCTGCAGCAACCTGCACACGCTGGTTCCTCCGAAATGTCAGTTTACACTAGATCTACACAGAGCCACTTCCCAGAAGATGGCATTCTTTACTTGCAGCTTGTGTACATAAACTGCTTAAATAATTAATAAAATGTTGTATATTGGTTAAAATGGGTTCCTTGTATACTTTCTGACCAGATTTTATGTTGTAATCACTTGCAGTTTTAGGAGTACATGGAAAAGTCCATTTATAGCCTTGTATGAAGTAGAATTTTTAATTGGTTAATATGGGTAAAAATTAAAATGGCTGGCTAGTGTTATGCAGAGATCTCATATACTGATCTTCAGCAAAATTTAATTGTGGGTGATTACGGTTGAACATTGGGGTTTGCCTGTCATAGTTTAGTAGTAATCTCTCATATCACATGTTAAGAAAACCATCCACTAGAGTAGATGCTGATACCACATCACAGATAGATGGGCAGATAATTAATTGCACAGGCTTGCTGTGCACATAAGACATTCTGTCTTTCTTTCTTTGTAAAGTATGCGTAATAGTAATTCCTTTTGCTGTTTCCATCTAGGGAATATGATGCTTCTGCACTAAATATTAGAGATTAGTGTGCAGCTAATTAGAGTGTGTCCTGTAACACATGATATAATTAACTTTGATTGCCATAGATTTAAAGGGCTCAAAGGTATATTGTGTGGCAGATGCTAACAAAATGCCTTCAGCATGTTACCTTTTTTTTAAATGATGCATTGCTGTAAGAATGCTAGTTCAGTATATTGTTCAGCATGCTGTTGAAGAAATTTTTTGTATAGAGAAATGTCAGCATGGAGTGTAATTTTTAAATATTTTGGTATATGATGAATAGTTTACATATGTATTAAATAATTTACTTCAGATCCCTGGAATTCAAACTTATAGTAAGTCATTTAAAGGGCCGCACAATAACTCAAGTGGTTAGTCGGAGACTTCCCACCGTGGTGGTCCGGGTTTGATCCCGGGTCTGGTCAAGTGGGATTTGTAGTGGACAGAGTGGCGCTGGGGCAGGTTTTCTCCGAGTACTTCAGTTTCCCCTGCCAATCTTTATTCCACCAATTCGGGCTGGTGCAATAGGGCAGAAGTGGTCACAGTACAAAGGACTTAGTCCCACCCCACTAGCATTAAAAAAATAGTAATTTAAAGCAGATTTTCTCTGGGTAAAATATTTAATACAATGAATTTAAACGTTAATATGTATGAATGCACCATTATCATGAGCTTTAGTGTACTGTACAGAGTACACTTGTACTGGTATGAATGTACCATTATGATGAGCTTTAGTGTACTGTACAGAGTACGCTTGTGCTGGTATGAATGGCATTATCTTAGTTTATAGCTTTAAGAGGCAGGTGTGTTGAGTTCTTATGTATAGTGGATGGTGCTGTCATTTGTAAGAGTTAGATTAAGTAGGAAATTCTGTTGTATTGTAGCATGTAGAGACCCATTGCTGGGCAATGACCATGAAACAAGCAGTCAAATAATGCAGTAGACTTCGGACAAGCAACAATTGAACTACAATAGAGGAACAGCATTTTGTACATGGTCCGTGCTGAGATGTTATAAACAGGACAGTTGGAGCAGAGAGTCAGTCAGGACATTGTCAGGATCTATTACCAGGAAATGACTAGTGAAGACATAGAAGACTTTGTGTGTGCTGCAGTTGCAGTGATCTTTAATGTGTGTAAATCATTGAGGCTGTTACAGTTACTTGTACTTGTGAGTTGTGCGTATAAGTGGTCAGTAAAGTGAGTCACCAATCCAAACCCTGTCTATAGTCACTCGTACAAATGACAGTATGAATGCCCATGGAAGTTTAATTTTCTTCATTTGGAGTAGTATATGCAGTATATAGTGCTAATACATTAACATGGCTAGTAGGAGATTAAAATTGTATGCAAAGAAAAAAGTGACAAATTCAATTTAAAAAGTAAACAAATAATTCTTATAATTGTATTAATTTTATAGTCTGTATTATATTTTAGAGTAGGAAATAATGAAAGAAACTCTGTGTAACATTGTCTGGTACATAAGAACTTGCTCTTCAAAAAATTAAATGATGCAGTAATATTTTATACATATTTGTGGAGACAAAATTTTTTTTTTATTAAACATGTTGTCTTTGTTCCCTGCAGCTGGACACATTAGAGTACATCCATAGTCATGGATACATCCACGCAGACATAAAAGGCTCAAATTTGCTGCTGGGGTATCGTAAGGGCACAGAGAATTGTGTTTACCTACTAGATTTTGGTCTAGCCTGCCGCTATTTGGATCAAAATGGTGTTCATAAGGAGTATCGCTGTGACCAACGCAAAGCACATGATGGAACATTAGAATATACCAGCAGAGACGCACATATAGGTGGTGAGTGCAGTATTATATTACTGACTTTGAACTGTATTCTGATATATGTAACAATCTGGTATACATTATATAGAAGTTGGATTTAACTATTACATTCAAGAATGTGATAGGATATAAATTACATTGAAGTATTTCACTTGCGAGTGTGAGTGTATCATATCTTATATACATGGACAAGCCTGGCCATCAGGCACTACTGCTATTTATGTTTCCTGTCTAGTCATTGATTTGTGAAGAAAATAGGTGGTCATGTACTCTGAGCACCCTCCTCTTATGCATTGTGGACACCTGCTATTGGAGAAAAATGTCACAAGAGGGGGCATCAGCCAAGTTCTCAGCAGAAGACACTGGTCTGAGCTGGAGTACATGTCCTCTATGTACTATATTCACAAACCAGTGATGATACAGCAAATATGAATGAGTTAGATTGATCTGTTTAGAGTCATGAATGTGAGTAGTGATGGTGATGAGCGATGGTTCTGGCTACAGGAAACTTCATGAGCAACTGAAGAACTATTGACTTTTCAGGTAAGACCTTGTATCATGAGTTGGTTTATTAATTATGCAAGGTTATTGATTTCCGCTGCTCTAATTTTAATATGATCAATATGAAAAAGTTGAACTCTCTTGTATTCCTTTCCAAGTTTTGTTTAATATGGATGAAGAGGAGCCATTTTGCTTGTGCCCTAAGAACCTGAGAATGTTTATTCTGGGAAAACTGCAGAATAGAAAGGAAATGTAGAACTTTGTGGAACTGTATTTGGAAAATAATTTGAGATTCAGTCAGTTTCAGTAGCCTGAGATAATTTTATGTATTTTTATATTAAAATTTATATTATCTGAGTAAGATGACCATAGTCTTTGGCATTCCTAACTATAAAATTCTGTATGTTTCTTTCAAAATACAGAGTCATTTTCAGAAGATCAAATCATCCTTGGCCTGTTAGACAGAACTTAGCTGTCTTCTGTTGCAAAAAAGGATTCTAGCATAATGGCTAATATGCCACATGTTATTAGCACAGACTTTCATTTTTTGATGTAAATAAATTATTTGATAGAGACCACCATCACAGTAGAAGCTCATAATGTCTCCCTTCTACTGTTAAACTTTTTGAAAGGGCTATTTGACACTAGTTTGAATTCACTAATCTCGAGGTACGAGGGCTGTCAGAAAGGGACCTCTGTTTATTTTAGGCAACTAATGTAGGCTTGGGGGAGAGCTCGCACATGCGAGGTAGCATCACATGACTCATTGCCTTGTAAACTACCACATAACTGGTCACGTAGTGTTTGTTGTTGTGTCTGCAGAGTGAGTTGTGATGTGTCCTGCGATTGATAATCTGGCCATCTGTCAAATTTGCGCTGTTATCCACTTTCTTCATACTAAAAACATGAGTGCTGTGGAAATCCATTGTTATTTATGCGTGGTTTATGGTATAAATGTATTGAGTGAAGGGTCTGTAAGACAATGATGTATGTTCAAAGATGGGTGGTCAAACGTTCACGATGAAGAGCGAAGTGGTCAGCCATCTGTAGCAAATGATGATCTTGTTCAAAGTTGTGACCAAATAATTTGTCGAAGATGGCACTTCACAATTTCAGAACTTTTGTGTGAATTTCCACAAATTTCACACATTTTTCTCTATTGAGATTATCACAGTTAGGCTAGGCTATCAAAAGTTTTGCACAAGATGGGTTCTGAAAATGCTCGTGAGTGCACTCAAAACACAGAGAGTGACTTTTGGATTTGACTTTTTTTGGATCAGTACCTCAAAGATGGCGTTGAATTACTCAATCACATCATTTGAGTAACAGGTGATGAAACCTTGGGGTTCATTTGTGAATGTTGAAACCAAAGAGCAATCACAGCAGTTGATGCACGTGCATTCACCAAACAAGCCGAAGTTTGCCATAAAGCTGATGGCAACTGTTTTCTGGGACAGGAAAGTTGTGCTGATGGTGGAATTTGTGCAACAAGGGACCACAGTAACATCAGAAGTTTATTGAAATACACTAAAGAAAATTGGTGGGGCCATTGTGAGCAAAAGGCATGGAATGCTTACATCCAGTATAGTGCCCCTTCATGACAGTGTGCATCCCTATGCAGCTGCTTGCGCTTGAGCGCTGCTGGAACATTGCACCCTCCCTACAGCCCTCTCTTCGAGCATCTACCGCCTCTTTACCTACCTGAAGAACTGGTTGGGATCACAGTGCTTCAGCAGTAATGTGGAGATCATTGAAGGTGTTAAAATATGGCTGAGCTTCTTTGACAGACATACAAAAGCTTATCCCCTATAGGACAAGTGCCTCAGTTCTGTTGATGACTACATTGAGAATTAGCTTAAGTATGTATGTACTTTTTGTATATAATTTTTTTTCTCATTGCTTGTTTTGTTAACAGCTCACTGGAGGTCACTTTCTGAATAGCCCTCATAATTGTGTCACAGATGTACTTGAGTTCATATGCTGTGTTGGAATCGTTTGAGTACACCTTGTTTTTTAGGTTTCCCCAGAGATAAAAATGACAGAGATTTTAGTCTGGAGACCTTGCAGGCCACATAATGTGACATATTAGTCTGTCTTCAAACACTTTGTTTAAAACATTAACCGAATAATTATCAGTGTATGCTTTAGCACCATTTTGCATAAAATAACCGTTTCTTGTCTTCTTTCATAGTTCTGTCAAGAAAGGGCCAAAGAATGTCATTGACATGTCATTCTGAATTAATAGTCTGTGAAGTAGTATGGGTCGTACTCTTCATGTAGCAGTAATGGCACAGTGTGCACCAGTCTTCTTATCATAAAGGGGTACCTTAAAAGTCTGTGTTGGATTAATACTGCTCTGATACCTATGGTTTTGGGCACTGATATACATACCAAGATGGCACCAAGCTTCATCAGTAAAAAATTGTTAGTTTTGTGTCAAGAACACCAGCATGTTCTGCCTGCAAAAACCAGTTATGAAAAGGAATTCTTTTCAGTTCAGTTACTTGGACCTGTCTAATTTTAAATGGCCGTGAAATTTGTGTGAGTGTTCTGATCTGGCTCCCTTTCCATCAGACTTCTCTTTGATTAGCATGACATTGTGTCTAGTGAATTTGTTGTCTGCAAGAGACCCGATTGAATGCACTTTATTCGCCAATTCAGAAATTGTTGATGAAGCTGGGACTCAAATACCAAGGTACTCTTTGTTTTCCATTCTCATAGGACTGAAAGTCATGAGCCACCAAATACACCACCTCAATCTACAGACCTTTCTTTATTTTTCCACATAATCGCCACTTCTTTGTACACATGTCTCCCAGCATTCTGGGAGTTTGAAAATTCCCCTTTTGGAAAATTCTGTTCCAGCCATCCAAAGACACTGACGCACTGCTTTCTGGATTGCCTCCCTTGTCTCAAAATGTTGTCCACGCAGCTGATCCTTCACAAATCCGAAAAGATAGTAGTCAGAGGGTGCCAGATCAGGGCTATAGAAGGGGTGTGGAAGAACTTCCCATCCCATCTTTGCAATTGCTTCCAATGTGAGGCGAGTGGCATGGGGGCGAGTGTTGTCATGCAGGATGATGATGTTTATCACACAATGCATGACGGAGCTTGTGCAGCATCTGGACATAACGAGCAGCATTGATGGTTTGCCCAGGTTCCAGGAATTTGGCCAGAATAAACCCTTCTGCATCCCAGAAGACTGTGCCCATCACCTTTGTAGCTGATGGCTCTGTCTTTGCCTTCTTTTATGATGGAGAATGCAAATGGTGCCATTCCATACACTGCCGTTTCATTTCAGGCTTGAAATGGTGAAACCAGCTTTCGTCACCTGTCACAATACAGAGCAAAAAATCATCGCCTTCATGTCATCATCTCTGCAGTTCTGAGGTGATGGCTTTTCACTGACCTTTGTGGTCTTCAGTCAATAACTGCGGGACCCAATGAGCACAAACTTTCATATAGCCCAAGCTTTCAATCATCTCCTGTACTGCACTGTGCCCTATTCCAAGTTTTCAGGCTATTGTGTCCACAGTCACACGCCTGTCATCTTGAATGATCTCATCCACTCTTTCCTTGTTGCATTCAGTTGAGTTTGTTCGAGGACGACCACTCTGAGGCTCATCTTCGATGCTGGTGTTCCCATCTTTAAAATGTTTCAACCATCTTTGAACACTGCTCACACCCATGCACACACTTCCATAAGCATGCTGAAGTCTGGTGAATTTCTGCAGCAGGGATTTCCTCATTCACAAGAAATTTGATGACAGCACGCTGGCGAAACAACATATCGTCAGCCATTTTGTTAGGAGTGATACTGGTCACATGATGCAAGCTATTGACGTCACAAGACACTCAAGGTTAACACAACAGCTGGTTCCACCTACCACCATACTCTCTTTCATCTGCTGTTCCCAGGTTGCATGCAAAAAAAAAGTTGCTCATGACTTTCGGTATGACCTACGTATTACAGTAAATCATATGCAGATCCCTTGATAGCCATATAAAATAAACAATAACATAGATATTGTGCAGTAACACAGAGGATGTTCTCTCTGCTTATCTGTGTATCATGTAAAGCACATTCAGCTCATAATTTTTATAGGGTCAGGTGTACTCATTTTGGCCTGTTGAGGATGGCTATATAGTATCATATACTCACCTTTCTATTCAGGGGCGTGGTTAGAGGATTATAAAGCAGAACAAGGTGAGTTGTATTTGCATGAGAAAGGTGTGCTTTATCGTGCTTTGAGCTTTACCAGATGGGATTATGGTGCAGATGAATGTATTAGAGGATCTTGTTTTATAGACATTCAAGTACTGTGCCACATCTTATGATGTGTGTGTGTTGCAGCCCACTCTCGACGTGGAGACCTGGAAATCCTTGGCTATAACATCCTTCAGTGGCTGTGTGGTAAGTTGCCATGGGAAGACAATGTAGCCGATCCAGAGTACATCCATACTCAAAAGAAGAGCTTCATGTCCAACATTCCTCTCCTCATGCGCCGGTGCTTTCCTAATTCAGAACCACCAGGTGAGACTGAATAGATCATTATGGGTTTACTGTTCATACATAAGGGATTACTGTATAGATTATTGTTGCAAGTGTAATTAAACTTACAGGTGCTCACCTTGTGATTATCCTTTCCATTTTCTTGAACTTTATCATCCTGCCTGACCATATTCTGTTCTGTAAGTTGTATCTGAATACAGCCTGGCAGCCAATAAGCTAATTTCCTTGGTATTACCCTGGATTGTCATGCAGGAAACATACAAATTGAATTTTTTGTTGGTGAGTTATATCTGACAACACAAAGTGAGGATGAGGAAGTTGTTCAGAATTGTCAAGACAAGCAAATGGAAAAAAAAAAAAAGTTTCTTTGTCCAACTTAACGCTTTGTGGACCGGCAATTTAAATATTTAAATTACCCTGGGGACCAGCATTTTTAAACCTACTACCCTAACTTGTGCACTGTTCACTTTAAAAATTAATATAAAATCTCCTAATTCATTTTATGAACTAAAATTTTTGGAGAACACTTACAAATGCTTCTAGAAGTGCTTGAGAGTGTGATATTTCTGGAAAGTTTCCCCTTTGTGAAGTGGCATTACACAGAACTTGCAATATGGACAGTCATACTCCTTTTCTTGTGAACTGTGCAAACATGGCACTGCCTAGAAGGATGCTTCCCTTTGGAATGTTCACTCTTCACAATTTTCACGAGGCTATGTTCCTGCATATTACCCGAGAGTTGCCCAGGGGTGTCCACATGAGGCCTGCATGGGGTGGGGGTTGATGGGCCCAGTCACACTGTCTGTGCCTGACTCTGGTTCTGCCGCCACCATCTGGTCTGTAGCCCAGGCCTTTGCCGCATTCATCAGAAATACTTTTTATTTCAGTTTCGAATCTGGGTTTAGATTTTTGTAAACCAAAAATGAATTGAAAATGGCACAATTTATAAGCCACAAGGCAACTTTCTTTGTCCAATTTATTATTTTCCTAGGAAGAGAATAATAGGCCAAGAATTGATTGGCTCTATCAACTCCCTTCATGAACATATTATACTCAGAAATACAAATAGGTTTCTTTACTTGTCCATGTCTCCTTTGAACATCAACCATGTTCAGATTGTGAATTGTGGAAATCATATTCACAACAAGAGTATCCCTATCTCCAAAAACAGTTCTACTACTTCAGACACTTGTGTTGGGTCCAATGGAATTTGTTTCACCCCTGGATTTCCAGTAAACTGTCCCAAAGTAGGCATTTTGTCTACTTTTCCCCATGTGGGTGTCCCCGCAATTTTACTACCTGCACTTTCGTCGGAGCTACTTTCACTTTTATTGTCTGTGGCCACAATTGTTTGTTGTCCCCTGTCACTGCCACTGAGTCACTTTCACTACTCCTCTCAGAAGGAACGTCAGATAGCTCATCAGAGAACAAGTCAGATATTTCTTGTTCTCCTGTAGATCGCTTGATCTTGAACCGCTTCTGTCCTTGATTCATATTGCACTAACTTCCTGCCTGGTACATAAGAGCTTGAAAGGTCAAAGATCATTTTCCTTTGGAGGGGGAACCAAAACAGCGAGGTCAAGTTACTGGCTACTAAGCAAACATTCCAGAGTAATATTACGCAGTAGTCATTCATTTGGATGGCGCCAGAGAAAGGTATAGCGTGTTACAACCTAACGTGTCCTAAAATCATGATATCATGCAATTGGTCCACCACGTTTAAAAGCCAAAAGCATGATATCATGCAACTGGTCCTCAGTGTGCTAATATTTTTAATTCTCTTGAATATCTGTTTACCATTGTGTCCCCTTTGTCAGCATACCTTCTGTGTTGGTTGTAGTCCTATATGATTCTTGGATGTATAACATTTTCATGCTTATAACAGAAATTACCATTTTTGGATCATGCATATGTCAGTATGTATATACAATGCATCATGTTTATCTGACTTTGTGTTTTGCTTTTATGCCATCTGTGTGCAACATTAGTTACTAGTCACTCGTCATTTTTCTTTATTGACACTAACATATCTTCAGGTGTATGGGTGGTTGTGATTAAGGAATCTGCTGCTCATGGTGATGCTGCTTTGTTTCTCTTATGTAGAGGCTTTTGATTACACCTGATTATGTGGGTTAACCAAAATAAAACAGATGGTTAACTGCATAACCAGAAGTAATCTGAGGCCTCTACATAAGAGAAACAAAACTGCATTACAGTGAGCAACAGATTCCTTCATCACAACTGACACATTGCTTCAACAGTCATGGCTACCATGCCCATTTGCAAGAATATGGATTAAATTTCCATAATAACTGTGGCAGTTCTCTGTTAGGTCCACAGTAGGACATGAGAAATGGAAGGACCACGTATATCTGATCAGTTCCTGAACACACATTCATATTTTGAGAAATAAATATGTTTTAATTAGGTAAAAGTTGTCCCTGTGCTTAATTCTAATTGAGCACTAAGGCATGAAGGCATATGGGAGAGTGGATGGTCACTGGTTGGAGGTGAGTGGTCAGCTTCATGCCCCGGTTGGTTTAACCCCAGGGAAAGAGCCCCCAGTACTCATTTGATAGGAGGCCGGATGCATGCCAAAGCTGGTCTGGACGACATGGAGAAGAGAAAATTTTTTACCCTATCAGGATTCGAACTCCAACCCCTCGGTCATCCAGCTTGTAGCCAGTCGCTATAGCGGCTGCACTATCCTAGCTCACATATTATAATTAAGACTGTTATAGTTGAAATGAGAGAAGGTCTGTGGAGGTATACAAAGATCTTCTAGCACCATTTCCATATGATGGTAAGACTACAAAAGCCATGGAGCTTATATACAGACTTCAGCAGTTCAGCAAATAGGAAGAATCCTGGAAATAAAATCTCTGTGGAATTCTTAACTCTGAATCTTTTGTTTCAGCTGTGTTGAGCCAGTACCTCAAGTATGTAGCTAGTCTTGGCTTTGAAACAAAGCCAGACTACACTTATTGTAAGAACCTGCTGAGGCAAGGTGTTGAAGATTCTGGCTATGTGGATGATGGAAAGCTTGTGTTTGGAGCTAGTCCAGTTGCAAGAATCATTAAGAACAAAAAGGTGAAATATTGACTTCATATTTTTCTACCAAAAAAACTGAAAAAAATCATTGTATCCTCTTTGTCTGGGTGCATCTCTCCAACACTAAAGATACAGGCAGTGAGATTATCCATTACTAGAATTTCTGCACAAAAATTTTTCACCGAAATTTTTTAAACTGTTGTTGTTGTTGCTTACATACAATATCTATCAAATTTAATGGGGAGAAGGGGGATCTCCCTTCCCCCCCTTTTTCTTTTATATATCCCTTTCATATTCTTATCTCGTTCCCTTTCTCCAGTATTTCTATTCCATCTGTGTGCATCCTATCATCATTTACCCTCCCCCAGTTTTTTACATTAAAACACCATCTTGCCTCAGTTCTTCCATACCTTTAACGATTTGTACCTTCATCCCCTTCCATCCTTTCTTCCATATTCCTTTCCAGTCCAATTTATGGATTCATCTTATTTCCATTCCCCTCTTTTATCAGGCAACAGGAGGATATTGTTAAGGGTTTCCCTCATATCACATTTGTGGCAGAAGATAATTTGGATTTTCTCCTGTATTCTGCTGACAGCAGAAGGTCTCTTGGGTTTTACCCTGTAACCCTTCAATGGCAGAAGGTAGTGTGGGTTTTCCTTCTTATCCTACTAGCAATTCCATTGTCACGATCCCAGGGCCTTTCTTATTGAGGAAGTAATGGGGAAATAATCCAGCTTGCACTTGAAGCCATGATTTTATCAGCAAATATAACAATTTCCTATGGTTGTCTATCCAAGAGGAGCATTGTTTCTTTTACCGTTTTTTTTTCTGTAATATGCCATTTTGGAGAATAGGGTGGGACGCATAGATGAATGTTCAGTGTATATAAATATACATATATCTTATCCAGTATTTATAAAAATTATATCTCAGCAATTAATGTTTAGGCATTTTAAATTCATTAAAATGCCTTCAGGGAATTTTCTTATATGTAAAAAGTTGACAGTTAACTTTGCTTCAAAGCAAACAGTACATTTGTAGACGAGTTTAAAATTGTTCACACAGCCCTAATCTTTATCCCATGGATCATGAATATGCGTAATACGTTTCTTCAGAGTTTGAAAGTTCTCATTTACCTGATTCATTTGTTGTCTTTTAGCGAGGAGATAAACGAAGAGCAACGGAGGAACCTGAAAATATAGCAGAATTGAAGCCTATGAAAATAATTCGCAGTACTCTGCGGCAACCTTGTGTGGCTCACAATTTTAATAGGTAAATGAAGCAGTGAAACATAACTTACTAGAGTTGAATTTTAAGTGTGATTTAGCAGTAGTTTCTTTTCATAGTGCTGAGGAATGGGATTGAGTTCCATATGAGGTGCTATTTCATTTTTATACTTGTAACCATTTGTGCCCCAAGTCAAAACTTGAGATGTAACTCATGATATTTAAAGTATTTGAAGTATTAGCTTGTTGAAAGGTAGTGTTATATTGTTGCAATAAATCCACACTATTTAAAGGTAATGAAGATAAAAGAGGTATATATCCTAGTTCCTTGTTGCATCATCCTTGCCTGTGTGCTGTTTTATGACTATGAAGAGGGGTACGTCACCAATAAAACGTGACATCCAACCATAAACAGGGGAGCTGTAAAAGACATGTTAACTAAACACACATCAGAAATGCACATAAGATTTTAGCATAAGAAGAGTAGTTTTGCATATTGATACAGCTATGTATGAACACAGGTTACTGTGAGATTGTTAACTTGAACTATTTATGTGCAGGAGTCCAATATAAGAAGTGTATATTTAAATTAATTTTAAATATCACTGTAAATTTACAATATTGCATGATTTATGAATTGTCTGTGGATGGGTTTTGGGTTAATGATTGGATTTATTGGGCTCTTTGATAGAGCATGTGACTACACTTTACAGCTCGCTGTTACACACACACTAGTGTCCACAGTCACGTCATCACCGGTCATTGCTCAGTAGTGGCTTCCAGCTGCAGATGTTCTACTTCCTCTGAGTTCCTGAATTATTCCTGACCTCAGCTACCAGCTTCTCACAGCAGCAACTCACAAAGGACTGAACCCCAGACCTTTATGAGCTGCTAGCCATAAGTAACTTCAGAAGCAAAATTATAAATATAGTCTGTGCAAAGTGTTACAGCTAGTTAGGAATCACATGTTACGACATATGTGCCAGAAAAATGCACTAATGCACTTTTTTTATCCAGTGGTTTTGCATATATACAACATCAAGAAACTGATGGTTCTGATGGTTTTGGTCACCATAATGAAGCCATCATTATAAGCCATACTTACTCTGCCATGGTTTCACTGTAAATAGGAAGTTACATATTCTGAGTGGTGTTTCATCATAAACCCTATCCTGATTTCTAGTTATGTTACATCTTATGAAGGGCAAGGTCATTCCGTCAAATTATGATGGAGGTTATCATTAACCCTTTAAAGCCCAGTGGTTACTGTAGATACCAACTCTTTAACACACTAAATTCTAGATTCAGCCCACAGAATGTATTTGTGTGTTTTTCATATGGTTCTCACAATAAACAGTCTTTGTTTCCCTAAACAGCATTAACCAGTTGGTCTTTTAGCGAGGAAGTAATCTGTTTCCTGTGAGGTATGAACTGCATTTTTACATATTAGAAGAAGTATGTTAGCAAATAATTATAAATAGAAGTGTAACATGGCAGCAGTGAACAGTATGCCTGAATAGGTATTAGTGTATCTACCTATACTGAAAAATTTTCCTCTTAGATAGCAATACATAATGTACTTTATTATTATTCTCACAAATTTAGTATCTTAGTATAATTGTAGTTATCTTTCCAGAAATTTTCAAGTTATTGAATGAAGTATGTGTAATGGAGTTCTTTTTCTTTTTTTAACTATGTCCCATTGAAGGTTCAATGGTATTTGTGCTGGCATATTAACAGAGCTTTATAACTTTGAATGTAAAGTAATTTCAGAATGAAATGCAGATTTTTTTTTGTGTTGTCTTGCTTACTCCAGTAAAATATTAGACACTATTGTACATGTATGTTCTATTGCAGGATGACTCGAAACTCGCCAGCTTCTCCAGTACTCCGATCACACCTGCAGTTTAGTTGGGAAAAAATCATATCTGGCAATCCTGAAAGACAGATGAAGAAACATGCAACATTGAACCGTAAACTGTCCGCTCCTATCCCAGCCAAGTCTGAACCAGTGCTGCTCATACAGCGTCAGTCAAATCGGGTGAAACAGAAATTGACAGCTTCGTTGCCAGAAATGCCAGAACCAACAAACCCTGGGAAGCAAACAGCTGACACATCATCATTCAGCAACCCTACACCAGCCATGTTGGAGATAATATCAAAAATGAGACAGAAGGCATCAACACCAGCCATCACAGGGGGAAAGAAGGTCAAGAGTGAGAGGTGAGGACAGTCCAAAGAAACCTGTCATCTTGTGTTTATTGGTGTAAGGAGCCATATTTCCTGAGTGGATTGTTTGACTTCTGTTAATCACTTCAAGTGCAGAAGTACTCCCTTAAAGAGGGCTATTGCTACATTTACAGTCATAAAACATTTGCACTGTCCATCATGACCACCTTATCTGCAGATATTGTTAGCATTCTTGTAGTACAAATGTGATGATGAAATTTATAAAAATGATGAGATTGTGAACTTGTAGGTAAGATTCATACTTTTTTTTGGTTACCCCTGTGCGCTTTGAAACGTAATCAAGCATATATTATATTTTTGGATATGATTATGTGCTTTTTATATTTGTTTTTAGAATATGGTCGGAGTTTGAGTCCCAGTAGGGTCAAGAATTTGCTCTTCTCCATGTCGTCCAGACCGGCTCTGGATTCCACCCAATCTCCTATGCAATGGTTACAGGGGGCTCTTTCCCTGGGGGTAAAGCGGCCGGGGCCTGAAGCTGTCCACTCACCTCCAACTAATTCTGAGGTCAAGAAAATGTGGATTTCTACATCCACTCCCCCATATGCCTTCATGGTGTAGTGCTTAATTAGTTAAGCACAGGGACAACTGTACCTTTTAACTTTTAGAATATGGTATTGACTCCTAAGATGCAACAGTAAATCATCAACTATGTAACTCCAGCTTTCAGGGTTATGTTGCAGAGCCATTCATTTTCAACTGAACATATGCTGTGCACTTACTTAATTAGATATTTGTAGAATTTACATTACATGAACCTTAGCACATTCTTCAACCTCTAACTGCTACATAGCTGGTCTGTTGGATTTACCAGACATGTGTTGTATATTTCGACAGCCGTTGCAGTAGTCCTGTTGAGTCACCATACTCTTATCCAATCACCCCTGCTATGGAACTGGTGATTAGACGGAGAGAAGAACTTCGGCAGCAAGAGTCTTGCTCTGTTAGTACAGATTCAGACAGCTTCAGTGATGAGAGCAGCTCATCTTCTGATGAGGAAGACTTTGTGAGGGCAACAAGATCTAGGGCCAGGAACCGACAACAACATAAAGTCTCTTCAAAATCAATTAGAACAAAAGCAAAGCTTACACCTCTGATGCTTAAGATGACCAGCGTGGGAACAGGTGAGTGGTCCATGTGATCATGATCATGTTCCTTGCAGAAACATGTTAAGGATCTGTGTATTTTTGTGACTTGTTTGTTTATGTCTTTGGCACATGTTGATATGTTTGAAGTAGCACATGTTATGGTAATAGGAATAGGGACTGAACAGTATACATAGTTGCTGTTTCTTGATTAACAAGTGAATAGAGATTTGGATGTTCTATATATAGTTTTCCTGTACCCCGCTATCAGATTACTTTTCTGGGTACTATATATTGGGCTACATACCTGTCATCTAGTTTCACTTCAAAGCTTGTATTGGCATATCTGATTCTTTCCAACAGAAATAAAAGTTATGATCCAATCATGTTGCAAAGTAAGGTCAGTAGAATACATGCAGTGTACAAAATAAAGGAGGTATGAGGACAGTTTCAGTGTAAATGCAGTACTTTGCCATGAGACTTCTTCAATAGAAACAGATTTATTTCTCCAATACTGATTATTCCTTTAACCACTTCTTTGACAGGGAGAATTTTGGAGGAAGTCATCGAGTTATATTTTCTGTAGCCCCGATTAAAACCTAAACAGGGTTTTTCTTCTGAAGTTCATTAGTTGGAAATAGAAATTGCAGTGTTTCAAACATGTAGCCAGATAGGTGACTGTAAAGGTTTAAGATTAAACCCTTTCCTCTATAAACAGCTTTTACTGATTTCTTCTCATGAAGACTTCAGATGGTGTACTGGTTACGTGTATTGAAAAAGTGCCAGTCCTTGATTTGTTACTACTGTATTATCTTCCACTATAAATTTTATAAGGTTTGGTTAAATTTTGGATAAATGAGGTAGTGAGATGTAATCGGCAACTATGGAACTGATCATAAATTTCTTGCTGTATGTATTATATGCTACTAATAGTAGAAGGTATTTGTTATAGGCATTTTTAGTCCTTTAGTTCCTGATAAATCCTTGTGGAAATAATAATGTTATGCTGTTTATTTGAACTTTAGTTCTACGAGTTTGGCATCAAAACAAACGTATGTTTGTATGTGAGGTAATGTATTACATTTCATTATTATTTTGATGCAGGTAAAGTTAATTATTTTGTGTGTTTCTCTCCTCAGCACTAATGACGTGAGTATGCTATTTACCATCTGCATGTTGCTTGTAGTGATAAACTAACTTCATTACAACCTTTTTTTTCTCACATGGCTGGCATATGTGTGCCTGTGAATTGTCAATAATATTGTTGAGTGATTGAATCCAGGTTGAAGGGGTTCCCTGTGCTGTGAATGCTCAGTGCAGCAACTTGAGAACAAGCATGTGCAACGTTTCGTGACTGTGTTAAAACTGTTGACTTTATAGAAGTTGCTCAGTTTTGATGTTTTTGTTATAAGATTTCTTGAAACAACAACATTTTTTTTTTAATTGCCAGTTACAATTATTAGTGAAACTGGAATGTCAGTGAAGAGTGTTAACGACATGTGCTTGAATGTTGGAGTGCAAAGACAAGACTTGAAGAGAACTGCCAAATCTGCTGTGAAATAGCGCAACTGCTGTGCTGATGTATGGCTGATATTTTTTTTTTTTTCTAATAAAAGTGTTTTATATTAGTGCTTCTCTTGTGATGCCAATTTCCCTTGCTGCTTTCTTGCCTTCCTCAGCATCCATTTTCTAAATTTATTTTCACATACATAGGAGAGGGTTCTTTCATTTCATGGTGGGAGTCAGAAAACAGTTGAATAGCTCATTTCCAGTGGTGTCCATCATCCGACTGTACAAGTTGTAGGTGTAACAGTGTCCTGGAACGTTCAGTTTGCAGCGTTCTGGGACAGATGAGCTCACAATTAAAACTTATATTCTATGCAGCAGGTATGCGGAGAAAACTGGCTGCTGCTGCTGTGGTGCAAAAGAAGACAGGAGTGAATCGTGGGGTATTGCCAAGCCTCTGCCCACGAACTCTGAGGAACTACACACTGCGTGGATGAAGTTGCAGTCATGCAGACTGTGCAAGTTGAATACCAGCATAAAGTGTGAACAGCTGAAACAACACTCCATGAAGATCATCCCTCTTGATGTTGTCCATGAATAACAGTGTTCATGGAAATTGTCAGCTTAACTGCATACTCATTTCATGTGCTAGACTACCCTCATCTTTATTTATTAAGAAAAATTGTCAGTACATAGCAGCTCATTAAAATATCATAGTGGAAATGGAAACGGTTTCATAATATGCCTTAATTAATTTCATGTATATGGACAGTAGTTAAGAACCACCATTGGACCAAGAAGAAGTGTTGACCAGGTATATGCATGACCAATAGGGACCTCCTCTTAATTTGACTAGTGTACTTCTCCACCACGGTGATTCACTTTGGTGGTGTGCTAGTACCAGCTGAGGTATTTTGCTTTTCCAGTCTGCAAGTTCATTTGTATCCTATTGAAAGGGGATCAAGAAAGTTTATCCTGAATACATTCATACTTACTAGTTGGCTGTAGGCTTATTTGATGTTCATAGTGAATGTGTATATGTTGTATGTTTTGTGTACATGTGTTGTATGAGTCTGGTGAGTCTTTTACAAAGTGAACTATATTTTTACTAATGTTGTTGCTTTCATTAGATTTTTGTCTTATTTACTTTGAGTAAAAATATTAACAAATAGTCTTGTTGGATTGATTAAATTAACTAGAGTCATGGTCTGTTCCTGCAAGATTTGTTGCGAGCATTAGCCATTTTTTTTACTTATCCATATGTATGGATCAGAGTGTTTGAGGATTTTTGTGCCTTTTGTTAAAAGTGAAGCAGATTAGAAATATCTTGTCCAGACTCCTGCCAGTAGACCGTGATGTACCTTTGCTTGCTCTGCATCTCTCGTGAATGTGACCATGGACATGATTGTATGCTGATGTGGAGTGGAAGAGGACCATGTTGCATCCTTCCATTACTTTTGAATCTCATTATGACTGGAAAGGTGAGTTATTGGTAGCCTGAGGCAAAATGTTGGATGCAACAGTCTCAGATTTCTTTTGTAGATATCTGCATTTCAGTATATTTTGTTATATAACTATGTCAGTTTTGTTCTAAACTGGCCATACTAAACTCTTTGATTTCAAATTGCTGTTTATAGCCAACATATTTGAGTATATATGAAAGACAAGCAATATTCCTTGCAAAGCTGGTAGCTGAAGGCACAGAATGGATTAGAGAGCTGGAGACTGTTGGGATCATTATGTTATTTTCCATTTGAAGGATGCAAAGTTGTGTTTATATCATTGCATTAAATGTTTCAGTGTTGTCTGTGTTTTCAGAAAGTTTTCATCAAAGTGAAAGGTCCCATTGTTTAATAGTACATGTAAATAAAGAGAAGCTTATGTTACAAATCTGCCTTAATGTGTGTCAGGTTTGGAATTCTCGTAAAGGTGTGTGTGTGTGAACGTTCATTATATGAATGAAAATTTGAACTTTTAAGTTTTTGGACATGGAAATGCAATTTGTGTAAGACAGTAATAAAATGTTATAAATGGAAGGGCTGAGTAAATTCCTCTTAGTGGGTAGTTAATGCACACTTCAACATATATACATTTATCTTGTGGTGTGCGCATGCTTCTCATGTGGGAGGAGCACATTTATGATATGTCTGTTATGAAAGAGTGGAGTACTGTAAATGGATGTAAAGTGGTCTTACAGAGAAAAATAACTCTTCTTTTTGATCTTTACATGATTGACATGCCACATGAATTGTCGTCAGTCTGCTGTGAACATCGTGGTATACCAGTCTGTATTACGTGCAAACTAAAAAAAAAAAAAGAATGCATTGTTTACCTAATCTGACGAGGCTCAAAGTACTTCAGTTTTGGACATAACAGTGAGACAGATCATGTCTCTCTAGAAAACAAAGAGTTCTGGTAGGAAGAAGTGATATTTCTCTTAAAATTCTGTTAAACAAAATAAATTTAGGAATATTTTATCCTCTTTCCCAGCAAGATATGAAGATACAAATTACTGTGATTTTACTGCTAGTTTTTATGAATTCAACATTGACTTTGTCTTCACACCTGAGGAATAAGCCTTGCCAGTGTCTGAAAACCAGTGCTAAGAAGTGCTGGATCCACTTGTAGAGCTCATTTATTCAGGGATGACGGCTGGAGCCTCACATCCATACCATAAACTGAATATCACTGTTTCTTCATATGTGTGTTTATGGATTTGAATCTTGGCGTGGAGACCTGTTATGCTGGCTGAGATTTTTTTTTGTGTGTTTTTACTTAGTCTGTTTCCAGACAAACTCTGGAACAGTACCTTAAAATCTGCCGTGGCTAATTCCTTTTCAGTTTGCTTCCATGACTACATATTTTCAGTTTATCATTTGCAACCATCCTGTCATTCAGTGCTACATGATGTATGTGGCTGAAAATCTACCTGTAAGTAGTCCAATATCAATCAGTCCATGTGCCATATATATATGGCCCTTCAAAGATATTAGGTGAACCGATATAATTATCATATTTTTCCTTTCACTGTAGCATTAGTGTGGGTTTTTGATGTAACAGATCAACTACTACTCAGATCTTTTGCATTCTTCAGATATTGGAGAAAAAATGGGACTACAGTGAGACAGTACATCAGCTATTCATAGACTTCAAGAAAGCCTATGATTCAGTTAGGAGGGAAGTATTGTACAATATTCTGATAGAGTTTGGGATACCCATGAAACTAGTTAGGTTGATTAAAATGTGTTTAAACAAAACGTATAGTAAAGTCCATGTAGGTAGACATTTGTCTGATAAATTTCCTATCCAGAATGGTCTAAAACAAGGAGATGCTTTATCACCACTCCTGTTCAACTTTGCTTTAGAATATGCCAGTAGGAAGGTCCAAGAAAACCAGGTGGGACTGAAAGTAAGTGTGACACATCAGCTGTTGGTCTATGCTGATGATTTGAATCTACTGGGTGATAATAAAGATACCATAAAGAGAAAAACGCAAACTTTAATTGATGCTAGTAAGGAGGTTGGTCTAGAAGTAAACACAGAGAAAACTAAGCGTATGTTGCTATCTTGTTATCAGAATTAGGGCATGAAGATAGATAACAGCTTCTGTATTTCAGCATCCTGTTGCAAATCTTTAACCAAACGTCTGTGTATTCACAGTCCGTCAATAATGCAACAATTGTTTATTCACCATTTAACACTCAACGCAACATGTTTAGGCCATAGACAGCCATCTTCAGGTGTTTTAATGTGTCCAACTGTTACACTGTTCTGAAGTGCGCTAACTGTTCTGAAGTGCGCTAAAATCACACGTTGCAGTCCACATAAAATAACAGGAATAATTAAAGTCCATTAAAATTTTCTGTTAAAATTATTCATAAAATCCTATTCCACCTCATAAGGGGTGTCATCCACTTGTATAGAGTTATGTGTTTATTTCAGAAAGTTTGTTTCAGCAGCTTGTTTTCCTGTTCATTAGCCCGTTTTTTGCTACATCTGCAATATGGCCCTTTGGTTGTGTGTTGTTCCCTCTAGCAGTGTGGTGCTGTCTTCACTAGTCACTCTAAACAAGTGGACAACACACCTTATGAGGTGGAACAGAATTTTACGAATAATTTTAATAGAAAATGTTAATGTATTTTAAGTAATTATTTATGTTATTTTAAGTGGACTGCAACACACTATTTTAATGCACTTCAGAACAGTGTAAAAATTGGATGTACACCTGAAGATGGCCATCTGTGGCTGAAACATGTTGTGTTAAGTGTTAAATGGTGAATAAACAATTGTTGCATTATCGACAGGCTGTGAATTCATAGACGATAGGTAACAGATGTTTTGAAAATGTGGCACAGTTCAGATATTTGGGAATGACTAAACAAAACAAAATTTGATTCAGGAGGAAGTTAAGAGGAGATTGCACTTAAGTCATGCTTGCTACCATTCAGTCAAGAAGTTTTTGTCTTCTCGTCTGCTGTCTAAAAACATGAAGATTAGAACATACAAAACTATAATTTTGCCTGTGGTTCTGTGTGGCTGTGAAACTTGGTCTCTGACTTTAAGGGAGAACATAGACTGAGGGTATTTGAGGACAGGGTGCTGAAGAGAATATTTGGACCAAAAAGAGATGACGTCACGGTAGATTGGAGAAAACTGCATAATGAGCTTCATAACTCGTACTCTTCTCCAAGTATAATTAGAATGATCAAGTCAAGGAGGATGAGGTGGGCAGGTCATGTAGCAGAAATGGGGACAAAGAGGACTGCGTATAGGATATTGGTGGGAAAGCTGGAAGGAAAGCAAACATTGGGAAGACCAAGGTGTAAGTGGGTGGGCAGTATTAAAATGAATCTTAAAGAGACAGGATGGGATGGTATGGATTGGGTTGATCTGGCTCAGGATAGGACCAGTGGAGGGCTCTTGTGAACATGGTAATGAACCTTGGCAGCTTCTCAAGAAGGGCTCAGCTCCATGAGTGAGTGAGCGAGTAACATCAGAGGCAAGAAAATGGCTGACCTGTACCAAACACATTTTGTACCTAAGGAAGATAGTGCTATGGCTGATACCCTCTTATATGTTTGAAAGTATATGAAGAAGTGTCTGCAGCTCTAGGTTAATTTTCGTTTAAGCAGGTATCATTTAATTTGCTTAATTGTTGTTTGTTGGAGGTATTTCGTTTCATATTCATATTTTGCTGTCTATTAGAAATGTTTGAGATCCTAGAATATTAATCAGAATTGCTTATTATATGGCCAGCATTTTGCCTCATCAGCCATCATCTTACTCTTTTCAGGTCATTTATGTAATAGATATGATAAAACTTTTTTTTTTTAGTCAGAGGGCATTTGGTTGTTATGCAGAAGAAAAATATATAATATAGATAAAAACGAAAAATTATGTTGGCTCTAATTTTGATTAGAAAAAAGAACATTTTGGAAAAAGTAGGTTTATAGGAAAATCATATGCTCGAGGCTGAACATGTTAACAAAATAAACGTAAAAATAATTGTGTTTATACAATTGTAAATCTTCTGCATATGAAACTAAGGAATGTGGTCTTTAAATTGAATTAGTTTTCTTACATTTGATTGTGATGGGCACAGAGAAAGAGATTCCACGAATGAAAATGAATGTCCCAAAACTAGCTTCTAAACATTTGCTAATGTTGTGGATATTTTATGTTGTTTCCACATTTCAGGTTTATTATGTTGTTACAAACGTGATTACACATTTAGAAACTTTTGATGTTCCCTGAAGCATGTGATATGGCATCCTTCCATCCATTTTATGTTTTACTGTGGTCAGATGCAAGCTTCAGTCCTATGCCACTTGCATTCTGTATGAAACGTAAAGGGAATGTTGAGTATGTTAAGTAGCATCATAAACATATTAATTCCATGCAAAAGCACACTGTATCATAGAGGCAACAATATGTGAAAACAATGTACCATAAATGTAATGATAGCAGCATGGGCTATTACCCAAGGAAGTCCTAATATATACAATATGGCATTATACAGGGGCCAGGATAGTTCAGTATAATGACTGGGTTGGGCTGGATGACTGAAGTTTTATTCCAGGCAGGGGCAAGAAATTTTGCTTATAACAATGTCCAGACTGCTCTCAGGGCCCACCCACAGTGTGCTGGAAGTAAAGTGGTTGGAGTGTAAAGCTGACTACTCACCTCCGTCTAGTGCCAAGGTAAAGAATCCGTGGAACTGTAATTCTCCTCCTGTCTTAATGCTCTGGTGCTTAATTAAGCACAGAAACAGGTTACTTTTTGGAGGGGGCCAATATAATCAGTACTTAAATTTGAAAATGTTGTGGCTAATACCTCCAGTTGTTTACTTTCCTGACCTCTGCATCAGCTGTGGTGATGGAGCTTATTACTGATGTGTGGGAATCTGTAATGTAGAATTCATTATCCCTAATGATAGGATGATGAAGGGAATCTGCAGCTGAAAACAGTTTAAACCACATTTAGGGCCTGGTATTCACAAAGTTGTACCTTACTGTGAGGTATGGAAAGGCATGTAGAAATATACCCACTGAATCTGTCTAGTCTCACACTGGAGATCTTCGGCATGTAAGACCAGCATTTTACAGTTATACCACAAGGTCACTAAAAGTTTGGACATGTTTAACAATATCAGTTAGCTCAGTCAATGTAGGTTGTTGGGATGAACAACTGGAATTCAGTTTCCAGTTGGCCCTGGAATATTTTTCCAAACCATTATATCCTGATCAACTCTGAGGCTCATTCAACCTCATATCCAGAGGATAGCAAGGGCTCCCTTCCCAGGGGTAAAGTGACTGGAGCAGAAAGCTAATCACTTACCTGCATGTAGTGGCAATGTGAAGAACACTCAGAGTTACACCTTTGCCCTCTGCCCAGTATGTTTTCATGGTATGCTCCCTAATTTTCAGATCAACTATACCATTATGTTTACTGATATAAATTAACTGCTTTTGATTGCATTAAATCAAAGCACAATAGATCACTGATAGTCACAGTGTAAGGGCAGGATTATTATGGC